AGACATCAATCCGGGCGATGAGTTCCAGGCGAGGGAAGACATGAAGCACGCAAAGCCGCCTTTGCCGAGCAAATTCATACAAGCCAAGGCTGAAAGCTGACATTACTATAGCCTGATAACGCCATCCTGCCCAAGATTGACAAGAGTTCACATCAACCCGGCACATGGTGCTTGCGTTCTTGCTGATGCAATGTTGGAATGTTTCCGCCCTACCTAAGAAGGGGCAGCAGTGCCTAGATCGTCACTGCCCCTTCTCACACCGCTGGCCGGGTGTGGGGCGCACGCGCTTGGGGTGAGCACGTTGCCGGCTACCATTGGGGCCAACTCGCCCACATGCACAACGGGCGTATGACAGCAGGGCAAAAGCGCTAAGGCGCCTGCTGGTGGTAGCCTATCAGTGGAGAGGCATATCGACTGATGGTCGGGGGTCCCACTGACTCGCGCGGCGATTTCAGGAAGGCCATTCTCAAGCATGCGTTTGCATGGATTCTTTTGCAGTCACCTGCTGACATTTGCAGACGCCTGCAGACCTGCACATTGATTGAGTGTGTTCGGCGGTGGCGTGTCCTTGTGGCATGTGTTGGCTGGGTTTTGGAAAGTTGAGTGCTGGCTCATTGCTGAAGGTTGAGAGGTGAGAATGCATTGATTCTGGCTCACTAAAAGCAGCAACATTCTTCCAGCCAGGACAGATTAAAGCAATGGGCAATGGTGGGGTTGTTCCAAGCAACATGCTTTAGGCAGGCAGACTCAGACTCTTTGAGGAACATGTACCATCGTAGTTCTACTGTATGAACTGGGGGCGATGAACGAATGCAGAACGGCTCTTCTGAATGTGCCATGGTGTTTGCTTTCTGGGTGAATCATGAACTCAGCCGCACTCTCGCTAGTCTGGCAACCATATGCGTAAATACCAATGCAATGTTGGACTGCTTCTGCCCTACCTAAGAAGGGGCAGCAGTGCCTAGATCGTCACTGCCCCTTCTCACACCGCTGGCCGGGTGTGGGGCGCACGCGCTTGGGGCGAGTACGTTGCCGGCTGCCATTGGGGCCAACTCGCCAAGTGGGCACAAAGGGCGTATGACAGCAGGGCGAAAGCGCTAAGGCGCCTGCTGGTGGTAGCCTATCAGTGCAGAGGCCTTGCGACTGATGGTTGGGGTCCCACTGACTCGCGCGGCGATTTCAGGGAGGCCATTCTCCTGCGTTAGCGTGGATGTTTTGCTTGGCCATGAAGATACTTGGGCAGTGTAGAGTCAACTTCGAGAGCAGCCCCGCAATAAGGGAGACAGGGCCCATATGAGGATGTTGTCGCAAGTGTTTGGGCTGCCCGGAAGTGTCTTGCGCACACGTTCAACTTTCGAGCTCTTTCGAGCGGATTGAAGTGCGCAGAAATCGGGGCTGCCCAGCCGCGCTCGGTTGAAAAATAACATCTTTGTGTTTTAGCCACGGTGCGTATAGATGGGCGTGGCTCCAAATTGAGGATCCGCAGAAATTAGTCTTTGGTTTCATCTACCAGGTGATTTCTCGGTACATTTGTTTGAGCCACAGCCAGATCTGTTGCGGAGGGTCGCAGGACTCCGAGGTAGTGACTTTTTTCTGGTATAAAGCAGCTGTTTACAATTTGACGCATTTGGACGTTCGCCAAGAATGACCCCCCAAAACCCAGTGGCTTTGTGTGACTTTCTGGCTTAGTTTGTCTAGGTTCCAAGGAAAAACCAAAAGGAGAACCAAAAGGCTGCCTCGGAGTGAGAAGACTTGAAAGTTGGAGCTACAAAGCCTCTGCCGAGGTCCCAAGTTTTAGGCAGGGACCCGGAGAGGGAACCTGAAGCTTGGGCTTGAGGGAACCGCCACGCCCCAACCTGGTTCTTGCAGCCCCTGGGTGATGAGCCACGTGGAATCTCCACGAAAAAACTTTAAACAAAAAGCTTGCAAGGCACTTGGGTAAGCTTGACTCTGTGCCTGTGCGTGTTCGTGGGTGTGCGAAATTAGAGCGAATGCAGCAAGGCTGCTCCAACACGTGGCAGCGTACATTCCGATGCAATGTTGGAATGTTTCCGCCCTACCTAAGAAGGGGCAGCAGTGCCTAGATCGTCACTGCCCCTTCTCACACCGCTGGCCGGGTGTGGGGCACACGCGCTTGGGGCGAGCACATTGCCGGCTGCCATTGGGGCCAACTCGCCCACATGCACAACGGGCGTATGACAGCAGGGCAAAAGCGCTAAGGCGCCTGCTGGTGGTAGCCTTTCAGTGGAGAGGCATTGCGACTGATGGTCGGGGGTCCCACTGACTCGCTCCGCGATTTCAGGAAGGCCATTCTCCTGCGTTAGCGTGGATGTTTTGCAGTCACCTGCTGACATTTGCAGACACCTGCAGACCTGCACATTGATTGAGTGTGTTTGGCGGTGGCGTGTCCTTGTGGCATGTGTTGGCTGGGTTTCGGAACGTTGAGTGCTGGCTCATTGCTGATGGTTGACAGGTGAGATTGCAGAGCTTGCAACCGTGGTATCTAGGCTTCGCTCGAGCGCTTTGACCTTGGGCGGCAAACTCTGGCCAGGGCAAAAGCGCTGCAAGGTGAGCCACCGTAGATGAAGGTTAGCAAGGGATAATCCCAACCATAAATAGCTGCGGCCGCCTTCTTAGATTCTTTACATGGTTCTGGGTAGACCATTTTAATACCGGGTTTTGATTATGACTCAGGTGTCTTTCAACCACCTGGAACATGCCGAGCTCAAGGAAGACGTGTGGGATGTGCTCCCCGAGATCCAGGCGGGGGCGGCTGACGGGTGCGCATGTGTCGGGATCGGCGACGATTCAGGACGTGCCCTCGGCCAAATTGGCTGTGAAGGCTGCCTTGGCCCCCCTGCAGCAGGCGAGGCTCGAACTCTGGGCTCTTTTTCCACTTCCGATTCCTTGCATGTTTTTTCACACTGTCTTGCTCCCTTCGCCAGGCGCTCGCCCAGGTGGAGGGCATGAGCCAAGCCTTGGAAGACCTGCTGAAGTGACCCCCAAAACGAAAAAGGCGGCGCTTGCACAGGGCTCCTTACAAGATACATTTTGCGACCATTTGAAACATGTTGCTTCTTCCACCAAAACAAGCGGGAAACCACCATTGACAAGGCAATGTTCAGGTGTATGTAAGGATCCCTGCAATGGCACCTTGGCAAATGGAACCGAAGACTCAAACCTGCGCTTTGCCCTGGCTCTGTTGCAGCGCTTTCTCTCCGCCGACGCCGAAGCCGCCGCTCCCCGCAAGCCGCTCCCCGCATGCCGCGCCGAGTCGCCCCGTCGTCGCGACGCCGCGTCGTCGCGTCGTCGCGTCGAGGCCGCGAGCGGCAGCGGCGGCAGCAGCGACTGGCCAAAAGCTTTTGCAGCGCCGCCTCGGCGCGGCGCCAAAGGAAGCGGCGGCGACCGGCTGTTGACGGGTGAGCGGAGAGGGGCACGTGGTCCGATCTGCTTTGTTTCCTCCCTCCCCCCCCAATAAAAATAATAATAAAATAATAAGTAAATAAAGATCCCCCCCCCCAAATCCCCAAATCCCCAAATCCCCTAATCCCCTAATCCCCTAATCCCCTTATCCCCTAATCCCCTAAATCCCCAAATGGCAACAAGGTGGGGGAAGCTAAGGCAATGGATCGCAGAGAGTTTCCTGGGTGTGTATTTCTACTGCGGTTTTCAACTTTTGGTTGCTCCTTAAAAGCCAAGCCCAAAACGGGTAGCCTCAAGGAAGACAAGCCCATGTGGCTAGGTCCCCCTAGTTGTGCCCTTTTACCCTTTTTTGGTTGGGAGGGTCCGCTACTAAAATAGACTACGGAAAAAAGTTGGTACCCTTAATCCAACCTCTCAACTGGAGGACCTAGATGAGATCAGAGTGGCGACTTGCCTAGGCGATACTGGAGACCGTCGTCCAGGCATGGGTGCAAGCCACGCAGGACAATCGCGGGGTGCCCCAGTGCCTTCGACACCCGAAGTCAGAGCCACTGGCGCACCAGGGCCATTGGAGGGTAAGGGGTCAAGCGTGCCAGAAATGGCCTTCGAATTCCGCCTTTTCAATTCGAGCACGTAGTCTGCGTTGACCATTTGATTACCAGGTCTTGATGACATGAAGACACCTCTGGAAGCGGTACTGCATCCAGCAGCCAAGTACTCGGCGTGGTTGTGTGCCCAGGTGTGACACGCAAGAGGCGGGCTGGCCCGAGTGATTGTGATGTTGTTGACTTGGTTCGGCCATTTCTTTGCGCAGCAAGCTTGGCCCCTATCTTGGACCGGGAATGTATTTGTTAGTTGAAAGGTATTTGATATGCAACAAACATACATTTTGATTTATATGTATATATATATATGTATATATATATATATATTTCTGACATGTCCCTGTTTTTTTGCTGTTGCAGCCTTTGAGTGTGCCTGGCAGGACAGCAGCACATTAGCGTTTGTTTTCTCAGTTCTTGAGGTCTTGTGATGTCCTAAGCAAGGACATCCTCTTAAATATCTAACTTGAAATAACAAGTCCAAACATGTTTTCTTTGCGAAGGAAATCCTATTTCAAATCGCATTTAAATCGCTGAACAGATAGACATTATACTAGAACTCTTTCCTTATGAACATCTATGTAAATTATAGTTAGAAAATGGAGACACATCCTTGAAAAGGAAGTCCTCTGTAGAATCAGTTTTGAAGTAAGAATAACAAGTAACATATTCTTTAAACAGGACATCCTGTTTACAACATATTTAAAGCTAGACACGGAATTTGAATTCTTCAATTTAAACTTCCATTTAAACTCCTTAGGAAATTGAAGACAACACAATCCTAGAAAAAGAGACCCCCTTTTAAACTCTAATTTGAAACTAATTCCAATTAAGAACCTTCTTTTGAACAACCTATTTAAACTCTGGTAAAAGCTAGAAGTTCAACTTGAATAGTTTCCTGATTGAATTCTACTTAAAGTCTGATCAACCAAACGACACTAGAAACTGTGTCAAACTCTCAGGTCAAAGAAGGAACACCTGTTTAGATGCTCTTTCGACTAGAAATCCTGCTAGAATATTTTCCTTATTAAATTCCACTTCAATTCTATGAAACAATTGAACACCACAATCCCAGAAAAAGAAGAAACGGCGACCCCCTTTAACATCTAGTTTGACATAAGCATTCCAATTCAACAAAGTCTTTGGGGGGGGGATTGTCCAAGACAATCTGGAAGCTTTAAGCTTCAAGCTTTTTCAGGGAATCTTGAATCCTGGCCCGAGTGAAATGACGGTCGGTTTGGATTTACCTCTGTCCTATGTTTAAGCTGAGGTTTGGTCAGACGATGCCAACGAAAATTAGCAAAGAGGGTCAGGGTCCCAAAGCCGCTTAAGTCGTTTGAACCCTTTCCCAGAGGAAAGGTCCGGGCCCGAAAGCGAACCGCTTGAACCGTTTGAACCCCTTGAACCCCTTTCTCAGGTAGAACCCTTGGGAGTACACATATGCAGATTCACACAATATACACAGAGACTTGCGGAGTACACCACACACATAACAACCCACAGTTTTCACCTTGAATCCCATGCGCAGGCTATCCACCTATCCACAGCATCCACCTATCCACCGAAAAGCTTTCCTCGCAGCTTTGCCAGGCAGGAGCTGCTCCGGGAGCAGAAGCTGCGGGTGCGCCGAAGCGCGCGCTCGACTTTTTCTTTTTCGCGCTTTTTTCGCGCGCGCTCTAAGCCGCGTTTTTTGTTTGCGTTCTTTTTTTGGTTTTGTTCTTCTCTCGTTTTTTTTAAGCGTCGCTGAGGAAGTGGATCGTATCCTCCGCACGGGAATTGGCCAAGGGGCCGAGCTCTACTGCATCTTGCAGGCCGCTCACTCGCATGTTGGGGTGGACCACTCCGGGCCCATAGGTGTGCTTTTTGGTTGATTTGGTTTAAACATAGAGGGCGATTCCTGGTGTACCTGGTGGTTCAATCAACTACCAGGGCCATCTAAATTTCAACCAAAAAGGACACCTATGTCCGGGCCGATTTTTTCCCTTTTTTTTGGGGCGCTGCGGAGCGCGAGGCGTGGCACTCTGCCGTGGAGCGGCGGCAAGGTGCCTTCCAGCAGCGCTCCAAGGCTGTGGAGGCTGGGCTTGGCCTCTTGCGCAAGAGAGAGCCTTCAAAAAACATGGTTCAATGGCCCGGCTTGATTATGGGTTCCATGTCAACCTGTAAAAGAGTCATTTTTTGGACCCCCTCCACAGCAGTGGCGAAGTGTAGCAAGAAGAGGTTGAAGTCTACACTCCCATTCACTTTCTCATGCCTCTGAGGTTTTGGGATGGAAGCCGACTCTTCAAATTAGACTTTGGTGCATTTTGCCCAGGGATGTTAGGACTGAATATGTTTTTTGCCAATTAATGGGTTTTCCATTCAACCACTAAAAGTTATCCACTTGTAGCAGGGGAGCAGATTTCGCAACCGAGAGTTTGATGGTTTGATGTTTGTTGAGGGGCTCCCTTGTCCAAAGCGAATCGACCTGAAATGAGGCTTTGACCTTTCCCCTTCTCGATTGTTGGTGGACCCGAAAGCAACCGAGAGCTGAGACGCGCGACCGAGCTGAAAGACGCGCCTCGGTTGATGGCGGCTTTCCAGGCCGTGGCTCAGCTGGCGGTGGACCACCTTCGCCTTGCTTTCAGCGGCTGGGTGAGTTGCTGCAAGGCGACTCCCGACTCAACTCGCGGCTTCTTTTTCGTGTTTTGTTTTTTTTTGACCTTTTGGACCGGCCGGTGGCCGGGTTTTTGGTCTTGACCTCTTTTTGGTTTGGCCTTTTTTTTCTTCTCCTTTTTTTGGCCGCGCTTTTTTGGTTCTTGGCAACCTCGCTGGGTTGGTCTTTGGCTTCACCGAAACCGCGTCTTAGCCTCTTGGCCCGGCGCTCATAGGTGTCCTTTTTGGTTGATTTGGTTGAAACATAGAGGGCGATTCTTGGTTTGCTTGGTGGTTCAATCAACTACCAGGGCCATCTATTTTCGCAAGCAGGACACCTATGCCAGCGCTGCTTCTTCCTTTTTTTCGTTGTGTGAGCCGAAGCTTTGGCTCAGGCGCAGCGCGCCGCACAAGCGCAGCGTCTGCAGTCTGTGCAGAAGACCGTGGCCGTGGGTAGGGGGCCCCGGGCCCCTAAGCGGCGTCGCTCCGAAGCGACGCCGGTTTTTGGAGCGAGTTGCATCGGAGCCAGTGGCTCCAAGATCCGGGTTGAAGGTTAGGGGATGGTCCCAACTGGCTTCTGGAAGGGAGCCGTTGGGGAGCCTAAGAGGGAGCTAAGCTGCCAGGAGTTCATTTGACTGGCTCAAAGCCGAAGCTCGGGTAGGGATTTTTTCCCCTTGCCATAAATGGGCGCCTTCGTCGTTTTGCTTCTTGAAGCATGCCGGGCTACCATCTGATTGCCAGGCCTTCAGGCCGGCCTAGCGTCAATCTGGGCTGCCTGGCGTCAATGTGCCCGCCTCAGCCGGCTGTCTAGGCGGTGCCATGGAGTGGGGCGATGTTACGCATCTAAGTTGGGGCGGTTCGAATTGGAGACCTCAAACTCGTGAAGACAGACTGTCTGGCTCAAGCTGAAGCTCAAACTTGCAAATTTTTGGGTATGGGTCAAAATTAAACAACCAGAAAACAGGTTTTGGTCCATGTTTCCACTTACTCGGGCTCCATTTGGGGTACCTATTTTTGACCCACAGCCATTTGGGTACTTCGATCTATCTTTGGCCTGCGCGCTTTTGCTTTTCCGCCAGGCATGGACACGAAGCGTCGCAAGCAGAAGGTGGAGCAGCACATGCGCCCTCCTTGGACGCACATGAGCCACAATCAAAACCCGGGTAAATGAAGGTTAGTAAGGGACAATCCCAACCACAAACAGCTGCGGATATCCGCCTTCCTAATTCTGTACATGGTTCTGGGTAGAACAAATACCGGGTTTTGATTGTGACTCAGCTTATGCTTTTCATCCTCAGCTCGTGTTTTCGACTGCACAAATCCAAGGTAATAGGAAAAGCTACGGGGTTCATTGGGAGCAACACTGGTTTGATTATGACTCATGGCCACTGAGCTCCCGTGTTGCTCCCGAGGTCTGGGCTGATGCGCTCGCAGCAGGAGAAGGGCCTAGGCGGAGCGATCCACTGGTTCCCAGCTGTCTGGTGCCGTAGGTTTTTAGGTTTCTGGTTTTTTTGGTCTTTGGCTTTTTGCGGTTTTGGGGTTGTGGGTTTTTGTTTTGTTGGGTTTTTGGTCTTCTTTTTTTCTCTTCTTTTGTTCTCTTCTTTTGTTCTCTTCTTTTGTTCTCTTCTTTTGTTTCTTCTTGTTTTTTGGTTGTTCCTTCTTTCTTTTTTTTTTTGGGGGGGGGGGTGGTCTTTGGCTTCTTGTTTTTTTGTCTTTGGCTTTTTTGGGGTTTTTTGGTCTTTGGCTTTTTTGTTTTTTTCGGTATTTGGTTTTTTTTTCCCGCTTTTTTGTTTGTTTTTGTTTTTGGTCTTTGGCTTTTTTGGGGTTGTGGGTCTTGGGTTTTTCGGGTTTTTGGGCTTTTTTGGTCTTTGGCTCTTTTTTTTTTTTTGGGGGGGGGGGGTTGGGTCTTTGGCTTTCTTTTTTTTGGTCTTTGCTCTTTTTGGTCTTTGGCTTTTTTGTTTTGTTTTTGGGGTTTTTGGTCTTTGCCTTGTTTTTTTTTGTGTTTTAGTTTTTTTTTTTGGTCTTTGGCTTCTTTTCTTTTTTTTGGGGGGGGAGGGGGGGTTGGGTCTTTGGTTTTTTTTTCTTCTCCTTTTTTTGGTCTTTGCTTTTTTGGTCTTTGTTTTTTTTTTTTTTGGGGGGGGGGTTTTTGGTCTTTGCCTTTTTTTGTTTGTTTATTTTGATCTCTGTTTTTGTTTTTTTGGTCTGTGGCTTCTTCTGGTTTTTTTTTTTTTTGGGGGGGGGGGTTGGCTTTTTGGGTTTTTGGGGTAGTTTCGACTAAACCACTAAAGGTTCGACGTTTAGCAGCGGATCTGAGATCAGCCCATTGATGTCTAGCGTCAAGATGGAACCGGGCAACGTTTCATGCATCGAGGGATCGCATCGTACAAGCACTTGGACGATCACCCGGTTGCTATGGCTGTGCTCCAGGCCACTTCCTGCTGCCGGCGGCCCAACCTGTTGGTTTTTGACCCGCGCGTCTTGATTTGGCCATGGTTGAAAACCAATGGTACCATTTTTGAGAGTGGTGCACCACCCATTTTAGTCTACTCGAGTGGGGATTGGGAGGTTCACTGGGGGATAACCGGGGTTTCTACCCATGGCAGTTTATGCCATATGGGGCATGGGCATCCGATTGGAGGCTCTGGAACATGGGCGCCGTGAAGCGCAAGTTCCTGCCACTCAGCTCAGCAGAAACTAAGCGCCGCGCCGTGCGTGCCCGTGGTTTCGGTGGCCGCTGCCTCGCGCTAGGAAGCTGCAGGCCGTGGTGCTGAGCCACCGAAGGGGCGGCGAGCCCAGGTCTGTTGGTAGCTGATGGACGGGTGTTGGTTGAATGAACCGGACGTTTCTTTTTTCCCCTAGGAAGCCATAGGGGCTGGTTGCTGGTTTGGTCATTCCGTGCAACTCATTCCCGCTGAGAACCAGCAAGCCAAGTCTTTCTGGGTGTTTTGAGCGTCCTTCATCTCTGCGAGGCAGAGACAGGGCCCTGGCGGCAATACGGTGGCTGGAGGGGCGGACCAAGCAGCAGCTGGCGGGGTGTCCCAGCACCCTCCCAGCACTCTGAGTCGTGTGGCAAAAGTTGCTTTGCTCCCGAGGCTGGTCTCTTCTTCCCCTGGTTGCGGCAGGTGGCCTGGGCCTCGACGACTCGACGAAACCGAGCGGTGCTGGCGAGTGAGACACGGACTGAGGCAGGCTGGAGAGAGAAGCGGCAGGCCAAGGCGCGGCTTAGGTTGCGAGCGCCTGGTGGACAACCCGTGGCGGCTTTGAGGGATATGTTGGTGGACATGTAGGTGGGGAGTTGTGTCCACCAACCGCTGTCTAGGGGTCTACTAAAAACAGTCATCGCCTTGTGTCAAGCAGGTGCATGCGGAATTGGTAAGGACAGTTTTGCAACGACAGCCCACTTGCAGTAGACTCATGGTAGACTCATGCTGGAAGGTCAGTCAGATCAAGTCACGAGAAATCAGCAGACTTGACTCGGCCATATTCCGAGGCAAGGTACTTGTCGCTGGTGGACTGCTGCAACTTGCAGCAGCAAGGCTTTTGGCTCCACGCCTGGCGAGGCCCGGGTGCGACTCGCCGGGCGCGCGCGGCGCGCGCCCTACGCCGGTTCCGCACAGGTGCCGTCCGGGAGATGCACCATGAGCGCTGCAGGGCGCGGTGAGCCAGTGAGCGAGCGAACGAGTGATCGGGTCTCGGAAGTCACTTTGGATTTGAATGGAGAGAGAGAGAGAGAGAGAGAGAGAGAGAGAGACGCATCGGGGAATGGGACATCAACCCCATCAAACGGTTCCAGGTCCTTTGCCCCATGAAAGAGATGGGTTCCATCAGTTTCTCATGCGGTAGCCATTTCGTGGTTTGGAGCCCAGTGGTTTGGCGGTTCGGCCAACAGTTGGCACCTGCGAGAACCCTGACATATTGTGATTCTTCCCGCTCTTATCCCAAGATCCCGCCAAATGCCCATGGGTCAAAAGCCCGTACCCCCAGTGAACATCCCAATCCCCACTAAAATAAAGCCTAAAATGGGTGGTGCACCTACCCCAAAATGGGATCCCGTTGGTTTTGACCCACAGCCAAACCCGATTCTATGCGGTTCTTACCCTGACTCCGCCAATTTTCACCTCACCAGATCTCCATCATATTTCCAGTGCCGCAGGCCGAGATGGAGAACCTCAAAGCAGAGCACCAGGCACGGGACCCGTTGGTTCTTTTCGGGCTGCACGGGCTTGTTGGAACCCATGTACGCTGGTTTGGTGGCTCGTCTTTTTTCTTTTTTTTTTCTTTCTTTTTTTTGCGGCTGCCATTTGGGTGTGCCTCTTGTTTGGTGGCTTCCTTTTTTTTTGGCGGCTGCCATGTGGGTGTGCCTCTTTTCGAGGGTGGTTCTGATTAAAGGGAAGCCAAAAGGACCAGCAATTTGAAGTGTCCCCCAACAGAAGAGAGACATCCATTTTCGTTTTCACCAAAACTGCCTATGACAAAGTTTGCAATCGCCGTTGCTCATGGTGATTCGCCAAAAGGAATACCGGGAAGCTAGCCCAGGAGCAGCTGCAGCGGCAGAAGGCGAGCAGCTTGACACAGAACCTGAGCGTCTTTCCGAGCTACGGCTATCCCTCCCACCTTGCCATGGCACCAGAGGGTCCCAACCAAAAACGGATCTTCCAGGTACCCCTTTGACAGGTGCGGCGTTCGTGGGAGGAAGGGTATGTCCCGTTGTGCTCACTTGCCCAAACCCCACCTTTCGACCGTTTGACCTTTCTCGAAGTTTTTTGGCCCAAGAGGTGAGCAAAACTGGGTCCAAGCTGGGTCCAAGCTGGGTCCAAGCTGGGTCCAAGCTGGGTCCGAAACTGGGCAAACCTGGGCAACACTGGGTCCAAAGCTGGGCAGAACTGGGTCCAAGCTGGGTCCAAAGCTGGGCAAAACCCAAAACTGGGTCCAAAGCCGGGCAAAAACTGGGCCCAAAACCGGGCAAAAACTGGGTCCAAAGCCGGGCCAAAACTGGGCCAAAACTGGGTGCCGACGCTGGGTCAAAACCGAGCGGAGACCTCCGAGCGCCTCGGCAGGAGGAGCAGATCGGCAGTCGCCGAGAGGCGCTGAAGAAGCACTTCGCCGGCAGCATGGAGGCGTGGAGCGGCGTGCGGCGGTGAGCTTGCTGAAGCCGATTTGTCGATTCTCAGCGTAATGTGCGGGGTAGATGAAGGGTAAGGGAGAATCCAGATCTTCGAATTCCGAACCTTCTCTTTCCCCAACAGCTGAAAGCTTTGGGGTCTCAGCCCAGATAGGCTCCGGGGTGGTCCGGGGCGGCGCTGAGGCAAGGTTCCACGAAGGTTCCACCAGGGTTTCACCAGGGTTCCACAAGGTTCTGCGAGGGCTGCGGGGTGGTGCGAGCGCCAAAAATGAGCACCGCATGCTGGGGATATCACCGGAGCTTCTTTTTTTTAGACACAACTTTTGAAGCATGGTTCTGGGCTTGGTCCATTTTGATACCGATCGGTTTTGAGTATTACTGATTTGTGACAGCTTGGGATTCCAGCCATCTGCCGCCAGAATCTGCGCGCGAACTCTTTCGCGGCCTGGCGGGATTTTCTCATTGCCTGCAGGCCCGCGATCTTGGGAACTCCCACTATGGAAGCAGGGACAGTGGATTTGGATGCTTGCCCCACAAAAGCCAAGCTAGTCCAACTGGGCGTTTCCGAAACTTTCGTTTCCCAAAGCCCTCCAAAGAAGAGGTCCCCTGTTTCCTGTGTCGAGAAAGACAATCCAAATGAGCCACGTGCTCAAAACCGATTCGGGTAGATGAAGGTTAGTAAGGGGCAGTCCCAGCCAGAGATAGTTGCGGATCTCCGCCTTCTTAATTCTTGAAGCATGGTTCCGACCATTGTAATACCGGGTTTTGATCGCGACTCAAATGGTAATATGTTGGCAACGGTTTTGGTCCCGCCGGCTTCTTTCTTTTTTCGAGTTGGTGAGTTCTGCTCTGTTGATGGATTCTTGATGGGATACCAGAAACTAAGACACGTGTGGCTCGTCCTTTTAAAGGTTGGCCCCCCACATGTCGCAACGGTTTTCCTGTTGTTCCCCTTCAAGACCAGCTTTTGTGGGGTTTCCCCTCAAAAAAGAGGCGCACTAATTTGTGCATGTTGCCTTTTCTTGTTTCTTTTCAGACAAATAAGACAGACTCACACGGGTATGGGTCAAAATGAGACCAGCAGTGGGACCTTTCGGGTTTTAGCCCTTCCCATTTCGCAGGCCAAGGCCCATTTTGGGGCCACCTTAAATATTTCACGCATTTCCCCCGAAGCAATTGCACCCGCATGTTTCATCCGCTTTTTGCTGCTTGACTTCGCACAAAAAACCCGAGGGTTTCTCCTCACTTGGGACTTCGGTGGCCTTCGGGCAGCCCCCGGTGTCACCCGCACAAGTTTGCAGAGTTCAATCAATGCCATCTCAACTAGCTGAAATGAATCAAAGAAATCAAATAAATGAAATATGTTTAAATGTATTGACCCTGTTGATTCACTCAATCTGTTCACAAATCGAAGTCAACTCTGTGGACAAATCAAAGCAATCGAGCAATCTCAAACTCCCTCGATGCCTATGGACCCTGTCCTCAGGGAGGAGCAGCGGCTCCGGGACGCCGCCAAGCAGCGGGGGGAGCTGGCCGCGCAGCGCGCCGCGGCCGGGAGTCGGGGGGGCGGAGGGTTGGGGGGGTCTGAAAGCTTTCCAAAAGGACCAAAAGAAGAACGGCGCGGAGAGGCTCGACTGGTTCTTTTTTTTTTCCTCCCCCCCCCTTCCTGTTGAATTTGTTTCTTCCTGGTGGGGGAGTTGCTTTTTCACCGTTTTTTCCCTCCCGTTGTGTGTTTTCCTGGTTGGGGAGTTGCTTTTTCACCAAAACGGGTGGTAAACAAAGGCAACAGTCCTTTTTTTGGCCCGTTATCGCCCCAGTTGGCGCAGGTGGGCCTGCTGCAGTCCTTGCAAGCCGGCTGCTTTGGTGCTTGGGCCGACTTCCAGAAACGGCAGAAGGTCCGGGGTCGGGTCATTCGCTTGGTGCGATAGGCAGGGAATGAGAAATGGCATGATCCCTACAAACCATCCCCCTACTTTTGGTTTCCTTCAGGGAAGTTGCAGGTTCATTCCATTTCTCGTTCCCTGCCTGTCGCACCGATCGCAAGTTTGGGTCGTTCTGGGAGCTGCCGGCAGCTTTCGCCGAGTGGGCAGGCCGAAAGCCGGCAAAACCTGGCCACGTCGCTGGTGCAGCGGCAGCTGAACAGCAGCAGGTCCTTCCGGCGGCTCTCGACGGGGAACGCCCCACCCCAAAAACATGGAAAGCAAATGGCTGTGGGTCAAAAATGGGTGCCCAAAACGGAACCCTGGTAATTGAAGCAAGGACTCAAAGCCGGATTTGTGGTGGATGAATTTTGACCCAAATAACAACCGCGAGGATGCAGTCCTGCAGCTTAGGACTGCTCTATGTGCAAACCCAATGGAAAGCCAAGAAAGACCACGAGGATTCCACCCCGCGCAGTTGTTTTTTGTTTCACTGGAGCCCCCCATAAACCATCCAACTGGTGGTTTCCTTTCAGGGGACCCCGTTCACTCCCTCATTCCCTACTGAGCACCAGCAGTTTGTATTGTTTCAAGAGGGAGGTGTGGGCGTGGGTCAAAATTAAACCACCAGGAATTGGACCTCAGGTTTTGGTCCATGTTGCCACTTACCAGGGCTTGCGCCATTTGGGGGTTACCCTATTTTTGACCACCACAGCCACATGACTCACGTGCATAGGTGTCCTTTTTGGTTATTTTGGTTGGAAACATAGATGGGTTTTGATTCCTGGTTTACCTGGTGGTTTAATCAAGCAGGGAGACCCGCCGTGTCTTTCCAACCAAAAAGGACACCTATGGTGGTTTGCCTTTAAGGGGAGACCAGAGGGACACCACTGGTTTGGGGGAAACCCATCGTTTTTTTTCAACCAAAAGGACGCCTACGACTCGCGTGTCTTCCACTCGCGTTCCAGGGAGAACTTCCTGTCGCTGGCCTTTGGCGGCTGGCTGCAGATCCTGAAGCAGCGGGTCCGCATGCCAAGATCTGCTCCAATACGCACGCGGCTTTTGCCAACATGGCCGTGTTGCGTTTTTTTTTTTTTTGGGGGGGGGGGGACCCGTTTTTTTTTTCTCCCCCCTTTGCACGTGGCTTTTGCGACAAGGGCCGTGTGGCTTCTTTTTTTCCTCGTTTTTTTGGGGCACCCGAACAAAATGGCCTTTATCTTCCGGGCAACAAACCGGAAAACATGGCGCAGCGGCTTTCATGTTCCGGCTTCCGGAGCTTCCGGGGCTTCATGTCATTGCGGTTTCCCTTAAAGCAGGGGTAGCAACCGAGACAAAAAAAAAAGACCTACTGTGGATGGGCGAAATCCTGCACCTGAGAAACCCGGGAATCCTGATTCCCTTGTAAATGCCAACCAACAATGGCTTCCTATGGTTTCAAAGTGGCGCCTAAGGGGATTTCGTCCATCCACAGTTTGGCCGCCCAAATTTTTCGCCTCCGGCCAGGGACAGACGGCGCGCCACGACGCGGTGGCGCGCCGCGCCTTTGCCCGGTGCGCCAGGCTGGCCGCAAGTTGATTCCCAAGGACTTGGTTTGGCTCTGGGACATTTTTGAGCAGAGCAGAGGGGCTGTTGAACTTTTTAGGTTGGACTTTCCTCAAAACGGATTTCGGGTTTCCTTTTGGTGTCCCTTTAAAAAGCACAAACCATGGGCACCCGTAAGAAAGACAGACCCACACATAAGAGCTAAGGAGCTGGGGGTATTCAATTTTGCTTTTATAGAGGGAGCCTTCCGGAGCTGCTACCAGGTTTGTTTTTGCGAGGACATGAGTAGATTGTTGCAGTTTTCGTCTCGCTGAACAAGTTGTGGCTCCTAAATCACCTTTCCGATCTCTGACTGGCCATTTGCCTCTTTGTGCAGGGCCTCTTTGTCGCAGTGCTTTGCCGAGTGGCGGGAAACAGTGCGGCGCGAGAGGCAGGCCCGTTGCTGTCGGGCAGACTCTAGTGTTGAGGGTTGTGGCTGACTCTACCAGAGCTGCGTCCAAAGCGGAAAAGGATTGGGGCACTTCTGAAATCGCAAGCCTTTATGCAACAGCTGGGTGTTTCTTGAAGTTGTGGACCCCTCTGAGTAGGTGGGTTTCCTCTTGGTTTCCTTTTAAAAGCATCCAAGAAGGGATTTAACATTTTGAGACGCTTTGGCTCAGGCTGCAGCACCTCACTACTGAGCTCGCCCGAGCGAAGAGTGCGCTCAGAATGTGGGGACGCCAAGGTGCGGGCGGGTGGCCTGAAGTGAGACATTTGGCCATGGGTCAAAAGCCAAATCGTACCCCCAGTGAACATCCCAATCCCCACTAAAATGAAGACTAAAAAATGGGTGGTGAATTCACCTACCCCAAATGGTACCACTGGTTTTGACCCACAGACATTTGGATAAGGCACCCATCGCTGGACACATGCAGCGGCTTTTTGCAGGTCTGTTGGCCATACGGTCGCGGAAACATCTGCTGAAGGAATAGTTGGTTTTCTTGGGGTTGATTCCTTTTCCATTATTTTCAACCATCGTTCTTTTTCCAAGCCAGCTGTTTCCCCTGGGTGTTTGCTGGTTTCCTGAAAAGAAGCAGCGCCGAAGAGGGGGAAGCGCAGCCTCTAGAGGTTTCCCCTCTCAGGTTTGAGAACGAGCTCGAGCAGGCCAAAGAACGCCGGCGCCTAAGGCTGGCCTCATTATTTTACTATGATCAAAGTCACTCCCGTTCAGTGGTGGGTTAAAGGGAAACACCCGATTCCATTTCTGGCTTTGATAACCCCCCCGAAACCGTCAAAGTAATGACACCAGTAAGGTCCCCAAGATTTGTTGGTGCTGAGGGAATGAGACTTGGAGTGACCCCGAGATAACAATCAAAGCAACCGGTGACACCCAGACTCGGTGTCGGTCATTCTCTACCCATCGCACCAGCAAGAAAAGCAGGGTACGTCACGGAACGTCCTACATGGGTAGGTACCCCAAATGGGAGATGGTAAACAAAAACGACTAACACCCTTTCGACCCTTGAATTTTCAGCACCACATATAGCTCAAAGTTCAACCGCCAGGAGGACGACATATTTTGCTCCCTTCCACTTACCGGGGGCAAGCCCTTTTGACGAATCCACACCCACCGCCCGCTCTGGTTCTTTCTATTCGAGGCCGGCGCTGCGAGCTGGCGGGCCGCTTCATGTCCACTTCAAGCTCCATGCAGCAGCAGTTCTTCCAGGCCGGGAAAAACCGGCGGTTTCCGCGGTGTCCGCGGGTCGTTTTTTTGGGGTCCAACGAAATACGGAGTGACTGACGTGTGTTCCGTTTGGTTCCCGTTAAAAAAGAAGCGACAACAACATGAAACAACGGGTACCTTTTCTCTTTTTTAAACGTGAAGTGAGAACTTATTGTGAAATTTTGGCGGTGTCCTTTCCTCCAGTTGTCCATTCCAAAGGCATTCGAAACGAGAATGGACACCCCGGATCTGGTGAGACACACACAAACAAACTCACAAACACACAAACACACACACACACACAAAGACACAAAGACAAATACACACACACACAAGGGAGTTGTGGCACACGCACACACAAAAAAGCAAACCTTGGACGTCCTGCTTGCCATGCCAATGTGTGGGCAATCGGACATGATGCAAGGTGTGGAAGAAGCTGGTGGAGGAGAACATTCGCCACTCAGCTGCGCTTGTGAGCAGGTTCTTAGGGAAACAAGAAAGTGTCGCTTCGACGCACGGCGCCTGATTTTGGCTGCATGATGGTTTCCTCAGGCAAGGCTGCGCGCTCCGTGCGGGGCCAAGTTGATGCTAAGCTGCTTGCAGAGTTGAACCGTCGTCGTCGTCGATTGGCTTTGCAAACAAACAATCGCATTTGCGACATCTTGACTTCGCCAGAGAAGCTGCACACCGCGTGAAGAAGCACGTGTTGACACCTGGCTGTGGGTCAAAAATAGGTTCCCAACACGGAACCCAGGTAAATCGATACATGGACTGAAATCTGCGGTCCCCATGACCCCTGCCCACCTTGCAACGCTGTGCGTTTCCGGCGGTGTTTTGTTTTGGGCGCTTGCCGCAGCGAAGTTTCAGCCGTCCGAAGCCGAAGCGCGGCGAGCGGAGGCCGTGGCGTTGCGGATGGCCTGCAAAGGAGACCAGGCGCTGAAGGCAGGATGGCTGTGGCTGGGAGCTTGGGATAGGTTTTTGGGGACCTGACTCAGAATTTTTCCTTTCCCTTGAAGGGCGCAACATGCGGTGGCTGGGGTGTGCGTGAAAGCCTGGGGGCTGTCGTTTTCTGCAGCGTGCATCGAATCCACTGCTCGTAAGCCAGGAAAATGAAAGCAGGCAATGGTCAAATTCAGAGAAAGCTGAGACAGTGTGACCCGCACCGCTGCAATGGCAGCCAAAAGGCGGTGTACCCACAAAAGGATCAGACTCGTCCAATCTGGTCATCTTCCAGCCCTGATCTACCTGGGGGGGGGAAATCAAAGGGATACCGCCCCCAAAACGGGCACCAAGTCCAAAAAAGACAAGCCCATTTGGCTGCGGGTCAAACAATAGGGCCGCTAAATGGAAGCCTGGCAAATGGAAACACACCAATGCTCACGTTTTGAGGTGGAGGTCTTCTCGGCGTGGGTGCGGCAGGCGGGAAGCGGAGGATCCGTCCGTGAGAGGAGCGGTGGGCGAGAAGCGGTGCTTCGGCTTCGTGGCTTGCCAGGCTGCGCGGGAGCGGGCGGAGCAAGCCCGGCAGCGCAGCAGGAGAGGTCTTTTGTGTGTAGACGGGAATGGGTCAAAATGAGTCACCACCAGGATTGGACCACGGGTGTTGGTCCATGTTTCCACTTGCCAGGGCTTGCGCCATTTGGGGTAGCTATTTTTGACCCACAGCCAGACTGCGGTGGAGAATGCGAGTCACTGGCTCAAAGCCCCGCTCATTGGAGGAGGGAATCGAATCCCATTCCGCCTTTGAAGATTTCTTGAAGCGCATGAGTTGCCCGGGATCCACCATTTTTTTCTACTGATCGGTTTTGAGTCTAACTCAAGTGACAAGCCCTCGCCACTTTTTCTTCTTCTCTTCTCGGTTTTGTCGGAGTTTCTCAAGTACCCTTTAGTTGGTGGTTTGGATTGGTGGTTTGGGCTTCGCAAATGGGGAAGATACCCCCTTAACATCCAAACCGCCAAACCAAGCCACCAATTCGCGGGAAGCTGAGTTTCTCCAAAGTGGTTTCCCTTTTGGGGGCAATGAACCATCCCTTAGTTTAAGTCTACCCTGGAGTAGTCACAAAGTGGAACCCTGACAACCCCCACCTTGTTTTTGCTTCTCCCCCCCGGTGTTCCTATTTATTTTTACACACACACACAAAATCAAAAGCAAAAAAACAGGAACGCATCGGCTTTCTCGCTATTTTTTCTCCGGTTTCCTCGGAGACCGGACCCCCGGGCCCGGTCTCTCGCTCTCTCTCCAGGCAGCAGGTGCTGCGGCAGCTGGGCCTGAGCTCGGCCGGCAGCCTCAGCGCCGCCGTGGGTGCCTGGAAGAGCTTCCTGCAGGCGAGATGTCGAGAGCGCACGGATCTGAGCATGGGGCTGGGGGGGGGAGGGAGGGGAGGGGAGCCCCGAAAAAACTGTATTAGGCTGTATTAGGGGGGAGGGAGCCTTCATAAGGGCTTATGAAGGCTCCCTCCCAGCTTAAGAAGCTCTTATTAAGGCTGTATTTAGGGCTTAAGGACCTGGCCGGATAGGCCTCAGCGTCCAGGTCCCAAACCCTGAGGCGTTTTTTTTGGAGGGTCCCCAAGCCCTTTTTGGTGGTGGAAATCAACTTCTAGGGGCACCTTCCATTTCCATTCTTTCCAGGGATCCGAATCTTTCTAGAGCCTCCGGGAACCCACGGAAAACGGATCCGGTTTTTGGAAAGAACGATGGTTGGAAAGAATGGAAAAGGAATCAACCCCTAGAATGTCAGGAGAGGTCGCGGCGCAGTGAGGGGAGTGAGTTGGACAGAGGGATTTGGGGGGGGGGCTTAGGGCCGGGAGTGGGCCCGGGTCCTGAAGGAGTGTGTCGTTTTTCGTCCTTTTTTTTTGTGTTTGTACTGTTGCCGTTTTTTCCCCTTTCTGGGGCAAAGTTTGGGAACCCGAAAGCAGAACAAACCGTTGCAACATCGAGTTCCGCGAACAAACGTCGAAGCCAGTCGCAGGCGCGGCGGGGCGCCAAAGAGCGCCTCAAGAGGGGCCACGCGGGGAAGCCCATCTACGTGCCAAGTTGGTTGGGCTGGATGCTCCACCACCCAAACGAATTGGGGGAGGGGGGGATTTCGACGGGAGTTCCATTTCCGGCAAGCCATTTCTCTAGATTAGGTACCCTTTCTCCCACTAAAGCCTCCCCTTTATGGTTGGGAGGATGCCCTTGGATAGCTCCGGTCAAAAAAAGCGAGCTCTCTCGCGTCCGCAGAAAGTTGATTTTTGGACAAACTTCTACCTTCTGCCTTCTATCCAATGTTTCTCATGGTTGCGTCAGCCTTTCACCATCGACCATCCGAGGCAATTGCAGCCAGACGCATTGCGGGATGCCTCAGCTTGTGGCGAATTTCAGCGGTTCAGGGAGGGACTCTAAGAATCGGATGTGGTCACTTGGTCAGACATCTTTTTCCTCCCACACCTCTTGAAAACGGCTGAAACGCCTAGCTCACCGCCCAGACAGCCCAGACAGCCTAGACAGCGTGGACAGCCCAATCCAAATCGAGCGGCTATGACTTTTAATGCTGGACATGAATCCCCACCTTTCTTTGATGCCCGCCATTTCGGGTCTCCAAATAAAAGGTCACACGTGTTCTGTTCATTTCAATAGGGCCGCAAAAAAGAGAGAAATAAAATTAAAAAAAATCCGCTACCATAACAAGCATCGGATCCCAACCATGACGTGGGAGTTCATCAAAGGGTCGTTAACATGGGATGACCCTTGGTTGGAAACCGCCAAGCTGATACCGACGAAATGGGGCGCGTTCTCCATTCAGTCCTTTTGGATTTTGGGACTCCAATTGGAGCCCCACAAGGGGGTCCTTTTAAAAAGATGGAAAACCGAAACGGTCTTCCAGGGCCCCGAGTGTCGGTCAGGTTCCGGCGGTTTGGGATTGAAGTGGCGATGGTTCAAAACCAATGGGATCCCATTTTGGGATAGGTGAATTCACCACCCATTTTGGAACCTATCTTAGTGGTTGGATTGAATCGGATGTTCACTGGGGGTACGATTTGGGCTTTGAAAAGCCCATGGCCAAGTCAGCTTCGGTTCGGTCGGAGTTTTCCAGGCCGAGCTGGAGGAGCCGCTGCTGGCGCTGGGCTTCGCGGGCTTCCGGGGCGTGGTGGCGGCCGCCCGGGTGCAGCAAGCCGCGGACGCCAGGACGGGGAGGGTGTGCCGGGCTGGAGGGGCTGGGTCTGGGGGCCCCAAAAGAAATCTGGGAGGGCCCCTTCCAACTGGAGATGCAGATTTGGGAGATGGGATTCTTTTGGTTGGGTCCCAGGTACTGTGTAATGACTCGTGATGGTGTGATGGCTTCTGTCTTGGTTTTCCGGTGGCTTTTTCTGTGCGCGTTTTTTGGTTGGGAGATGAGACTGGATGGAAGGTGCAGCCACTTCCGGAGCCGGGTGGTGCGCTGCGACCGCAGCTTCGCTGAGCGACTCGGCGCGAGCACGTGGCCCCCCGTTTGGGGGGGGGGTTGGTCTGCAGGTGGGTCATAATCAAGGCCCGTGTAATTGGAGGGCAAGGGACAATCCCAGCCATAAATGGGTGCGGCCGCCTTGGTAGTTCTTTACACAATTCCGGGCAGACCATCTTAGTACCGGGTTTTGACTGTGACTCACGTGTAGGTGTGTGTGCAAGGTGTGCTGTTCTGATACGCTTTGAACCACGCGATACTCGACGATGTTTGGGGTTCGTCACTGACCGAAGCACGACGCAGTCCGAATAACACGTTGTAAGGGTTGAAGCCAAATAGGATAGATTCAAAGCCACTTGTCTACAGGAGATTGTGGTCACTTGGGGGGGAGATTGAACCTCGGAGGGTCACGCCTCTCCAACTCCTTTTGACACATGGGGTTGCTCAAAAAGTCCTCAACATGGGATGACCGTTGGATGGAACACCACCTAAAAAGAACGATATGTCACCCGCACAAAGTGGGGAAGAGTGACCCATTCTGTCATTTGGGGGCCTCAACATTTTTGGGTTCACCGGGGCCCGTGCCTTTTTGGACGGTGCCAGCCACTCACCTTCCATTCTGTCAGGAAGGCCGCCGCCATGCCAGGGGCTCAGCCGGCGATAAGCTCCGAAAGGATATTCGGGCGCGGCTTTTGGAGGGTACCTGTTGGTTTTTCTCGCGGTCAAAAAAGGGAACCAACGGGGAAACCCACCATTTTTTTTGGGCCCCCCTAAAAAAGGGCACAAAGTTGCAAGGCGTAAGTTGCAAAGGGCTCGCTCGCTGTAGTTGCGAAAGGTGCCTGGATGCAGCCTCTCCTTCACCGATGATTTTCCAAAAACGAAGTCACGAGGACGCAGAAGATAAGTTCGAATCGGAAGAAGGGCAAGGCTTTGGGGCCTTGTTTTTCTGCTTGGAAGGCTGGAGGCCCGGCAGACATTCACTTAGAGGAGCAGACTGAGTACTGTGAGTGGGTAATGGCCAAGGTTACAACCCACAGAAGCCATGGTAAGTCTTCTAAGTGAGTTATAACTAACTCCAGGCCGCTTTCCTGACGTACTGAATCGATCGCCCCTAGCACTTTCATTGGGCTTTGGCTTAGGCACAACTGCGCCTGCCTCTCCCGATCGCTGCTGCTGTGGCGGCTGCTCGCTTCCGCAGCTCGGCACTGACTCCGCGGACATGCGGACACGCCTGGCACGGTGGGTGCGCCATTCTTTTCGGAGGGTACCCCTTTTGGAGTCACCCCTTCTTGGAGTTTCTTCAAAGGGAACCCAAATGCCCCCCCCGCTCTCTCCCCCCCTCCCCCCCCCTCTCCCCCCCTCTCTCCCCCCCCCCCTCCCTCTTTTCCCACTCCTCCCTTCCCCCCTCCAACCCACCGCCTCCCGCGTTTTTTCGGATACCCCTGACCCAAAATGCCTCCCCCTCGCCCCCCTCCCCACCTCCAACCCGCTCGATACCCCGCCTCGCTCCCCCGCCTCGATACCGAGGTGAGGTGCGCCGTCAGCTTCGAGCGCCGGAAGCTGGCGCGGACCTCCGGCCTGGGCAAGGCCACCGCCCGGCCCCCGGCTTCGGCTTTGAGACCTACGTGAGACGAAGCAGACGTTGACTTTGGGTGGTTGGTACTGCCCCCCTTCTTTCTTTGGGCTAAGCTTGGGAAAGCAAACAACTTGGCGCATTTTGCCCAGCGATGTTGGGACTGACTTTCACTTTTTGCCAACTAATTAATGGGATTTCCGTATTCAACCACTAAAAGTTATTCACTTTCAGCAGGGGAGCAGAAAGCAACCGAGTTGAGATCGGCGAAGGGCTCAAGGATTGATCCGTTGCTGGGGAGGTGATCAAAAGGTTCGTGATACATTGGGAGTACTGCAGATTTGCCGGTGGTTTAGAGGCCTCATCATAGTTGAGGAGTGCAACAGTGACACAAAAAACTGCACACAAGCGCGTGGATGACCATTGGTTGGAGAACCACTCAAATAGAGAGAAATTTTCAACCACACAATTGGGGGGGCCATTTTATTCTTGGGGGGGTCCCCTAAACAAAGACCCACCCAGAAATGGCTGTGGGTCAATATGTACCCAACATGGACTCCTGAAGCATGGACTAAAATATGCGGTCCAATTCCTGGTGGGGGCTAATTTTGACCCATACCCAGAAATCCACCCAGAAATCAGGATCTGAATCCACCCAGAAGTAAGGTAATATTTTTTCCACCCACTCAGTCCACCTTCACTTGGCTTTGCCGGTGCGATGCTCCGCTTCGTCCTCGCCATGGCCGCGGCCTCTGCCGCCTCTGCGGCCTCTGCCGCGCCCGTGGCGGTCACGGGCGCCACTGGGAAACTGGGCCGGCACGCGGTGAAGCGGCTGGTGGAGCAAGGCGGAAGCCCGGACCATGAACACAGGCAACCCCCGAAAAGCCTGCGATGTGGGTGGCTTCTCCTTTTTGAGGGACCTCCCCCCCAAAAGAACAAACACATATAAATATACAGACATATTATATATATATTATATATATATATATATTCTATATACATATATGCCATGTTTAGAGCTTGGCAGGCATTGGGTGAACATGTATCATCAATTGTTATGGGTCTGCCATTTTGGATCAAGACTGAGCCAAACTGGCAGACACCTTTTTGGTTTCCCCACCCCACCCTAGTTGTCTGGCCCGGCGTCCAGTGACCGACAACTTTGAAGGTCCCGCTGGGACTGGGGTTTGCGCAAGGGCGCACTGTGCTGTTTCGAGGGGAGGGGAACTTCTAAGGATGTTAGAGGCATCCCAACCGGAGTTGACCGGTGGCCCCCTCTAAGCACAGTCCATGCAGGAGATGCATGGAGATCCAAAGCATTATCCCTCACGTGATGAGGGTTGTGACAGGCACGGGCAGTGCAGACTATGAATGATGAGGGAGGAAAAAGAACAGGGGGTGCGTTGCAGCCTTGCAGTAAGAACGATACGTGACGCATTGATGTATATATATATATTACATTTTTATTTAGGGATATTGTGGTTTTCCTTTTTGGGTTCCGTTAAACACACAAAACCGTGGCACCCTCAAAGAGACGAGCCCCGCCCATCTCTCTGGGCCAGGCGAGCGCGTGCGCTGCCTGGTGCGCTGCGACCCGGCTCCAGCGGCCAGCGGCAGCGGCAAGGAGGCCAGCAAGGCGGAGGCGCCGAGCGAGCGAGCGAGTGGAGCCAAGAGATAAACACCCCGAGCCGTCGCTTGGTTGTGGTCGTCAAACATAGGGCAACCCCCAAATGGCGCAAGCCCTGGTAAGTGGAAAGGAGGGCTAAAACCTGCGGTGCCCTGGCGGTTTTATTTTGACCCATACCCACTTGAGCCACAGGCTCAAAACCCGGGTAGATGAAGGTTAGTAAGAGACAGTCCCAGCCAGAAATAGTTGCGGCCGCCTTCTTAATTCTTTACATGGTCCTGGGAGACCATTTTACTACCGGGTTTGGATTATGACTCACTTATATTAAGTGCCGGGCTGGTTACCACTCCACCGTTGTTGTTTTTTGGAAGGCTTGCTGGGTATTCACCGCACCGGGGTTTCGACCCTTGGTAGCCTCAGAAAAAAGTCAGCCCTCAGAAATTTGCTTAAAAGGCGCTTTTTTGTATGTAGAATCAAAGAACTGCTGGAGGTTACTGAGTTAGCAACCGGGTCACACAGGTCGCTGCTTGGCTGGCGGCTCTCCCGGGTGTGGAGCTGGTCAAGGTGCGAGAGAGGAACATGGTCGAAGCACCGCTGGGTGGCTCATGTTTTTTTAAGGTTGGGCCCCATACGGTTCCGAGCAACCGAAAACACAGCCAAGGAATACCCAACTCCCAACAAAAAGACAGAGCCATACTGTGGATGGACGAAATCCATTTCGCACCACTTGGAAACCATGGTTGAAACCATAAGGTTTATTGGTATTATTCCAGGGGATTCGAATCAGAAACCAGGGTTTCTTGGCGTCCACCATTCAGAAACCCTGGTTTCTGATTCGAATCCTGGAAAAATACCAATAAACCTTATGGTTTCAACCATGGTTTCCAAGTGTCAGGGATGCCCCAGTTCTCAGCCATCGTTGCCCCCCCCGCTGGTAGGGCGAAGTCACCGAGCGCAGCGCCGTGCAGGAGCTGCTGCGAGGCGCGGGGGGGGGGGGGGGGGGCTTGGAGCCCGGCCCGGACTTGACGGCTATTGGGCAACGGATCTTTAGACTTTTCATTTTTTGCTTGAAATTAAGTTGGGTTTTCCGTACGTACCCCCCAAAAAAGGTTGACCTTTTGTTTCTTCACTTTTTGCGGAGGGGTCAACAGCAACCAAGCAGAGGTCATGCAGCTTGGCGGTTTTTTCAGCCGCCCTTTTATCTTCTTGGTTCTTTTTCGGTGGTTTAAAGGTTGGTTCCATTCAACCCACTAAAGCTTAGTCAGTTTTTCGCATTGCTTGCATGTCGCCTGACCTTGGCAAGCCTCCTCTGGAATCAGCAGCGACACGCGAGGCTGCAAGGCTTGCCTGGCGCTCCACGGCGCAACGCGCTTCACGAAGCTCCAAGATTTCTTGCCTTGGGTGGACGAAGCTCGGCGAGCGAAGCGGTCTCAAGTGTAGCGTTATGACTCCATATGAGCGGCCGACCAATTAGCCAATTGATCTTTCCAGTGATGCGGTCAGAATAGAGCCTTTGCTGTGCGACGAGATGGTCCCCTATTTTTTAGTGAAACCGAGTCTAAACGAGTCAAAACCGAGATTGAACTGACTTTGGCATCGTGCTAGACGTTTGATCTAGTCGGCTGCTCATATATGCCATGATAATGAGGGGAACCACGACCTCATATGGGCGTGTCCTTGACGCCAAAAGGAATAAAACCTATTTTGGTGGTCCCCTGTTTGAGACAGCCCCCCCGAATTGAATTGAAGGGAAGCAAGGAAGGACAAGACAACTCGGCCGCTGTTGAGGAAAGCTTGGACGCCAACCACGCGCGTCAGGCAGGGAGTGGGCCATGCTGGATTTGCCAGGGTTGGGCCTGTCCCGCGCATGTCCAGAGACGTCCAAATGCAAACGCAAATGTGCAGCTGGAAGCGTCAGCGTTGTCATGAAACTGCAAGCAATCTGGCGGACCTACTGAAATGTAGGTTGCGGCCGGGAGATGGGGGCAATAATGGCAATATGATTTGGTTTGTTTCCCTTCAACTTCAGAAGTGATCCTCTGCATCAGGTAGCCGCCATGGTTTGGATTTGAAGCCCTGGTTCTTGTGTTTGTCAATGGGACGTTGCCTCATGTCACCACCGATTTGGAGTTTGAACCCCTGGTTCTTGTATTTGCAAACGGGACACCGCCCCATCTCTCACCGCCTCCAAACCACTGGAAGGAAGCTGATTTGCTGCGTCTTTTTAAGCCGCGCGAGGTGAATTGCGAGGCGGTGTCGCTGCTGCTGGAAGCCGCCGAGGCCCAAAACTGCCAGCGCCTGGTCCGCGTCACCGGCAAGGCGGTCGGCGGGCGCGGGGCGCGGGGGGCATGGGGGCGTGGGCCCAAGGAAGACAGACACATTTGCATTTGAACAGCTAGCCACCAAATTGAAGAATCGCAGGTTGCCATACTGCAATTTTTGAGCTTCCTTTCGCATATTTTTCCGCCGGTGTCAAACATGGTCGATCCTCTTTTTTTTTATTTTTCCAAGTGGTTTGAAACATGCAAATTTCTGGGATTGCGAAGCTTGGGTTAAGCACCAGAGAGAGCCCCGGCTCGTTTCGGCTTGCCAGGGTGAGGAGCCCTGGTCAATACCGTCGCAGCTTGGCGCTTGTCACGCCATGCGGGTGGACGGATTGGGGGCAGTGGTGTGATGAAGGTTCGACCAGACAACTCGGAGCTCGGAATGAAACCCTCCTTAAATCACCCGAAGGTTTGACCCAAACAGTCACACCCAGAATTAGCAGAGGTCGTCCAGTTGCTTTCTGAGCCGACGCCTAAGTCCAGTCTGGGGACTCTCTGGTCGCTGAAGCTCCAAGGGAAGTCCACTATTGTCGAAAAACATTCACTTGAACCTTGGGTATGTCAATCGACTGGCACCCCTTTATAGACAGGAAACGGTTGACAAGTAAACCTTTCACATATTCAATTTCCTTTCGGTCTTTCCAGAGGAACCAAACTCCTTTCCCATTTTTCTGTGCCGCTCACGTCCTGTCTTTTTCTTTCTCTCTCTCTCTCTGCCTTCTTGTTTTCTTTTAAGATTTGTGTTTTCCACGAGTCCGCTCTCCTCGTTTCCCGTCTCCTCTCGTCGTCTTTCTTCGTCCGACAAAGAAGCTTGCTTGTGCTCAGTAGGGAATGAGAAATGCAATGACCCTTAATTCCCGATTTGGTTTCCTTCATTCTCGATTTGGTTTCCTTCATTCAACCGGGATCATTCAACCACATTCCCCAATGTTGACCCCATGTTAACCAACCCCAGTTTATGAATAGGGGGCTGTCCCTGGGTTTACTGGTCCATCTTCCTTGTTGGAGGGGCCAAACACCACTTAACCAATTTATACAAACAGGTACCACCCCCAATTTAAGTAAACAGGCTGGTTGGTTCAAACATCTGGGGTCCACATCGCCGAACTGTCGCACCAATTTCGCCAGCGGAGAAGATCTGACTCGATGGTTGTACCGATCGCAAGCGGAAGATCTGACTCGGACGTTTTTGTTCCCGGGTCCAAAGTCGAGGATCCCTTCCATTCGTCTCGCCCCGCTGGTTTCCTCGTTTCCCTCCTCTCCGAGCTCTCGCCTCCTCGCCCTCGTCTCCTCTCGTCCTCCGCTGGCTCGGAGGATCTTGATCAACGGCCTGGGGTCCATGGCCAAGGCCTGGAACCAGGAGGGCGAGCGCCGGCTCCGCTCCTCCTCCGTGGCCCCTCGGCCGCGCGTTCGGCTTGCGCGCGCGCGCGCCGGGGCCTTTTTTGGGCGTCGGAAAGTTCCGCGCGCGCCGGGGTCCTTTTGTTTGTTGTTGGTGGAGTGAAAGGGAAGCCACACGGAAAAACATCGAGCCATTTATTTATTTTTTTTGGGGGGGAAGTGCCCTAGAAAGAAGACACCTCCGAATGGATGGGATCTGCCCGGAAGGTCGCAACTGAATTGAAAGTCGCGGGGATTCGGATTGGGAAGGGAAAGAGCAGTGAACCCGGATGAGTGCGGGTGTGGGTGAGCTTTTTAAGGTTGGATCCCCCCCCATTTTTTGAATTCAGTGGGTACCCTCAGAAAAAGACAGCACCGTCTGTGGACTGTAAGTCAACATGAAGCCACCAGACGAGAGATTGCAGTCCTTTTCGCATGAACCCAGGGTTCCATTTGGGGAGCCTATGTCTGACCCACACCCAAACCTTCGTCGACCTTCAGTTCACAATTGCAAGTCTTCGCGTTTTCGCAGCCCTTTGATCGGAACCCAGACTCATTATATAGACAAAACAAATACCATGGTACACCCTACGCACACCCGAAGGACTACACCATCGTGCGGCCGGGCTTCATGGGGGACGTGGATGCGGAGCTGGAGGAGCCCAGAGCCTTGGCGCTGGCGGATGACGGGGGGGACCTGAAGGTGACCGCCATACCTCACCGCTGCGTGGCGGAGACTGGGATGCACTAAGTCCCTATGGCCGGGCGGCCGGGCGGTCGGGGCACTGGTGGAGAGGTGAAGAGATGAGTCAGACATGTGCAGTGGAAGCACTGGGGTTCTGGGGCACCTGAACGTTCGGGAGGGTGTGTCAATTTTTTGGGGTGATCCCCAAACATGGCCCAACGGTTTTCCTAAGGGCACCAAAACAGAAAACGGGAGGGGGGAGTGCCCTCACACCCAAAAGGCCCCGAAGCCAGCGAGACTGCAAGGACCTGTGTGTGCAGAGCCTGTCCTTCCCCAACTGCGCTCGGGCGACCTTGGTCGCCATGACGCAGCCTGGTCCCGGTCCCAGGACTGCGTGGCTTTTTTTTTTTTTAAGGTCTTGCGCCGAACAAGCGCGCGCTTCGGGTTCGGTTTTCCTGGAAGGTCTCCCTGTAAGAGCCAGCGCTTTAAAAGGGTACCAACTCCAAAGAGAGACACAACTCCAAACACACAAGTCACATCAAGAAGATCTGGTTTAGGGTTGGTTTAGGGTTGGTTTAGGGTTGGTTTAGGGTCGCGTCAAGAATTCCTACATGGCGATCAGAGCCGAGAGAATGGGAAAGACATCGCTGAGTACCGCTGGCGATGGAAAATCTGACAGGACCTGGGACGTCCTCCTGGAGAAGGTGCGCCCAGACCGCCGGGCCTTTCCAGGCCGGAAGAAGAATTCCTGAGACGTGTCTTTTGACTTTGGGCCTCAAGAAACGAGTGGCTTTCCTTTTGGTCGCCCTTTAAAGTGTACCAAAAACGGGGATACCAACTCCCAAAAAAGAGAGGCCCTGAAAAAACCCGGCCTAGGGGGGAGTGTTCGCTCCAGTGATCTTCAGGTATCGGATACCCATCCGACTTTCCCGGGTTGCAGACTACTTTGAAAGAGCCTTCTGCCAACCTTTCCACGAGAGCCGACGTTTTATTTTCCTTGGTGACTCCAGGCATCCCCCAAAGGCTTGTTAGCCTTTTTGTGTTTAGTGGTAGTTTCCATGTAAACCACTAAAAGTGAGTCACTTTTAGCGGGGGATCTGAAAACGGGCAGCCCAGTTTCGGGCTCCTTCGCCGCTTCGCGCGAGGCGCGGAGCTGCTGTCGCAGCACTACCTGGCGGTGCGCAGCACTGGCGCGCTCCTGGCCTTTGGCCTGGTGGCCGTGCTGTCGCTGGCGCGCCGCCTCTTCTAGGCTGGAGAAGTGCGATTTGTTTCCGTTTTTTTTTTTTTTTTTAAACATGTGGGGGGTTGATAAAGATTCCCCAAGAGGGGCCCTCAAATGACAGAAGGAGCAACTTTTCTGCCCATGGAGTGGTGGACAGTTCATCCGCTTTGGTGGTTTTCCAACCAATGGTCATCCCATGTATCACGGTGCTTCTGGTCAACACCAAGATTAAGCCCCCAGACTGCCGGTTTTCGTCCGGTTCCATTCGCCCTCCCAATTAAGAGCCGGTGCCTTCAATAGGAAAATTATCTAGTCCAGGAGCCTCCCAAACCTCCGGTTCCATGTGGGAGGGTACCAGGCTTGCATCTTGGGAACCCATTGACCCACGGCCAGGTCGGGCCCAGTGCGGGCTACTCCAAAAGCTGATCAAACGATGGCCGAGCTAGGCCAGAGCTGGGCTCGGCGAAAAAGAAGACCTCACGGCAAGCCTTGGTTCTGCAGATCCCACGTTATTTTGAAGCCCATCTTCAATTGTGATCGCTTCTCTCTTGACATCCCCCAAGGTCTTGGTTCATTGGCTTACATGTGCCCATGGTTTCTTCCTTTCACTCGCGCAGTCACAGATCCTCAGCCGTTGGCATCATCTCGCTGCATGCCGAGGCGGTAAGGCTGCGGCATCGAATACACCAGCTGCGCGTCATGCCACTTGGCTCCGGGACATGTGAGTGTGGCTCAAAATTAAAGCGCTAGGGCAAAGCATGAACCAAGGGGCCATTTTGGGCTCCATGTTGTTGACCCACAGCCATAGCCGTTTGGGATCTTTCCGGCAGATCGCCCACCTTTGGCTGAAAACCCTTCTCGCAGGTGGGCCTGGCTGATGAGCAGCAAGCTGAAGCCCTGGGCACCTTGGCTGAGCATGGCAAGCTCGCCGGAGAGAACAGCAAGTCAAAAACAAGGGATATGACTGTGGTGGTCGAAACCGTTTTGGGATCCCATTTTGGTTGGTAGGTGAATTCACCACCCGTTTTAGAACCTGTTTTAGTGGTTGGATTGGGATGTTCACTGGGGGTACGGGACTTTGACCTATGGCCATATGGCGCTCAGAGTGCAAGACTTCTCAGCAGTCATTTGAGTGACGTTTTGTTTTTCCCCGGGCAAGCAAACATGTATAGATGTACACATAAAGGGTTTGACACTGCAATGCAACATTAAAGGGGATTAAACCCACCGAATCCTAAAAGGGACACAGGTGGTGACATGCTGAGACATGAGAAGCTTCACCCGCTTCAAATCCACCACTCATTTGTTTTGCCGAGTTTTTCCTTGTTTGATTGAACGCCGAAAATGCAAAGACGTGTGGGCCTTGCCAGGAGAGACCCTTCCTCGTGAAGCCCCTGAAGGAGGCTCGGGCCTCGCTGTTGCGTCACAACCATTTCGAGCAAGGCAAAGTTCGCCAGGGGGTGTTTGGTGTGGGTTTTACAGGGAAACCAAAAGGAAAAGCCACCCATTTTTCGGGTCCTCTCAAAAAGTCACACCCAAGTGAATTTTCACCACAACAGATATTACACTCGGCGCAAGTTCTCATGGTTAAAGCAGACTGGACGGATGGTGCTTCAGTCTGTTTGTCAGGCACCTCTAGCGCTGCCGCTACTCGGCGGCAATTGGGCCGGAAAATTCCCGCAAGTTCATATCCTACTTGCAGGGTCAAACATTTGGTCGTGTTTGCCGGAAGCCACGTGCGGTCCGCGCAGCGGATTGTAGCCTTAGGCGTGCGCACCTGTAGGATTTGTTGGCGTCAGTTGATATCAGAGAGACGTCTGAGGATGGGGTCGCCACGTGCGAGGAGACAGGGGAAGAGAGAACTCGTTTGCCGGAATCATGCATGTCATGTTGCTCACGAGAGGGCAGGTAGATTAATTTTCTTCTCGAAGCCTTACTGTCTCAAAACGACTTGTTTGGGGCTTCCCATCTCATTTTTTGGGGGCTGGTCATCGCAGGTCTTGAACACCAAAAAAGGGGAACCGATTCCCGCCCCAGGCGAAAAACCGCCCCTCTGCGGGGGGGGAGGCTTTGTGTGAGCCAGGAGCCCGCAGGTCCAGGTCTTCACCTCCCGGGTGGAGCCGCTGGAGGCGCGAGTCGCTCACGAGACGCGCGGCGGTGGACGCTGCTGTTTGCTTCGGTGGAACCTGGTTTGCTCCCATAAAAAAAAGGCAAAGGAACAGCAAGAAGCATGGGGGGGGGGTTAAATGGCCAAGTTTGCAACGTGAGGTTTCCCATTCTGTTTCAAGACAAAAGCAGCAACGAAGGGGTCCCGTAAACAAACATATGAGAGAGAGCCAAATAGGAGCAGCTGTGATCTCTCGCATGGTTTGGGGAATCTGGCGCTTTTTTGGTCCCGACTCAAGTGACTTCCGCCTGGGGTCTCTGAGGCAGAGATGGACCAGGAGGCTGGAGCTGTGCTTGGCGTAACGAGTCGGTGAGGTGCGAGATTCCAACGTAGCTTTCGCATTGTAGAGAGCGGCGTTTCTCAAAAATTCTCAAAACTGGGACCCTCCAGACTCCACAAAAGGTGGTTTCCTTCTGGTTTCCCTTGACCATCCAAAAAGGCGTCCCGGACGAAATCCTGCACCACCTGAGAACCCCTGGAATGATTCGATTCCCCTGTAATACGAACAAACTATGGTTTCACCCGTAGTTTCAAACGTGGTGCGAAATGGATTTCGTCCATCCGCATGACTCGCATCTCCCGGCCTCTCAGTCTGCCGCCGCGGCCGCGGCTGCAGCCTGGGTCCGCGAGGCGAGGTAATGGAGCCATTTGGGTTGGTCTCGAACTGGGGGAGACCCTGCAAAATGGCCAGAATTTCCTTGTTTCCTTTTCATCCATCCCTTTTTTGGGGTAAAGAGAAGACAGACCCATTGCAAGGTTTCAGGAGGTTTGGCGGCGCAAGCTGGAGGAAGCCGAGTGTCGCAAGCCTTGCTGCCCAGCGGTTTACTCGTGGGAGGCTTCCAGATCGCCAAGCCCCACGAGGACGGCTGCGCGCGCGTTGTTTTTTGGGATGAGTCTTTTTTCCCCCTAGGGCGGATCTTTTCTTGGATCTGGACAGTTGGTTGGTGGCCACATCCCCAGTATCACCAGCCTCACTTTGGCCCTGTTGCCTGTTGTCTCTGATTGAGTGGCAGTTGGGAGTTGCTCGGAGCGGGTTAGGATGGCTTAGATTTGGGTTGATTAGGCGAAGCAAAAGGCTGACGTCCAGGCTGCTGTTGGGCGGATTTGCGGGTGACTCTGGGTGGGTTTGGGGTTGGCTTGGAGATGATATTTGTGTTTGGTGGGCCGCTGGTTTAGCGGTGCCTTTAGGGTTGCTTTCGGTTGTGGTTAAGTGAGTTTTGGTCTCGTTTAGGATTGCGTTTCCCCAAACCACCAAAAATAGGCCACAACTAACGCAACCACATCCCGAAAGCAATCCTAAACGCACCGCTACACCAGCAGCACCCAACACAAATCAGTTCCAAGCCAACCCCAAACCGCCAATTAGCCAAACGACTCCCAGCAGGAAATTGAGGATGCCGCATCTTGCCCCAACCCGGAACGCCCTGGTCCAGGTAATGCTGGGATGTGCCAGCCGTAGCAAAAATTCAGCGCTCGGAAAGCCAAAACCCCCTCTGCCCCTGTTTCGGAGGTGGCTCTCAGGGGGGCCACAGGGAAGCCGCGGTCCTCATTTTCACACAAACCCATGTGCGTGAAGGCATCTCGAGGGGCTCTGCGGGGACTCGGTTGACTCCTTTCTTCGGCTTTCAGTGAGAGCTCAAGTTGAGGTTCCGCGTCACCACCAGCCCGACGCGGCTGCAGCAGGGTGAGCGATACACTTTGGCCAGCAAGGCGCATCATAAAGTGCAGAGTCGGGTTTTGTTGGTCGAAAGGTAGAAACAAGGTCGAATCCTTTGCGCAGGTGCGATCCAAAGACGTGTTTCTTCTTGCAAGAACCTCAGAGCACTTCGGGTGTGTCTTGTTGTACCGCCCAAAATGGAAAAATAACGGTTTTCCTCCAAAGGGTTTCCATTTCGCCCCAAGCAAAGAAGGGTTCTAGCGTCAGCCCAGCCCGGCAGGCGGCCACCAGTGAAGGAGACTACCGGCAATTGCTGGAACACAACCGGCCAGGGCCTTAGCCTTCGAACCGAGCCAAGGCTAAGGCACATGGGTGTCTCCTACTTTTTTTTGGTCAGGATAGCTCTGTGTTTTCCGATTTCCGTGGTTTCAACTGGACGCCAACTGGGAAAACCGACATTTTGGGGGTCCCCTTGAAAACGACACACCCAACAAAAAGAACATATCAGAAGCTGCAGGCCTTACCTTGCTGGTGCTCAGCAGCGAATCAGGGAATGAACCTGGGGATTCCCGAATAAAGGAAACCACCAGTTGGATGGTTTATAAGGGTCAAAGGAAACCACCAGGTTGTTTTGTTTCCTTTTTCTTCTTCTTTTTTTCCATTTGTTTTTTCCGGGTCATTCCATTTCTCATCTCCCTGCACCTCCCTTCACCGATCGCAAGTTACCCGCGCCAGGCGGCAGATCCGCGAACAGCGCGGCGCTGCAAGATGCAGCTCGCCGGAGCCGGCGGGGCGCCCAGCGGCGTCGCAGACGCCGGTGTGTGTTGGATGTGTCGTGCTGGACGACGTGGGGCTGCTTTGTCGGTGCTCCGGGGGCCGTTTGAAAAACCCCGGCTCTCACCCCAAATTGTGGCTATGAGGTTTATGAGGGAAGTGGTTGGTGGTTTAGCCCCACCGGTGCTCACCCCATGGCTATGAAGTTTATGAGGGAATCTTATGAGGGAAGCATCTCACAAGTGGTGGACATCCATCCCCAAGTGATGTCCAAGGGTCGGTGCCCGATGAGCATATACACCCATGTGGCCCATATGTGTGGTTTGCTAGACATGTTTCTTCTTCCTTTCCGTCTATGGGGAAGGGCGGCTGAAGATTGAGTGAGTCAATTACTAGTGGTTCCAATGAAATTTTCATGTTCGCGATGAAAGCCCTTTGCAAGAGACTTGATCCTAGGGAACCCTTGCACTCACCAAATCACCTCCCAATTCCCCAAGTGCCAAGGCTGGCCAGTGGGGCCTGTGGGCCAAATGAGCGCGCTGCGCGGAGCAGTTTTTTGCACTTGGGATAGCACCAACGTCCAACGCCTTGGCAGTGGCTCTTTGTCTTGAGCATGTTCACCTGTGGAATATCAGCATCGTTAACTCAGCCGGTGGACACACTTTGCACTTTTTTTCCTTGGCTCTCCCTTTTTCCTAGTGGTGGCCCAAAAAGTGTACACTTTTTTTGGCCGGTCACTGGGCCAAGTGAGTTAACGGCCCCTTTCGGAGTGGACAGATGGAGCCTTTCGGCAGTTCTTTGGGATCCGCGGGCGCCTGCCCAGAAGCCTGGAAGTCTGGCCCTCGACCGGCCAAAGTGCCGGTCCGTTTCGTTTCACCACGGGATGCGCGGGAAAGGTCCGGGCAGAGAAGGAGAAAAAGCACGCGGCAGACCGGGAGAACTGCCAAGGGCCTGAAGAGATGCCGGGCACCTGGGTCGGCTGAAGTGAAGCCGCGAATGAATCTGGGCTGAGATGGTTGGGAAAAAAACTAGGGAGGTCGCTGGCTCTGTTTGCAAGGGGCATGACTGCGATGTTTGGCGTGATGTTTTGCCTTTGCCAATTTGTGGCTCAGCCTGGCCTTCTCAGCCATGGCTGTTATGCCGCAGGTAGCGAGGTGGGGGACGTTTGGAGTCGTCAGTTTCCAAGCCAAACGTGGCAGTTTCAAGCGTTGAAGAGGAAATCCAGCGACCCCCCGCCGATGCACGTTCAAGCCTCACATCAAACTGCAACGTCTCCAGGCACGAGGAAGGTGATTCTTTCTTCGATCACCTGTCCTCCCTCTCGGCTGCGTATGCAACTTGGCCAACTGGAGGTTGATCAAACGGTCCGTGATGCATGGGATGACGATTGGTTGGAAAACCACACAAAAGATGATATTCCAAGAAAAGTTGCCCATGTTCATTTGGGGGCCTTGTTGGGAATATTGATCAACCCAAAAATTATTGTCAACCTGCAGAAGTTGCCATTCAACCGATTGCAATGCAAAAAGCCGATTGCCTCCTTTTCATGCGTTCGCGGATGTTTATGCGGTTGAAGCAATGACGCCAACAAAAGTAACCAGGCATGCTTTTTGCATTCAAGCATGTTGTCTTCTCTTGGATTGATCCAGAAGTCTGTGCTTATCCCAAATGGAACCACCGTCGGACTGCCTGGGTTGAAGTTGTTTAATCCGAAGTGAATCATCATGCTTGCATTTTCTTCCGAAGCATTCGCTACTCAAAACATCATATCCAAGTACGCGCCGCGGTCTCCTCTGACGCGTTCCCCACACTTGAAGCTGGCGTCGGCGGATTCAGAGCATTCACATGGGTGTCCTTGTCTCCCCTAAACCCTAGGGGGGAGGGTCGGCAGCGAACTTGGCCCCAAATGGTGATATTATCCCGTTGATTTCAAGGAGAATGACAACTGAACGAGGGTGCTTGTGATTGAGCCCCTCCGATTTTTTTTGGGTTCTCGTTAATTGTTAAAGCCAAGGAACGAGGGGTACCAACGAACCAGCCACGGATTTGTTTGTTCTCCTGTTGATTTCCCTCTTAGAAGCCAACGAATGAGGGGTACCATTCAGCCAAAGCAAGTCTTCAGCCACGGGCCGAGGAGCGCGCCAGAGCCGAGAACCGCCAACTCCGCTGGGAGCTCGCGGAGCTCGCGGAGCTCACGACGGGAGAGACCGAGCGCAAGGCGGGGAGAGATGGGCTCCGTGTTGGCTACTGGGTACCCCACCTGCCCAGTGGCGCCCTTGTTTTTCTCTTTTTTTTGGGGGGAAGTTGTCCCCTCTAAACTCAACCGACCAAAGAAGGATGCCCTTTCTTTTCCCCGTGGGCACTGGGCATTTGAGGGCATAGTTCCCTTTTTTCAACCCAGGGGTGTCCCTTCTGGGCAAAAATCATCCGTTTTTGGGGTGAAGTCTACTTTAAGCCTTGGGGTAGCTAAAGAAAGGAACCCCTGCATATGGGTCAAACAGTAAACAAAAGCCATCTTAGGGGATCACCATTTCAACATGGAAGCTCAAAAGTTGTTGGTGGACATGATCCCGCTGGGCGTCGCAATCCACCAGGAATTGGACCACAAGTTGCATCGTCCATGTTTCCATTGACCAGGGCAAGCCATTTTGGGGTTACCCTTTTTTGATCCACAGCCATTTGAGTCACTGGCTCAAAACCTTGGTAATTGGAGGGTAAGGAGCAATCCCCTTGCCAACAGTAGGGTGTCCTTTGTCATGGCGTATCCACCAGAAACTGCAAATTGGCAGCCAGTGAGAGGAGTGTTCCTCGGGAGTTCTCAGCGCGGTCCGTCCCGGGCGTTTGCGATCCCAAGTGTTTGTTTCTTCTTTCTTCGGCGGTGCGATTGCACCCTGGTCCGTTTTCTGTCTTGGGTTGTTGGACAGCGGGCTTCTCCATGCATTTCTCGCTTGCTGCGTTCATTTGCGTTGTACATTGTGTTGATTTGCGGGCAGTTTGTAACCTCATTGGCGCGCATCCGCACGCCCCGAAGGCGCGCACGCTGCAGCCGGAAGCCTTTCACTGCGCCGTGGATGAGTTGGACTCTGTTGAGTTCGACAAGGCGATTGTCGCGCGTGTCTTTTGGAGCTGTGCGAGCGTGAGACTGACTTCTTCTGAAGAGGGCTCTGGGCTTTCCAGGACGAGGATGATCCCTTCACGCCATCCCAAAAGGATCCAAAGGTTCAAGAGACTTGGCTGACCTGGTCTTGACAAAGCCGACGCATCCATCCGGATCGCTGCGCTCCGAGGGGCAGCTCAGCAATGATGGAAGCAAGCGGGGCAGCGCCTTCGACGGGCGGCGTGCCAGCATTGACTCACGAGCCCCTAGGCAGAAGAGGTCAGATCTAGCAGAGCTTGACAGCGCATGGCGTTCGATTGATTCGGCTGAGGCAAAAGCTCGGGTCACAGCCCCAGCACTCTTGCCATTCAGATTTGAGCAAACGTCCGTGCAAAGAGATATGTCGCGAAGGGACCCAGATTGGCCTTAGGTCCCCCACGCCATCTTCGGTCGGCAAGATGAGATACACGTGGGGCGCTTCAGTGCCGACGGCCGTGGCTTTGTTGTCGGCTGCGCAGTTTCGGACCTCTTAGCGCGGCTTAGGCTGCGATTGCCAATGAGCTAGAGCCCAGCCTCTCGGCAAGCGCTGTGGAAGGTTTGGGATCCAATCCGCATCGATGTAACATGCCGTGCATCCGTGGCTTTTGGATGCCGAAAAGGATTAGAACATGACAGCGTGCCCCAGGATATGACGTCAAGGACTTCTACAAGACCAGTGGCTGTGCGCAGTGGTTGGCACGGCACCCCACCTTCGAGAACGTCACCATGATCATAATTGCCGCCTGATAGCACGGGGCTGGGCTGAAAAGCTCTTGTCAAAGTTTTTTCCCATTATGCCAGTGCGAGTGCGTCTGAGGTCATCTATGCGCTTTACATGTCCATCGATGCTGCGGGCTTCTGAGATTCCGGGTGGAGTGCCAGTGAAGAATTCCGGTTAGGTTCATACGAAGTCTGTCTGGTTTTGAAGGTACCCCTTTTGTTTGGTCTTACAGGGAAGCCAAACAGAAAGCCACCATTTTGGGCAACCCACCACACATGTAGAACCTACTTTAGCGGGGATTGGGATGTTCACTGGGGGATAACCAGGGTTTTGACCCATGGCCATATTATAGGCTCAAAGAAAAGACCGTGTGCGGCGGGGAAGAAGCTTGGAGCTCAGGACCTGAACACCGCGAGCATCATCACAGAGACGCACCCGGTGTTCATCGTCTGCGAGTCGCTGTGGCGAAGGAAAAAACCAAAAAACAAACAAACGGGTTGAGCCACAATCAAAACCCGGGTAGATGAAGCTTAGACGATCCCGACCATAAATAGCTGCGGATATCCGCCTTCTTAGTTCCTTACATGGTTCTGGGCTTGGACCATTTTAGTGCCGGGTTTTGAGCAAGTGACTCGGTTCGTCTCACGCTAGGGGCACCCACAACACTTGACGAGTTTCCTTTGGCTCTTGAGTCCATCCCCAAGAAGATGTCCCGGAAAAAGAGATACACGGCGGGGCTGACTGATTGATCCAAGGCAGCTCTTCTGCCTCTACTTCTTCCTGGCAGCTTGATTTGATCTTTCGAGCCGTTTCGGGGTCAGTCCCACTCCGACATAGATGGGGGTTTCTCCTACATGGGGTCCGCTTGGCTCCTGCGAACGCAACCCCAAAAAGAGATCCCCCTTCGGACAAGCCCATGTTCGCCGAGGAGCTCTGGATCCGCCTCTGGGCTGCAGAGAGCCTTTCGCAGCCAAGAGATCTGAGCGACCAATATTCGTTCCGCCCAAAAAAAAAACCGGTGGGCATCTGAGCGCCTTTTCTCTCCGTCGGTTGCAGCAGAGGCATCATCAAGTCCTTGCCAAGTTGCTAGACCAAAAGTCAATTGGGTGCCAGGCTTCATGGCCTTCGAGCGGAAGTGCAAGTGCTTCAGAGACGCCTGGTTTGTGCGCTGGCCTCAGCAACGCCGCGTGGCCTCCCGCCGAGCCCCCGCAAGCCCCCCCCCAAGAGCCGGGGCTTGGGGCCTCCGGCAGGTTCGACCTGACGCTGGTTGTGATGATGGTCGCGGAGACATGGGCGGAGACCTTAGACTCCGTTTGGGCGCGAGTTCCTTTGGGCGCGGCATGAATTTTCGCTGACCGCGGTATCTGGGAGCAGGAGGTGGGCGATCCAATTTTTTCCGAGGCATCCATTTTTTCTAGGGGATTGATTTTGCAAACCCCCGGGCCTTTTTCCACCGTTTTTCTTGGTGGGGGGTGGGGTCCGGGGGCCGTTCTTTTTTCCCGCCCCCCTCTAGGTTTGGCGCCGGGGGGGGGTCGCCGAGGTGATGAACATCGTCATCTTAGCCTTGGCCTCTCTCGGCAACGGCGGGTCCAACTTCTTGGGGGACGCCTCCATCCTGCGCATGGCGAGGCGCGACCGGGAGGAGGAGTGCGTTGTCAGAATATGGCCATATATCGCTAGGATTCTTCAAGGGGAAGCCCTTGAAATGGTGGTTGGTGGACATAAATCCCCACCAGGAGGGGATTCTCTTCTCAGAATCTGGTTTTGACTGAATTGCTCAATCAGGAAAGCCCCTGAAATGGGTATGGGGCAAAATTAAACACCAGACCGGGAGGTTTTACTCTATTGTTGACCCGCGCCCATATGTTGTATTGTCGTACTCTGGATGGATTTTCGCACCACGAAATGAAACCACGGGTGAAACCATGTTTGTTGGTACTTACAGGGGAATCGAATCATTCTAGGGTTTCTCAGGTCGTGCAGGATTCGTTCATCCACAGTATGCTATGCTGACAGATTGGTTTGGCAGGAACGCAGCAAGACAGCAAGACTTCCAGTTCATTCTTTTTGCGTTCCAGTGCAACTTCCTCAGTTCCCCAGCCGCTCAGACAAGCTCCCGTCAGGCTCATGCGGCTGACGCGTCTGCTGCGGATGGCTAGGCCAGGTAGAAGCAAGACACGGGGAGAGGCCGTTGCAGGATGGTGGCCAAGCGGTTGGAGTCAGGAAATTGACAGGGGTCCCTATATAAAAGTTGATCAAAAGGTCCTTTACCTGGGATGAATCGTCAGGAAAACCACAAATATGTTGTTTTTTTCTTCTCCCAGTAAATGGGAGAAGTGGCCCATGGTCATTTTTGGGGCCAGACACATTGATCAACCCCCATATCTCCCTTTCTGGTGGCACATCACTTTCTTGGCCCATGACTGGTGAGTGTCCCTTGGTGCTGATGCTTCAAGGGGAAACAACAGGGAGCCCTGATGGAGCTAGAGCCTAGAGAGACAGATTCTTCCAGTCCAGAGAAGGCCTTCTTTTTCGACACAGGCGCATCCACAATCCTAAAGAACACTCCGGCCACCAGCTGCGTCCGCTCTTTTGATTCACCGTGCCCATGTTGCCATGGAACCAGGCGAAACGCGGGAAGACTGGAAGACTGGTTCCATTTCTGCCTATGGAGCCGATCGCAAGTTTCCAGGAGGGTGGTTTTCGGTTGGTTGACGGGCACTCCACCCACCCCACCCACCAACCCCACCCACCCCACCCCACCCACCCCACCCCACCCCACCCCACCCACCCCACCCCACCCCCCACCCCCCACACACCCCACACCCCACACCCCCACCCCACACCCCACACCCCACACCCCACACCCCACACCCCACACCCCACACCCCACACCCCACACCCCACACCCCACACCCCACACCCCACACCCCACACCCCACACCCCACACCCCACACCCCACCCCACCCGCCCGCACTCTTGGCTGCTGTAGGCTCATCCGCCTGGTGCCTGAGCTGCTGATCCTGGTGAAGGCCATTGCCTCGGCCACCAGGCTCCGCCCGGAGAAGGTTTTTTTCCCGCCTGAGAAGGGTCTGATTTGGCTGTGGTCAAAACCGTTTTGGATACAATTTTGGGGTCACCACCCATTTTAGTCTATTTTAGCGGGGATTGGGATGTTCACTGGGGGTACGGGATTTTGACCCACAGCCATTTTTTTTCCATGCGGGGGCGCTTTGGTGGACATCATGCGCTTTGAGGTGGTTCCCTGTTACAGTTCATGGCCAAATGGGTGATATGCAGATGCTGTACGGCTAGGCATACAGCTTGCGTTAAAAATGGCTGAGCAATTTGTGAGCACCAGCCCGGTTCCTTAGCGTGAACACGTAGACGTTGAACAATTCATGTTCCATGGCTGCTTGGCAAGAAATCTTTGTTTGTCATCATTTCCGTGCCATCCAATGCAAAGAAGAAGTCCGAAAAGGGCTTTGGGAAGGACACGGGCAACGATTGCGGGCGAAATCCCTCGACTTGTTTCGCAGGTCCGTGGGCTTCACACTGATGCTGCTGGGCATTTGCCTGGGCCCGATCCGATGCGAGCGTGCGCATGGATGTGACCCGTTTAAGGAAAGCCGTTGCACCATGTTGGGGCTTGGGGAACGGTCTAAGGAAGGTTCTGGCCAGCTTTTACCCTGGTAGCTTAGTCCCCTAAGAACAGTAGCCAAAATGTCTCCAAAAACGGACACCCGAAGAGTTGGCTTGCTGGCTCGTCGCCGATTCAATCCTCGAGGCCTCTATGTCTTCGCGATTGCCTTCCGGATGACGTTGGAGGGGACGACAGTAGGCTGCGTGACTCTGTGCAACGGGAGGTTCCCCCAGACCGCTTTGACTTGAGGTACCGTGGATGGACGAAATCCTGTACCACCGTTCAGAACCCTGGCATGATGATTCCCCTGCAACTACCACCAACCAAAGGGTTTCAACCCTGGTCTCAAAGTGGTGCAGGAATTCGTGCATCCGCTGCACGGCTCTTTGCCTCGGCCGAAGTCACCTGCGAAATGGCAGGTTCAGACTACTTTGCCACTGTTCCCGTCTCCATGCACAGCCTCTTCATGCATGGCCGCTCCCTTGGTAAAAGAGAATCCACCATGGCTGTGGTGGTCAAAACCAATGGGATTTTATTTTGGGGTAGGTGCACCACCCATGGGAAGTCTCTTTTAGTGGTTGGATTGGGATGTTCGCTGGGGGTACTGATGCTGTCTCATTGGTGCTGCTTTTCTCTTGACGGAAATCGCTCCTTTCCAGTCTTCAGAGGCGCCTCCTGAGATCCAACATAAGTTGCACGTGCTCAAAACCAATTCGGGCAAGTGAAGGTTAGGGACGATCCCCTTGCCATAAATAGCTGCGGATATCCGCCTTAGTTATTGAAGCATGGTTCTGGGTCGACCATTTTTGTACCAGGTTTTGATTGTGACATATTGTGACTCATATGTTCCAAAACTGAAGGGGTGCGTGGTGACATCAGGCACCTTCCTCGATGCCGTGTCCGATGTCATGACTGCCATGCTTGCTGAAAGCTGGCTTGGCGCCTTGGCGGGAAGTCGCGCTTCAGCTGAATTTTTGTTTGCGTGGCGATCCAGCTGAGGTTTCATCTTGATGTGCCCTTGCTGCAAGTTGTCGAGTTGTTTTTCCGAATGTGGAATGCCATTCAAAGCGAGCCATGGTTTGCTGCCTGAAACGACGGCACCTCAGGTACGTGTTCATTATTCTCTCAGTCCTTGGCTCAGATTGCGCGACTGGCAAGCTGCGGAGATCTTGGGATGGGGGAAGCCGCGGAAGCATTGCGCTTGGCCGTTGCAGGCAGTGACGATCATGAACATGCTGCGGCTTGGCACATTGTTTTTTCTCTAGCTGCTGCCGCTGCTGCTGCTGCTGCGCAAGCGTAAGAGCATATGAGTCACAATCTTTTTCCCGGTACTGGAGGGCAATGGACAATCCCAGCAATACATGGATGTGGGTGGACCATGTTTATACCAGGTTTTGATTGTGACTCTCATATGTGGCAACTCTGCCAGGGCTCCTTAAAAGATTCTATTTTGCAACCATTTGACACATGTTGCTTTTTCAACACCAAAATCACGGTTGAAACCACCATTTACAAGTTGCAATGTTCAGGTGTATGTATCCGGATCCCTGTCTGCTCCAGGATTGGTATCCTATGTGAAGTCATCACCGCAGTGGCTGATGCAGAGAAGAATGCGCTCCAGGTGAGCTGGACAACAGCCCCTGGCTTGGAGTACAGCGAGAGTCTGACCAGACTGGAGACCGGATGGTTGGACTTGCCAGAGAGGGGGCCACCCATTGGTTTAAACATGTTACCACTGGTTAAGATGACTCTTCCCTTGTAAAGGTGGTGGTTAAACCATATTTTGCCCCACCCAGCCAGAGAGACAAAGCTTGGACTTGCAGAGAGGGAGCTGTACTTCAGAGTTGTTGTTTAAATCTAATTGAGTGACTATGAAAAGCTGGAAATTGGAAGGTAAAGGGCAATCCCAGCGACTTCTTTTGGTGCGGAGATCCGTTGAAAAAGGAAGCATGGTTAAATGGCCATGGGTCAAACTCCCGTACACCCGTGAGCATCCCAATCCAAGCCTAAAATGGGCGGTGAATTAATTCACCGACCAAAATGGTAATTATCCAAGCCAAATAGCTTGGACCACTTTCCAATACCGGGGTTTTGATGCTTCATTGGTTTTTGAGGAAGTCCTCCAAACCTGCCTGGAAGCGGGCGCCGACACGGACAACGACGGCTGCATCGACCGGGATGAGTTCAGAGGCGCGACGCAACTTTTTTTGGGGGAGGGGCCGAAAGAGACGACACCAGACGCGGCTTTTTGTTGCTCCTCTTTTCGAGGCCGTCTACCAGAGACCAACCCTTTTTTTGTTCGGGGGGGAGGGGGGGGAACATATTTTCTGGGAGACACCCGGTGGCTTTCGGTTTCCTGGTCGCCATTTGATTTTGCCGGCCAGATATGATCGCCAACCAGAAGGTGCGAGACGTGCTCAAGGAGGTGGCGTCTCGGCGGGGAGGGAGTTCTCTTTACGCTTTGGTCGCGGCAAGTTTCGCAGCTTCGAGGACCATTTTGGCAAGCCTTCCCAATTTTTAGCATTCTTGCGCTGGTGTAGCGGCATTTTTGTTGCGCGGCTTGGATGACCATTTCTTACCAACTAACCTGGAACCAGACGTGTCAGGGTCCTTGTTTGGGCCATTTTCCTTTGAAAGGGACCATTTCCCTGTCACGTTCCGGCTGTCAATTGGTGGGAGGGTGCAATTTTGCAGCGCGCTTTCCCCAGTCTTTGTATGTTTTTCACCTGTGCGAGCCAAGGACGTGGACGTGCGGCGCTTAAGCCGTTTCCATAGGCGTCCTTTTGGTTGGAAAAATCGATGGCGATTCCTGGCTTGCCTGGTGGTTTAATCGTCTACCAGGCCCATCTATTGCCCCTAAAAGGACTATGGCAGCCAAGTGTCTGAAGAGTGCCCCGTTGCGCAGCGTCACCTTTTCGATTCCTGCAAAACGGCGGTTTTCCTTTCGGGTATGGGTCAAAATTAAAAGGTTTGAGTGCTTGTTTCCATTTTTCAGGGTTCCATTTTGGGTACCTATGCTTGACCCACAGCCAAGCTACGAGTTTTTCTTGCAAGGTGCAGACGGTGGGCAATTTCATCGACGTCCTCTTTGAGGACTCAGCACCTGTCAGCACTGGAGCGTGTGAGCACTGACTTTGAGCATCTCTCGAGGACGATCAGGGGGGACTTCCCCTCAATAAGCTCTCGCCTCAGTTTGGCGAAGCCAAAAAGGCAACAGGGGGCCAGATGTATGGCCCTGTTTGCTGAATTTAAACGTCACCTTGTTGGCCAAAGGTTATTTTTTCCCTTGGTAAAGGTGATGTTTTAAGGGGAAATGTAGGGAGCCCTGGGCAAGCGTTTTTTCTTTTTTGACAGCTCACAGCTCGACTCACATGATGCATAACTTTGGCTGCCAAAATTTTCGGATGCCAAAGCAGTTGGACAGCAAGTGATCGCAGCCTGCGCGGGGTTGCTGGTTTCTGGCTCCGAGGCTTCCCTTCACAGAGTTTATGAGCAGATTACTGAAGCTGCGCGGCAGCAACCATGCCACCGTCAAGGCGCATGTGCTGGATTTTTTTTCAGACGCTTTGCAGTGTGATGTGATCAATGCGAGCTTCAATCAAACTTTGTTCGCCTTGGGTGGAATCTTTGCCGAGCTAGTAGCCTTCTCTGCTCCCCCGCCCCCCCCTCCCCCCTCCCCCCCTCCCCTCCCCTCCCCTCCCCTCCCCTCCGCCTCCGTCCGACTCTGTGTGACAGCGGCAGGACTTGGTGGACCTTCGGAAGTGGATGAGCCTCAGCCTCGGGGGTCTGAGCGGAAGGAACCCAAGAAGCTCGTGTGTCTTTTTGGTCGGTGTGTGTGTTTTTGGAGGGAACCCTTTTCGTTTTTTTTTTTTTTGGAAGGGGAACCAAAGGAAAACCCACAAAAAGCTAATTGGGGGGTAGCCTCACAAAGGAAACCCTCACACAAATCCGATGTCTCGAGGAATCTCTCTCTCTCTCTCTATACCTTGAGAGCGACTTGTTTTTCCCTTTTGATATTGGCTCGTGTTTTTTTCTTCTTCTTTTTCTTTCGTTATGTGCTTTTCCTTGGATCGTTCTTTTTGTTGTTTCTCTCTCTCTCTCTCTCTTTTCCGGGGAGCCCAACACCAGGAAGACCCACTTCCCCCCCTGCCTGTACCCCCCGTCCCCCCTCCAATGCCTGCTCCATGGCGCTCCAAATCTCCTCCTGTGGAACTGGCAGGCCGCGAGTTGAATCAACGGCCGGGGCTGCGCGGCGCCCGGAATCTCCGGCGTTTGTCCGAAGAACTCGGGGGCGGGTCTGGCGACCCCAGAAAAAGGGGCCCCGTGGCCAGTTGGAAGCGGCGGTTTGTTCCGTCTTTTTCTTTCCAGATAAAGCATGGAAAAAGAAACACGGGATTCTGTTTCTTTCTTGTTGATTGGTTTCCTGTCGGGTCTCCAACGAAAAGAGAATGCTCAATTTTTCGCCCAGCTGGCCGAGGCGCAAAACACACAAGCGGGATGAACCGCCCAAAGACTAAACCCAGCGGCTTTTTTGCGGGACATGTTGAGCCAGTCTTGCGAAGTCAAAGACGCTCGACTGGACTGGTTGTGATCGGTTTACGCGGGGTTTGGAAGCCATAGGGCTTCCACCAGAACTTGACTGCGGTTTTGAAAGCGCTTGAAGCCTAGAGGGTAAATGTGACACCACCCCATTCCACACCGATTTTCAGCTCCCAGCCACTCGGAGCTGAAGCTGGCGCCCTCGCGAGGTCCGAGGGCTTTCAGCCACTTGGCCCAAAAACTTAGTCGCTGCCTTGCGCTTTGGGCATTCCCAAGCTGTTTTCGCCCGTGGCCCGCCGCATTTTGTTCGGATTTTTCCTGAGCTTGGACATAGTCTGAGCACTGAAGTTGGAACTGATCTCTGCTAGGCGCATCATTTTTTCTTTTTTTGTGCAGCGGGAGTATTTTCTTTTTCTGAAGCTGTTTAGAGCAGCACCAGGGACGTCCTTGCACTTGCAAGTTGCGGGCGAGGGACGGATCTGAGGACAACCAAGTCCAGCGGCGAAGTGCTCATGGCCCAGACCCTCCCTAGCAGGCTCCATCACTGGGTCTGGGAAATGGCTGTGGTTGTCAAAGCCGTTTTGGATACCATTTTGGGGTAGGTGAATTCACCACCCATTTTAGGACCTACTTTAGCGGTTGGATTGGGATGTTCACGTACGGGTTTTCCCGGGCTTTTGACCCGTGGCCAAATGGTCGTGTCTTCGTTTCGGGGGACTGTTTGAAAATGGGTTTCGCTTTCCTCGTGGGTTTCCCCCAACAAAGGACACCTGCCAGAGGACCCCAATTGATGTATTCAAACAACCTGGTTTTGAGACCCCCAATCACCTCCGGCTTTTCTAATGGAGGGGTCGGGTCTTCCATTGAAAGCCCCAGGAGCCTCTGGGCTAAAACTTGTGCCGACTCGAAAGACAGTACCCAAATGGTTTGGCCATCCAATTGGTCTGGCACCCAATCAAAAAAAAGAAAAGCAACAACATGAGGCGCCCCAGATGGCAGCCATGCCCTGAGCCAAGGGTCCGTCGAAACGACCTGCCAATGGCAGGTCCAAGCCGAGCGACTTTCATGCGTTGATGCCGGGTCAGGCGGGGCCTGGGGGGCTGGCAGCGCTGTCGCGACAGCGCTGTCGCGATCGCGGTCGCGCGATGTATCGAGATGTCGCGCGATGTGGGTTGAAGATCAGACGCTCAGCACGCGCTGGCAACCGTGCTTGTCCCGCAGCCGCTGAGTCGCTGAAGTCGCTAGGTGCCTTAGTGCGGTCTGATTTATAGCTGCCATGCTGGATTTCATCACCATCTTGTCGACTGTTGGCTTGCAGCAGGAGCTGAAGAAGGCACATGGTGATCAGAGCTTGGTGATTCGTGAGGATGACACCTCGCCCACCAGCTTTGTCGAGTCTGCTGCCGGATCTCTCGCTGGCGTCATGGATGCCTTTGACACCGCTGTCAGTGAGAGCTTCGGGGCAATTCTTGGCAGCCGCGAGGAGGAGCCAAAGATGGCACCAAAGAAGGCATGATCCTTGCGAGTCTAACTCGAGGGGCCCCCCCGGCGGCTCTGTCCGGGCTACAGCGCCAACACAGGAACTCGTGCTGAGCCCAATTTCACATCCTTCGAAGGGCACTAGTTGCCAGCGACTGCGATGCAAGCGAAGAAACAGGTGCATGCATGCATTGAAGATTTCAATCTCTTTCTTTTGTGGCGTTATTTGCACAGCTGCATGGAAAACACAGTTGCCATTGTGTTTAGCATACGCACCAGCTGGCATGCATGCACTGCTGACCACTGAGTGCAAGACTTGAAGACAGCCCCTTCACTTGTTCGTTTGTTCTTTTTACGTGATGTTCCAGTCAGGGTTGCGTTTTTCTGTCGGTTTGCCTTGCCTCTTGTCTCCTCTTCATGTTCTGAAGCTTGCCCAATCCTTTGCTTGCTTCTGTTTCTTCCAGTACCGACCACCTATTGCCTCTTTCCTAGCCTGCCCAATTGCCCACTTGCTGCCTAAAACCACGCACAACCGTGCACAGAGGAGTGAAGCAAGCAAGCAGGCACGACATTGGCAGACAATTATTCTTTCTGGCCTGTTACCTCTTGCCCACATGAGTGCAGCATGCTTATTGCTTGCCCAAAGAGATCTTGAGTAACTGTTACCCACAGCTGCCAACCATGCCTGTCCCGCAGCCGCTGAGTCGCTGAAGTCGCTAGGTGCCTTAGTGCGGTCTGATTTATAGCTGCCATGCTGGATTTCATCACCATCCTGTCGACTGTTGGCTTGCAGCAGGAGCTGAAGAAGGCACATGGTGATCAGAGCTTGGTGATTCGTGAGGATGACACCTCGCCCACCAGCTTTGTCGAGTCTGCTGCCGGATCTCTCGCTGGCGTCATGGATGCCTTTGACACCGCTGTCAGTGAGAGCTTCGGGGCAATTCTTGGCAGCCGCGAGGAGGAGCCAAAGATGGCACCAAAGAAGGCATGATCCTTGCGAGTCTGACTCGAGGGGCCCCCCGGTGGCTCTGTCCGGGCTACAGCGCCAACACAGGAACTCGTGCTGAGCCCAACTTTCACATCCTTCGAAGGGCATTAGTTGCCAGCGACTGCGATGCAGGCGGAGAAACAGGTGCTACATGCATTGAAGATTTCAATCTCTTTCTTTGTGGTGTTGTTTGCACAGCTGTACGGAAAACACAGTTGATGCATGCACTGCTGGCCACTGAGTGCAAGACTTGAAGACGGCTCCTTCACTTGCTTGTTCTTTATATTTCTTTTTGCGGAATTTCCTTGCAGCAACCTTGTTGTTGTTATTCTTTCATTGAGTGCATTTATTCTTTGTCCTTCATTTTCCAGTCAGGTTCGCGTTTTTATGTCGGTTTGCCTTGCCTCTTGTCTCCTCTTCATGTTCTGAAGCTTGCCCAATCCTTTGCTTGCTTCTGTTTCTTCCAGTACCGACCACCTATTGCCTCTTTCCTAGCCTGCCCAATTGCCCACTTGCTGCCTAAAACCACGCACAACCGTGCACAGAGGAGTGAAGCAAGCAAGCAGGCACGACATTGCCAGACAATTATTCTTTCTGGCCTGTTACCTCTTGCCCACATGAGTGCAGCATGCTTATTGCTTGCCCAAAGAGATCTTGAGTAACTGTTACCCACAGCTGCCAACCATGCCTGTCCCGCAGCCGCTGAGTCGCTGAAGTCGCTAGGTGCCTTAGTGCGGTCTGATTTATAGCTGCCATGCTGGATTTCATCACCATCCTGTCGACTGTTGGCTTGCAGCAGGAGCTGAAGAAGGCACATGGTGATCAGAGCTTGGTGATTCGTGAGGATGACACCTCGCCCACCAGCTTTGTCGAGTCTGCTGCCGGATCTCTCGCTGGCGTCATGGATGCCTTTGACACCGCTGTCAGTGAGAGCTTCGGGGCAATTCTTGGCAGCCGCGAGGAGGAGCCAAAGATGGCACCAAAGAAGGCATGATCCTTGCGAGTCTGACTCGAGGGGCCCCCCGGGTGGCTCTGTCCAGGCTACCGCGCCAACACAGGAGCTCGTGCTGAGCCCAACTTTCACATCCTTCGAAGGGCATTAGTTGCCAGCGACTGCGATGCAAGCGGAGAAACAGGTGCTGCTGCTCAGGCTTGCTCGAGTGATCAGTCATCGCCTTGATTCTTTACGCCCTACTCTGTTTGTCTATCTTGAGTGTGTGTGTGTGTTGCCAGAACTATTTTTGATCAAATTGCGTCGGGCATGCAGACGATTCCCCTGACCCTTGCGCCAGGTTCCAGATAGAAAGACGCTCGGCTCAGTCTAGACGGGGCGCTGGATCGCTTTCTGAGCATCTGTTGCAAAACGCGCATTGCATAGGGCATACTCACAGCTTAGCAAAGGAAATTGGTTCGTCACGGTTGGTCTCCAATGTCAGCTTGTGAACTAACTCGTCTGTGCTCATTTGGCTTAGCCTTTGTCGTGTGGCTGTACCAATTGCCACGTGATCCCTTTGGCTGAAGTCCTGTCTGGAGAGCTTCGGCACCGCGGAGGCTGAGATTTTCTCTCGGGGATTCCATTTTGGGGCATCGGGGGCCAAGTTTTCGCCCAGGGCTGAGCGCCTCGCCTAAGCACAGCCGCTGGCGATCTGAGATCGGATGGCCAGTAGGCGTCGGACTGAAGCCGCGCTCGACGGGCGATGTACACCGTGCACGTCACCGGCGACCGGGGGGGGGGGCAATTTGGCCAGCCGTGTCCCGTTTCCCGGTTTGGAACCTCCAAGAGATTGGCGGTGAACCCGCCAGTCACTTGCCAACCTTTCGAAGGGGAAATCCAGTGCCCCCTGTTTGGGAATTGAGATCCTCCGTTCAGCCGGTGGGAAAGTTATCAGGTGCGCAAACATCGCCCGAGCTTCGCAAAGCTCGGATCATTGTTTTTCCATGCGCCGGAGAACGCCGTGACACTTGCATGCGGCGACTCTTTTTTTTCTTCGGCGATCCCACACAAGTAGATCTTGGGAAGCTTTCAGGGGCGTTGAAGCTGTGGTTGCTCAGATCTGTTCATACTGGCTTGACCACAGCTGAACTCACAAAATGTTTCTGTTGCAGGCGCATGCCTTGCAACCCCGTGTGCTTTAGCTGATGGCTTCCACAAGAGATGGTTCCTCGTCTCACTGGCAATCCTCGAATGCCAAGCACTCGAGCATAGCCCTTGCAGAAACACTCTCAGGAGGATTCATTGAGCTGCCGCAGAAATCTGCTTCCCGAGGGATTTGTGGGTGGCCTTTGAGTGGAACGGGCTTTGTGTGGTAGCTTTACACATGGCTTGAGACATGTCTCTGTGCGAGCCTGGCTAGTGTGTGCGTGACTGCTTCTTCGCCGCTCGGCTCTGGCGACGTTCCCCGGTTAGATGCAAGATGGAACGGACACACCACGGTTGACAATGTTCGCGCTTACCATGAGTCTGACCCGGAAGGGGCCTCGGAATGACATACACATCCTACCCGAAAGGATCTCATGCTCAAACACCAATATGCAAGTGAAGTCCTGGATGCCCCACGCTGTTCGGTAAAGGAAAGTCCCGAGCCGAGCTGACTTCTTCCCACTTAGTCCAACACATCCCACGAAGCAGAAGAGCGCACATGATAACATGCAGCAAGACTTATGTTGTTGATCCTGAAGGCCCTCTCTGTGTGCATCATAAAATCTTCCTTGGCGCTCCATCCCTCGCGCCAGCTGGACATGAGCCACGTTGGTCAGCCATTGTGCAAAAGCGCTCGGTGGCCATGGCCAGCGGCTTGCAGACGCAGCAAGCCTTCCGCAAGGCACGGCGAAGTTTCCGTGTCACATGCGCTGGCGTGACAGCATTGCCCTTTGGCTTACCTTTAAAACCAACCAAAACGGGGTACTCGCAAGAAAGCACACACACACACACCCATGTTGTTGAATCGGTATCAACAGAGGAACCAACAGGAACCCAGCCATCTTATTGCATCCCATCTGAGATGTCTCAGTGCACCCGCTCGCGGCGCCCTTAGCAGGTGGAGCTTTTGGGCTGGCTGATGCACCTGCGGTACCTCAGCGACATCTGCAGCAACCCTTTGCTGCAGTCCATGCTGCCGCGTCCTCGGGCCGGTCGTGGTTCGCGCGTGGTTCGCGCCGCTTCGCGCGGGAGAAAGTGTTGGAAGCGAAGATACGAGAGTCGTGACTCGTGCCTGCGTGGTGAGAAGGAGGCAAAAGTCCTTCCAACCGCGAGTTTCGCGAAGCGTGTGGTTGCCATGACGTGTTCTGAGTAGCCACAGAATTGTTGCGTTGGCTTGTCTGAGGCTCTCCAATCTCAGTTCGCGGGTCAGGCTCGGGTTTGGAAGATGCGACTTGCGGAACACGTCCCAGATTCCCCGTTTGAGCTGGAGCTCAAGGGGAACGTGCTTTTGGTATCGGGAGTGGCCAGGCCTGACAAAGTCACCATTCGCAGCTTGGCGCGAGATGTCTGCATGGAGGCACGTGGGCTGGCCGTTTCCCAAAGGAGCTGACAGAGAATTCAGGGGCCAACCAACTCGCTCGGCTGTGTCTGTCTTATACAGGGATCCCAACAACATGTCTTGTTGCTCGGGTTCCCGAGCAAAGAACAACCCCCGTAAAACGGGTACCAACTCAAGAAAAGGACGAGCCATCCATTTGGGTATGGGTCATAATTAGTCACCACTAGGCATTGGACCTTTCAGGCTAAATCGGCCAGGTTTCCATGTTGGGCAACCCTTTTTTTGGGGTTACCAACTTTTTTGTTGACCACCACCTTACTTGGGCACCTTTTGGGGACCTGATAGATTAACGCGTCCATGCTTCCATATTATACCGACTGGGCAAGCCATTTTCGGGCCAACTTTTTTAGACCACCAACCATACCAAAGAAAATCACCCTGCAGGTTGTCCATGTCAAGCTGCCCATTCTGTCGACCAGGTTCAAGTTCAAAGGTTCACCTCTTTGAGGCGCCCACTGTAACCATGTTAGTGGGAGGAAGGAGGTTTTGGCCCATTTCATTGACCGGCGTTCCATTTGAGCCAATCAAATCAATCAACACCCGGGTAGATGGCAGTCCCAGCCAGAAATAGTTGCGGATATCCGCCTTCTTAATTCTTGAAGCATGGTTCTGGGTAGACCATTTTACTACCGGGTTTTGATTATGACTCATTTGGGGTGCCGATTTTGGGTGGCGCCCGACATCTCACCGCAGGTGAAAATGAACCTTCCGCCTCTGCCGCGGCTACTCAGCGCCTTGAGGGCGGCCCACCTGGGCCAGGCGCTCATGCGTTTTGTTTTTTTTTTGGGGGGGGGTTTGGGCCAGGCGAAGTTTTTTGTTTGTTTGTTTTTGTTGTTGTTGTTTGTTTTCCGCGAATGTTGCGGTTTTGTTTGCAGAGCAGTTGGATTTGACAGGCGACCGGTGCGATAGGCAGGGAATGAGAAATGGAATGAACCAAGGCTTTGGGCTCCTTAGAGGAAACCACCAGTTGGGTGCTTGATAGGGGTCATGCCATTTCTCATTCCCTGCTGATCAGCAGCAAGTTGAGATGGTGACAGTCTCCGGTTGTGGCTTCTTCTTTTCCCCAGCTGAAAGACACATGGGGCCTTTTCAGCAAAAATACATTGGGGTGGTTCGTGGAAGCTTTCAGGGGGGAATTGAGACGAGTTCAGTAGCTCGACTTGAAACAGCTCGAATAGGCAGGGCCTGAAAGCTTCCAGAGTGGTTTAGGGGAACCAGAGGGATAAAAGCCATTGGGCCCCTTTGAGAAATGATTTATCGGCTTCGTGGCTATTTGGTGGCGGACCTTTGGACTTTAACTTTTGGTTGAAACAGGCCGCACTTTCTGAATTGGACTCATACAAAGTTGTTCACTTTGCGGAGGGGTCAACAGCAACCAAGTGAGGGTGTGTCTTTTCTGGAGTTGGCACCCCTAAAATGAATTTTCGCTTTTGGTTTCCCCTTAAACCATAAAGCAAACAGGGGTATCGCACCAACTCTCAGAAGAAATAGCCACCCACCCACCCCCCCAAAAAAGGAAAGAAAGAACAGAAAAGACAATTGCGTTGCCCGTTGAATCATGAAAAACTGGGGGGCATTCCAACTCCTAAACAAAGATGGACGGACCTTAAAAGCCCCCCCCCAACAGACAACACACATACATGTATATGTATATGTACACATATTATGTATATATTCTACATATATACATACATACACACACACACATACATACATACATACATACATACATACATACATACATACATACATACATGCATGCATGCATACATACCTACATACCTACCTACCTACCTACATACATACATACTAATATATATATATATGTGGCAGTTTTCCTTTTTAGTTTCCTCAAGCATTTCTCCTCCTTTTTTCTTGGTTTGAGGGTGCCCTTTCTCCCCCCTCACCCCCCCCCCCCCCCGTCCGTTTTTTCGACGTTTTGGTGCGGAGGGCGAGCCTTTGGACCTGGCGCTTTGCTTCGTGGCGCTGGGGCGGGCGCTGAAGATCCGCACGCGGCTGGTGCGGTGCCTGCAGGTGGCCAGGCGAGGGCGGCGGGTTGGGCGGGGGGGTGGGGGAGGGGGTGGGAGGTAGGGGGGCAGGGAAGGTTGGAGGTTTTAGGGGTGGGGAGGGGGTGTTAGGTGGAAGCTGACTTTGGCATGGGGTAGTTAGTTCTCTTTTTTGCTTTTTTAGTGGGTAATTCTTTTTGGAGGTGACCTAACATGGCGCGAAGTTGGGGTTGTCCCTTCGATTTTCCGGAACAACCACATGAAACAATAGTCAAACAGGTGTTGGCTTGTTCTATGCTTGGAGCCAAGGGTGGTTGGGACTTCTTTTGCTTTTTCATTTTTTGGTGGTTTGGTTGTTGGTTCTTGGATGTGAAACTCGCCACCCGTCCAAACCACAGGGGAATCTGATTTCTTCCGGCTTTGCCAAGCCGCTGATTTATGGAGTATGGATCAACCCGCAAATCGGAGATCCTTTTGGCTTCAAGTCCTTTGGATTTGAAGCTCCGTCCGAGAAGGGAAGTTGCCAGCTGTCTGGAAGATCCAGTTTGGGGAGTTGGGGAGTTGGGGCCCACCTTTTTAAAAAAAAGCTAATTTGCCCGACAGGTGTTGGGAAAGCTTGGAAGTTGGCTCAAACTGGGGTTGGCTTGCGGGCGCAGGACTTGAACCGCATCTTGTCCTTTCCATTTACCAGGGTTCAACCCATGTTGCCATGGTAAATGTCTTTTGCTTGTGGCTTCCTTAATTTAGCTTGCGGAATTCTAGCGACATGTGCAGGCATCATTTTGGGGACATTCGCGACTTTTAACCCACAAAGCCGGGTGCAATCCCCCGATGTTTTGGCTTGTGGACTTCTAGTAAAATGTGTCAGAGCTCATTTTGGGACTCCGGCTTTGGACCCGCAAAAGGGCTTCTGGCCCAAAAAAAAACACGATTCTTGGGCCCCACGGCTTGGGTGGACTCCCCAGGAAAACAAAAAACAAAAACACAACAAAACCCAAGAAAAAACCGCCGCGGCCAGGACCTCCGGGGTGGAGCTGGGCAAGAGAAGCCGAGGGATCTGGGAGCAGCTCACCGCAGGAGCGCACGGGGGAAAGTTGGACCGCGGCCACCCTGGCTGGCGCTAGGGGGGTTTTCCTGCTGATTTGCCGTAAAGTTTCTAAAAAAAAACAAAACAACAACAACAAAAAAGACACGGAAAAGGGGACCCACTCCAAAAGATAGACACACCCACATGGGCTCGGACCCCGTTTTTTGGAGTTGGTATCCTTTTCTGGGTGGTTTGAAAGGGGGATTCAAAGGAACACCAGTTTAAGGGGTCCGATTCCTGTTTCAAGATGAACCCGAATGACTAAATTGCCAAACTAAATTGCCAAACGGATTTGTGAATCAGCCAAACTAAATTGCTCTCCTTTCCGCCTAGGCAAGTGAACGGTTCTTTGAGAAGATAGATTTGTGCTGTTCGCTAGAGGCATTCCTGAGCATTTCTAGTGACTCACGACATTAAACCAGCCTCATGGCTCACTCGTTAGCAGGGCGGCGGTCGCATCCTGCCAGTTTTGTGCTCTTCACCGCCGCGGCCGGGGCGTCCGGAGGCGGCGTCGGTGAGGAGAACGCGCTCTTCGCTGCGCTGGAGATGGAGGCTACGGAGGCGCTGGCTACTGTGGATGGGTGCGAAATCAAATCCATTTCGCACCACCTAGGCAGCCCTGGTTTCGGATGGTTCCCCTGTACATGCCAACAAACAATGGTTTCCATGGTTTCAGAGTGGTGCGAAATGGATTTCGTCCACCCCCTCCAATGGTCCAATAGAGAACTCTCAGATGCAAAGGATTTGACCTTTCAACCACATGGGAAAAGTTACCCATGGTCATTTGAGGGCCAGAGCATTGATCAACACACAAACCGCAGAACCAGATGGTTACTCGATTGCACCCCCCTCCAATAGAGAACCCAACCCGCCGACCCCTCAAGCGCTTTTCAACAGTCGGAAGCCTAAGGAATATGTTTGTTCCAGGTCCGATCCCCATTCAGCCCCCATTCAGCCAGACTGTGAGCATCATGCAACATTGAATTTTGTGTGTGTTTTTTGAGGGTACCCTTTTTGGGGTTGGTTTAAAGGGAAACCAAGGGACAACCACCATTTTGGGGTCCCCTAAAAAAGCACACCCGGATAGATTGATTGGCTTTCGTCATGCATCCCGGCAGCGTGTTGATGAAGCACTACGGTCAGAACCTTTGCCGTCTGATCGGGCAGGATCCCCCCCCCCCCCACAGTCGAAAGTTGAAGCGAAGCCCGTTCCAAACCTGAAAGCTCACGACTGATGGCCTCTAAGGTTGACCCCGGATGAATAAACCCCTGTTTGTTCATGTGGGGATGTCCCCTTTTAGTGGGGATTCAGACCACTCTTGGAGGGACCACCCCCCCTAGTAATGGGACGGGTTCATGAACTCTGGGTCAACATTAGGTGACTTTGTCACTTTTCACGAGATCCGATTGCCGAGGGAGTGGACAGCACCATCCTTGCTTACGCAGGCGGGAAGCGGGAAGCGGGAGGGAAGCGGGGGCCAGATCGAGCCAGTCGGGCCCAATAGACCGATGCCGAGATAAAGCGTTGGGCAATATTTCATACTTTTGCTTATTGCGGTTTAGTGGAAAATCCCCACTTAACCGCTAAAATTTAAGTTTTTGCTCCCCTTCCAACGTCAACCATGGTAATTGGACCAGGTCATGTTAACGAGCCCAAGCCTTTTGTTTCTCCCACAGCGGCCTGCTCCTCAAAAGAAAAGGCACGCTTCTCATCGAAACCAGCTGTTCTTGAATTTCTACAGGAACTTGGGCGGCCATTCACCCACCAAAACCAGGGGTTCCTGCAGAATTTCCCTGGATTCATTATTTTGACGTTTTCTGGGGGTGATCAAAGTCGGAACATGGGGCTATTTCCCGATAAAACCCACCACTGAACGGGGGTGACTTTGATCGTGGTAAAGCAATGCTGGCCACCCACCAAAACTCGGGGTTTCCTGCAGAATTCCCTGCAGGTTGTTCCCTTGACTGCTAGTGGGCAACGGATCTTTAGACTTCAACTTTTTGGTTGAAATCAAGTCGGGGTTTCAACCCCCAAAAAAAAAAGGGGAAGACCAAATGCAGGGGGGGTCTCTCGTTACAGCAACCAAGCTCCGAGCACCTCGCGGGAATTTCGGGTCCCGGAGGCCTTCGCTCGGAGCCGAGAGACCAAGTGCTCTGCACCTGGGCGGAGTGCTTCGAGGACTGGGGTGGGGCTCCGTTGTCTGGAGTTGGTACCCTTTGGGTTTGTGATTTTTAAAGGATCCAGAAAACCAAAAGGCGATGGTGCCCCTTGCTTTTGTGGTTTTAAAGGATCCAGAAAATTCAAAAAGAGAACCGAAGCCAATCTGTTTGGGGGAGTCCAACTCCTGAACGACTTGATAGCTGTATGGGGCTTTTCTATCCTTGCTCAGGAGTCCTCCAATACGTGGCCGCTCGACAGATCGACAGACTCTGAGCGAGGCTCATCTCGAGGCTTCGGGAGGGTTTTTGTTTGTGGCTGAGAGGCGGTATGATTCCATTGGCGTTGGCCCTCGTGTATTTGATCTTGTTTCAGTTGCTGTCAGGGTTCCGTTTTTTTTTTTTTTTGGGGGGGGGGGTAGACTTAAACCTTGGGGTTTCCCTTTGGGGGAATCAACCACCCCTGGGCTTAACTCTGCCTTGGGGTAGTCAAAAAACGGAATAGTTGCTGTGCTTGCCTGAGCTTCTGACCATCTTTGTATCTCAGGATCGCCGTGGACCCAGTCCCTTCGGCTGCAACGGTGTCGTTCTCATGGCCACCGGGAGACATGCGGAGGGCAGCACACACAGAAAACAAAAGAGGGGTGGAGCTCAAAACAAAAACATGCGCCGCTGGCTCAAGCCCTGGGTAGATGAATGTTAAGGGAGAATCCCCCTTGCCACAAATGGGTGCCTTCGGCTTTGTGGTTACAGGGTTCTGGCTAGACTCTTTCGATCGGTGAATTGACTCATATGATGAGCCTCCCAACTGGGGCACCGTGGTGGCTAGGTTGGCCCCGTGGTGGCGGTGGCGCCGCTTGGCCTTTGGCTCCACCCGCAGACCCCCTGGATCTGCGCGGGCGACGACGCCTTGCAGGCGGTGCCTCGACGACAAGAGGCGGCCAAGAGGCGAGCCAAAGGCGGAGAACTGGGGGGAGGGGGTTGGTGGTTTGGAGTCCGGCAGTTTGGATTTGGATTTGAGCGTAAATTGGAAAACTCCTCCTTAAACACCAAACCACCAATCCAAGCTAGTTCGGAGTAGCGGTTTGGATTTGGATTTCGACAGATCGAGAAATTCTTGGAAGACTGCATTGGAATTGGGGGAGTCTCCCAGCCAAGGACTACTGCGAGCTAGCCGACGTGACTGATCGCTATCACAGGCCTGGATCTCAAAGGGCAGAGACTGTGTGCAGCCATCAATCCCTCAAAATGCTGCAATGGTGTTCCTGTTGTTTTTCCGAAGCAAACAAACAGAGAGACAAACAAGCAAGCAAGCAAGCAAGCAAGCAAGCAAGCAAGCAAGCAAGCAAGCAAGCAAGCAAGCAAGCAAGCAAGCAAGCAAGCAAGCAAACAAACAAACAAACAAACAAACATTCACAGAGGTACCAACTCAAAGCCCAACTAGAACCAGCCGTCACCAGCACGGCATTGCTGAAGGCCCGAAGACATCCGGAAGACTCGGGCGCCTCACTGGGAGCAGCTGTGCCCCGGCAAGCTGGCCGTCCATTTTCTTTTCCGATTTTTTGGATGTGGCTAAGTCACATATTTGAGCCACTGGCTCCAAAGCGGATTCGGGTAGAAGGTGAGCAAGGGGAAGGTGCCTTTGCCAGAAATGGGTGCGGCATCGGCCGCATGGTACCCTTTTTGGGGGTTCAAACAAGAAAGGAGCAGACCCATATCTCAAAGCCTTTCTCCTCTCCAGACCGAGGTTTTGTTGGTTCTAAGATGGGTTCCACTGCCCTTCATGCCCATGGTTTCTACCCCCCCCCCACCCCCCAAAAAAAGAGGGCAGACCCATACTGTGGGTGGACGAAATCCTGCACCACCTAAAGAAGCCCTGGAAGGATTCGATTCCCCAACGTACATACGAACAAACCTTATGGTTTCAGCCATGGTACGTCAATTGATTTGCCTTGCCAGGCCGTGATTTGCCGCCCCCCCCCCAAAAAAAAAAACACACACACACACAAATAAGCTCAGGTGATATCCCCAACAGCATGCGGTGCTCTTTTTAGTGCTCGCAGCACCCCGCAGCCCTCGCAGAACCTCGTGGAACCCTGGTGGAACCCTAGTCGAACCCTGGTGGAACCCTGGTGGGACCCTGGTGGGACCCTGGTGGAACCCTGGTGGAACCCTCGTGGAACCTTACCTCAGGGCCGCCCCAGACCACCCCGGAGCCTATGTGGTCTGAGACCCCAGAGCTTTCAGCTGTTGGGGAAAAACCGGGCAGACCCATATCTCCAAAGCTTGGCGAGGGCCCCCTGGTGGACCAGAGCAGTGCAGCAGCTTTCCGGCCACCTCGCCAGCCTCCAGAAGACGCCTGAAGCGGTTCAGGCGCTCCTTCAGTTTTGAGCAGCAGCAAACAAGGGCTTGTGAACGGTCGAAATCTAGGCTTTCTGGTTTGAGGGACTTTTTTTCAAGGGAGGCCATGAAATGAACACCGTTGCACCATGTTGCCAATCCACTCTGCCAGGATGTCCCGGTCCCGATGTGCCAGGTGGGAGGGAGAGAGCTTGCCTCGAAGTTGCCTTGGCGACATGTGGGCCTCCCCAAGAATGGGTTCGGTTTTTCCCGAGTTCCTGGACTTCAAACCTTCTGGGAAGACCATCTTAGCGGCAAGCAAGAAGTCTGGAGCCTTTTTTGAACCATTAACTCAGGAAGTGAGTGGTGGTTTTCTTCTGACCCTTTTTTCGCAGCCTCAAAAATGAAAAACCCAGGTATCTCTGGGTCTGTGGCCAGGATGTCGCCGTCCCAACGGGCCAGGTGGGAGGGTGGAGGGCAGTTGCTCTCACGAGATGTGTGTGGCTCGTCTTTTTAAGGTTGGACCCCCCCCAAAAAGGGGTATCCTGCTCAAAACAAGACCCATGTTGGACATTTCAGGGAAGTTTCAAGTTTTCTTCCCGAATGGATTCGACAGATGAGATAGATCAGCTTAGATCACAATAGACTAGATTAGGTCAGGTCAGATAGATAGAGACTGGAAACAGTTACGTTAGCTCAGTAGATGGATGGATAGGCTAGATTTGATGAGGTAGCACATTGGTTTGATTACAGTGCAGATGTGGACAGATAGCTAGAAAGCGCGGTTAAGTTGGATAGATAGGCAGAGAAATGCTGTTGGTACATGGGACAGATTGATGGATACATAGACAGAGGTATATAAAGAAAGACATGCAGGTAGTTTGGCCAATAGGAGAGATGGAACGATGGAAAGATACGATAGATCGACAGGTTAGCTAAGGCTAGATTGGCGTAGATAGGATTGAATGGATTAGATTCTTAGATTAGCTAAGATTAGGTTAAGTAGACAGAGAGGCAGGGGAGATTGATTAGATTGACAGGTAGGTCAGACGCATAGATGCACCTAGCTACACATAGCTAGATAGGTGGGTAGTTGGGTAGTTGGGTAGGTGGATAGATAGCTAGACAGATAGGTAGACTAGACTAGAGTAGCGTAGGCCAAATAGATCGACTAGATTAGACTAGACTAGAGATTGGATTTCGTCAGTTTAGGCTAGATGATATTATACATATATATATATATACATATGTCTAGATAGACAAGTAAAATATGGATAGAGAGACAGATGCATAAGTTGTTAGATGTACAAAGAGATAGAGAGACAAAGGGGTAGAAAGAGAGAAGTTAGAGGGCCGGAGAGACAGATAACTGTAGCTTCTGGCAACTGAAATGCTTCGGCCTCATGGCTTCTTTCAGTTTTTCTTTTGCGGACTTCCAACCCTCCCGTTGCTGGAAGGCTTGCGCAAAGACAACCTTTGAGGATGACAACACAGGAGGCGTCCAACATCAAAGACACGTGTTTTTGTTTTTTGCGAAGCCACACATGCTCAAATTTGAGAGGTTCTCGGAGGGGCAATCACAGCATCAAATCTTAAAAACCACATGGGGCGTTTTTGGCTGGACATGTTGAGATTGAGCGACCGCGTGAGGCGTTAGCAAGCAACCGAGAAAGCAAACCGATGGGACGTGAAGACCTGTTTGGCCGCGGCTCGTATCAGGAACGAACGGCTTATGCTCATGTACATCTACAGGGCTCCTTAAAAGATCTCCATTTTGCCCATTTGAAGCATGTTGCTTTTTCAACACCAAAGTAATAATGGAAACCACCATTTACGAGGCAATGTGGTGTATAATATAAGGATCCCTGATGTAGCATTCCACGTACGCCCTGTCAGGCGAGGCTGAACCGGGCCCAGGTCAAGAAAGTCCAGAAGCGCGCCTCGGTCAGGCGTAGAGTTCGGCGGCTGAAGTTGGGGAGTTCCGAGACTTTGGACGTATCATCTCAGTGGCGAGCAAAGAGTTTGGAGAATTCTCGGCCAGTCCACTCAGGAACGTAGGTGTCCTTGTTGATTTGGTTGAAACATAGGTGGGGCGATTCCTGGTTTAGCTGGTTCAATCAACCCAGGGAGATCCAACCATTTTTTCAACCAAAAAGGACACCGATGCTCAGGAAGGATGCCCCGAAGCTGTTTGATTCGGTTGCGGAAAACATTGAGGACAGGGCGCCACCAGCCTTCCCAGCCTCGAGCCCTTCAAAGAGCGCGTGCCTTGCACAGCATCCGAGCCACTCCCAAAGCCCTGATTGCCCCATGTTTTTGGCAGGTGGTTCTTGGTTTACTTGGCGCAATAAAGCCTGAAACCCGTGCCACCGGTTCGAGAGGCAGGGAATGAGACATGTTGTTTTTTGTTTTGTTTTTTTTAATCCTGATAAATGAGCCATCCATCCGACTCGGTTTCCTTAAGGAAATCCCCAACACCGAATCATTCAACACCGCCACTGGGACTCGGAACGCGTCATTCCCTGCCTCGGCCGCGTCGGTGGCGTGATCCGCGTCAGGCGATGCAGCTGCAGGAGCACCTCCAAAGCCACGGGGTGCTCCCCTGGCACAAGGGCGCCACGCCCCAGGAGCCGCAGAGACATCTGGAAAGGCGAAACGGGAAACGCGACACGCTTTCCGCGTGGCGCGCTGAAAGCGCGGGAGGTTTGCGTGTTTTGTTTTTTTTGTTCGGTTTCCGGAGATCTTCGGCAAAGCCGAAGCCGCGCTGAGGCGCTGTGTTAATCTCTGTTTTTAAAGGTGGCGCCATTTTTGGTAGGGACGCCGAAAGGAAGCAAGACCATTTTGGGATCCACCTTGAAGCCGACTCCTCAAACTCGCTGACTCCCGCAACAAACAAACACCAGCTTCCGGGCGAGTCCGATAGTTTGTACCAAACCTATGGGCTTAATCTATTGGGGAGTCCCAAGTGGCGTCGGTTGTCTTGTCGCTTTGGAAGCCACATTGCTTGGATGTTAGGACTTTCACTTTTTGCCAAATAGGGGGTTTTCCATTAAACCACAAACAGTTAAACTTTTAGCAGGGGAGCAGAAAGCACCCTCCAAAACCAGACCAGCCGCCCCATATGCGCTGACCCAAAGCGAGGAGCGCCGACTTGGGCGGTGGGTGCAGAGCGTGAAGCACCTGCGCAAAGCAGGCGCTGCAGAGCGATGGAGAAAACGCCGGGGCTTCTTTGCGGCTGACCCTCCTGCCCACTAACGTGAAACCCACCATCTCTGGTTGCTTTTATGGGAAAATCGTGTTCCAGGACTCTGGTTCCATGTTCGACAACTTTTTTGGGAAACTCCAAAAAACCCCAGAAACGCCTGACTTTCTTGCGCCCCTGACTTTTTGTGAAACTAGTCCACCAGAAAAAATCGACTCGTTTGGCTCCTTTCGGGCCGTTCTTGCGGCTCAAACTCCAGGCAGGCTCAAGCCGGAGGACCAGCAGCGGCTCTCCACTTGGTGCCCCTTGTGGGCTGAGGCGGGGTCTCATCGATGTGGGTGCCCCCGGTTTTGGTTTTCACGGGAAAGCCAACCGGAGAGCTCGCCGCTGCGCCATTTTGGGGGTGACCAAAAAAAAGAAGAACGGCGAGCTCAAGAACGGGGGTAGGGTCACAAGGTCCATGTGTGCGTGTCTTGTTGTTTTAGTGGACCGCTCCCCAAAATTGTTGAAACCAACCATAAGGAAATGCTTCCCCAAAAAGATAAATACACACCAACATACCAAAGTGCCGCATGTGGGGAATTCCCACGCGTTTTGGAGCCTCAGCCATTTGGGTTAGACTGAAAGCCCTCTTTGGTTGTAGGGGACCAGACAAGAAAGCACCCATGTTTAGGACCCCCTATGTTCAAGAAGTATCCAATTGCCGCGCCGAGTGTTTTGAAGATCTTTGTTGACTTCACGGATCCTCAGTCGTTGGTTTGGAACATAACATCGGCTTGGACGTCATGCGGTCCAGTGCTCTGGACTTTTGGGTGTGAACTTCTCCTGAGCTGGGACTGACGGTTGAAACACGTGTTTGATTGGCATTTACCGGGGAATCGAATCCTTCCAGGGTTTGCTAGGTGGTGCGAATCGGATTTTGTCCCATCCACCGTATTGTGAACGCCTCAGAGGGACCATTCACCTTTTCCACAAAAAAAACACCTCCTGGGCCGAGGCTCCGGTTGATTGGTGGCTTATCTGGCGGGTTCTGAGCAGGGAAGGAGTATGGGCCCCTACAAATCATCCCCTTAAGAGTTTCCTTGAAGGGAAAAACCCTTCCGGTTCACTCCCAAAACCCGGAACTGAGTTTTTTGAAAGGCAAAAGGGAGAGTTGTTTGGAAGCTGGCTGCCCTCGATCACAACAAACGGCATTTAGTGGGTTGGGTTGAGTTGCAAGGGCAGTGCAACTCACTGGACCAGGGCAAACACACATAATTTGTTTGGCATCACCCCTCCTGGCCGCGTTTCCTCTTGGGTTCTCAGATCATTTGTCGACACATGCGATCGACAAATATTGAGTCTTTTTCTATCACTTTTGCAAGTCAGAAGAAAAGCCCATCCCATCCCTTGTTTTGACTGACCTTCTCCAGGACATGTTTGCCTTAGCCATGTCTCAACATCCCATCCCTTTATTCCTATTTTTAACACATGGGTCAAAAATAGGTTCCCAAAACGGAACCCTGGCAAATGGAAGCATGGAGTAAAACCTGCGGTCCATATCCTGGTGGAAGAGAATTTTGACCCATACCGCCTCATGCCGTTAGATTGACTCATTGACCCCCCCAAACTCCCCCCCCCCCCCCAAACAAAAACACACACATATATATGTATATATAAATGATAACACTCGTACATGAAATTGATTCATTGCCCCAACCCCCCCCCCCCGCGTGGGGGAGCCATCCGGGGGCCATTTCAACGGAGCCCGGAGCAGACTCTAGGTGGAGGCACCCCGGAAGCCGGAGGTGGCGGAGGTGGCCGAGCCCAGCGCGCCATGCGCAGGGCCGGGGACCTCAATACGGGAACATTTCACCTTTCACCTTGTTGGAACTTCGTTCACCTTCTTTCACCTTCCAACTTCGTCCACCTTCTTTCACCTATTTCACCATTCGTTCAAACTTGTTCAACTTTGTTTAACTTCTTTCACCTTCCTTGAACTTCCTTCAACTTAGTTTACTATATAACTCAACTTCTTCCAACTTATCTCAGCTTCGTGCAACTCCTTGCAACTTCTTTCAACTTCGTTACTCCTTTTTCACTATTTCAACTTCTGCCAACTTCATCCAACTTCTTTCAAATTCGTTCAACGTTTTTCCACTGTGGTAAACTTTGTTGAACTCCTTTCAGCCTCTTTCAACTTTGTCCAACGTCTTCTAAGTTCATTCAGCTTCGTATAACTTGCTTCGACTTCCTTCAACTTGTTCAAATTCGTTTAACTCCGTTCAACTTTTTTTTCAACTTTGTTCAGCTTCGTTCAGCGAGGTTCTTTGCTGCGTTCGATGTCTTTTTTTCATTGCGTTTGTTTCTTCTTGTTCCCCACCCGACAGGAAGGGTTTGTTAGACTTAATGTTGGAATCCTCGTTTGCGATGCTTCTACACCATGCCCCCACCCAGTATCCCGCCAGAGCAGCTCGCCAGTGGATCCCGCCGAGAATCCCGCCAGAGCAGCTCGCCAGTGGATCCCGCCCAGTATCCCGCCAGAGCTGCGCGCCAGTGGATCCCGCCGAGTATCCCGCCAGAGCAGCTGGCCAGTAGCTCGTGGATCCCGCCGAGTATCCAGCCAGAGCGGCTTGCCAGTAGATCCCGTGGCTGGTCAGTGGATCCCGCCGAGTATCCCACCAGAGCAGCCACCCTACTGAGTATCCCAGAGTAGCTCGCCAGTGGATCCTGCCGAATATCCCGCCGCCAGTGAATCCCGCTGAGTATCAGTGGCCGCCAAGTTTCCCACCAGAGCAGCCCGCCAGTGGATCCCGCCGAGCATCCTGCAGAGTATGCCAGAGTAGCTCGCCAGTGGATCCCGCCGAGTATCCCGCTGAGTATCCCCGGTGGATCCTGCCGAGTATCCGGCCAGTATCGAGCCGGAGCGGCTTGCCAGTATTCGCCAGTGGATCCCGCCAGTATCCCGCCAGTATCCCGCCAGGGCAGCTCGCCAGTCTGGTTTTGCTTAATGCCCCGCCCGGCACACAGTTGGGTTTACGTTTCATGTTGGTGCCGTAGTGCTTCAAGTGCACCCTGAGGCTCGGAAAGGGTGGTGCTTTTGTGTTGCTTTGGGTTGTGAATAAGCAACTTCGTTTAATTCTTCGTCGGATTTCTTTTTGGACGGGGCTTGGCTTTTGTTAACGGAACCGATGTTTGAGTTTTTGAGATCGGCTTGCAGACAAGTGGAGTTTGACACACACACACAGACAGGTGGAGAAGGCTCTCAATGCAAAGCTTGTTGAGCAGTCATAGGCCCCAAGCCACTCGAAAACCATGCTTGAATTCACACAACCGTGTTCACGGTCATAAGCTCGTGAGTGTGGAGGGTGGGGGTTGCTCGAAGCGAAGTATTTTTTAAAAGAACTTCGCTTCGAGCAATCCCCACCCTCCACACTCACGAGCTTACGACCGTTACAACAAATTCCTCCGCACATCCTGGAGACTTCGACCCCAAATTCCCATCGGCCCTTTTGGACATTGAGCAAAACCAGACTGGCGGGACACTGGCGGGATCCACTGGCGAGCCGCTCTGGCGGGATACTCGGCGGGATCCACTGGCGAGCTGCCTTCCTGTCGAGTGGGGAAAACAGCCGGCGTGGGGTTTTTGCCAACAAAAACCAGTACACACAAACAACACGCCCAATTGTTTTTTATTATCAGAATTGGGGTCATTATTTGGATTGTTTCTGGCGGTTATCAAAGTCAGAAAATGAAATCGGTTGCTTCCCAATAAAGCCCACCACTGAACGGGGGTGACTTTGATGGCAAAAGAAAACGAGGCCAGCAGAACCTTATTTTTGTAAAACAGAAAGCCAGCGCCAGCAAAAAGCAAATACCAAAAACACAGCACAGCCACTTGGTTTTTGATTTGAACCCCCCCGGGCTTTCTCGGCGTTTATGATGTGTCTCGGATCGGACCGGATCGGATGTCTCAGGTCGCAGATGGCCTGGGTGAAGGCCAGCCTGGCGCTGGCGCGGTGCCGCAGCTCCGAGCAGCGCCGCCAGACCCTGCGCAGGCGCGGGTCTCGGGCGGCGGTCTCGGTCTGGGTCGGCCAGCGGAGTTTCACCGACTTGCGGGGTGGTGGCGTTTTGGTTGGCCATTTTTTGGGGGGTGGTTTTGAAGGGAAATTAAAAGGACACCCATTGTCAGGGTTCCTGGGTCAAGGGGTTTTTAGAGCAGGTTTTTGGGTCTGAGTGGCAGGGCTGGAACTATCAGCTGGAGTGCCGAGAGACTTGGCACTGGGTCAACACCAATGGTAGCATTTTGGGGTAGGTGAATTCACCACCCATGTTAGAACCTATTTTAGTGGGGATTTGCACTGGGGGTAAGGGGTTTTGACCCACGGCCAAGAGTCGACGAGGGGTTCTGAGTCGAAGGGATTTTCACGGAGAGTTTTCGTGGGGTGGGGGTGGGTTTGGTGGGTTTTAATGGGAGATCCAAAGCATCGACTTCTTGGCAACCTTTTGTGGAAGGGTGGGTTTAAGGGAAATCCAAACCATCAACTTCTTTGCAACCTACGGGAGACTCAAGTTAATTGATGTTTGGGTGATGTTTGGGTGTATCCTTGTTTGAAGGTGCCATGTTTTGTTGGGTGGCTTTGAAGGGAAACCATCTTGGGGGTCCCCTGAAAAAAGACACATCCTCATCAGGGTTCTTGGGTTAGGGTGTTCGTGGTGGTTTTTGGTTGTCTGAGTGGCAGAGCTGGATTTATCAGAAGCTCTAGGGGTTGATTCCTTTTCCATTCTTTTCCACCCATCGTTCTTTTCGAAAACCGGATCGGTTTCCCCTGGGGTTCTGATGGTTTTCTGGAAAGATTGGGATCCCTGGCAATGGAATTGGAATCCCGTAGAGAAGTTGGAGTTCCAGTGACAGGCTGCAGCTGGACTTTCATCCAGACAAGAACATGGATCGGCCCGCGGCTTGCCTCAGCTTTGGCTTGCAAGCTGGGATTCTGGTTGAAAGACGCGTGTGTCTGAAAATAAGTCGCCCCCGTCATAGGCGTCCGTTTTGGTGGATGTGGTTGAAAAATAGAGGGTCCTCGTTTACCTGGTGGTTCAATCAACTACCAGGGCCGTCTATTTTCCCAAAAAGGACACCTATGGGCCCCGTAGTCCTGTTGGTGTCTCTGAGCAGTTTCAAAAAGGGTAGCCGCCAAGACTGGAGGCCCAACTCAGCGATTCAGTTGGTGCCTAGGAGGTCCGGCCAATGTTCGACTTCATCCAGGACATGTGGGAGAAGGAGTTTCGCCGTGGCGAGGCGACCTCGGCGGTCGAATGCTCTGGGAAAAGCCGCGGAGATGGGCACGAGGTCGACGCAAAGGTCTGGAAGAGAAGACTTATCCGAAAGGTAAAACCGAGACTTTGGAAAGATGGCCACCTGTGTGTGTCTTTTGTTTTTGAGCCCCAATAATGGTTCTTTTCCTTTGTTTTCCCTTAAAAGCCACACCTAAACAGGCTGCCCCCAAAAAAGATGACAAGACCCATCTGAGCGCCTTTCTTTTGCAGGCCTCCTAGCTGCGCCGCTTCGGATGCTGAAATGTGCTGTCCGGACGGTGAGAAAAAGGAGCGCTGACTGAGTCTGACATTCTCAACACTGATTTGGGTAGATGAAGGTTTGGGAGAATCCCCTTGCCAGAAGTGGCTGCATTCGAATTCCCGCTTGCTAATTCTTGAAGCTTGGTTCTGGGTAGTTTGGATGAAATAGGTTCTTGACCCACAGCCAAATGGGATCCTCTGGGGCGTGTTGTTGCTTCAGGCTTTGTACAGTGCGTCGACCCGTCGCTCTGTGTCTTTCATGCTCACAGGTCACAAAGCTTGCAACAGAGCGCATTGCCGCAACTTATGATTGCAAGTTGCAAGTGCGAGAAAAAAGAGACAGAGAGAGAGAGAGAGAGAGAGAGAGAGATCTGGGACTCAGCCAAGGCCTCAGCCTTTGCAACTTCTTTTCAACAGCCAACGCCTGGGCTGAAAAGGGGAGCCACGGTTTTCAAGCAGAGCTTTTTCAAGGCCAATGCGTCGGCCTTGAGCAATGCGATGAGCAAGCCATGTGCGAAGCCAAGACGCGACTGCCCTTCCGGTTGGGTGCAAGGAATATTTTGGGTATATATACTGGCTTCAGCCAATTCAACACATCACTCGTCCAGGTGTTGCAGGGTCTGGCAGTCTTGCATCGTTTTTTTCTTCTCCGCTTGGCTGGATTTCGCTTGGTTGGCTTGGCTCGGTGGCTGGGGATTGGAAGACCTGGTTCTTGAGGCTAAAGGGGAAGTCAGCCCCAACCTCCAAACTTCGCCAGAATTAGCTCCCCCTGTTGTGTTTTTTGCTTTTTGGGGATCCCCTTTGTTTTCCGCTACCGAGGCAAACAAAATAGCTTTTTGCTGGAGCCAAGCAAGCCATCAATTGTCAGCTTCCCCCAAGTTGGTGGGTTGGAGCCCGGTGGTTGGTGGTTAAGGGGTTTCCCAGAACGCTTTCTGCAAGAATCAGGGACACGCTCCAAGCCAAATCCAAACCACCAATCCAAGCCGCTGACGAAGGGAAAGCCTCCCTCCCAAAACCACATTTGTAGAGGAAACTCCTTTCTGAAATTGGACCCCTGAAAACTCCTTGCCTGAGTTCCTGGACATTAAACTTTTTGGAAGGACCATTTTAGTGGCAACTAAAAAGGTTTGGCAACCTTGTTTGGCCAGTCCACTCAGGAAGTGAGATAAAGGGTGTCTTTTTGAGGAAAGCCAAAAAGGGATCACCACCAATCCAAGCCACTGACTCAGGGACCCTTCCCCCCCAAAAAAAAAGAAACACGTTGTGAAATTGGAAGGCGGGTTGGTTGGTTTTCTCCGGTTGCCCTTGACGTCTGGCCGGAGGTTTCCGTGCCGCTGCAGAGCTGCACAACCGCTGCGCGCAGCCGCGGCCCGAGCGTGCGGATTGAGATGTAAGTTGGAGGAGCTCAACATGGAGAAAGAGAGAAACATAAAATGCAGAAAAAGAACAAGAGAGAAATAATGAGAGCCCAAAAGGCCAAAAGGGTAGCAGCAAAACAGACGGGCCACCCATATGTTCTCTTGGGTCAACGGAGCTAAGGCCAGAGTGCGCCGGCGTGCCGCCCTAAGACAAATCGATGTCGCGTGATGCGTGATGGGTGTGTCCGTGTTTTGGAGTTGCTAGCCCCCGTGTTGCCGGTTTTCAAGGGACACCAAAAGGAACGCCTAGATGGTTATGGGATAGCATCACATTTTTTCACGGACAGCAACAGGAAAACGGTACTGAGCGACAATTTTTGGGAGCGCCCCCCCCCCCCCCCCACAAAAAAAACAAAAAAGACACCAAACATGTCACACTTTCCAAGTTATGCAGATGCCGGAGGTCGCGGTTTGGCCATGGGGCGCTGCAGAGAAATCGGAGTGCCATGCGGGCAATGGCTTCTGGATGTGGGAGCCCACTTGTTGCGGCAAGGACGGGGTTCCGCTAGGATCCTATCTCTGGTCTTACATTTTTGCCCTCTCTGGATTTTCTCATTCTCTTTCTCTCAAGGAAAAAAAAGCGACTTGTTCGGACTGCAACACCGGGTGTCCGAGGCATTTCCCTCTTGGGGCAGCAGCTTTTGGGCGGTCGAAGGTGATCCGCTTCGTCGGGGTCCGTCGGGTCGGTGTGAGGAGTTGGGACTCCGGGAGCTGCAGTGCGTAGAGGAGCCCAGGTGTGAGGCTGCGCCCAAAGAGGCCGGAACCTGGCGGAAAGCCTTGCAAAGGGGGAAGGCTTGGGAGTCAAAGAAGTTTCCAACATCCCCTGATTCAGGGGATGTTGAAGTTGAGACTTCTTCTTCTTTTTTGCGGGGGGAGGGAAGGGTTGGCAACAGGAGATGTTGGTTGGTTTGCTTGGCGGGGAGAAGGGGGGGGGTGTCGGGTGCATCAGGAGATGTTGGCTGACACTTTTTGTTTTTTGTTTTTTGTTTTTTTTTCCGGGGGAGGTATTTGCTTATGGGGGGTATTTGTTTATCGGGAAACCAAAAGGAGCATCATTTTATTGGATCCCCCGATTTTGACACACGGGGTTGGCTTTTTGCTGAAGCTCGGTGCCCCTTTTTGTGGCGTTAGAAGGGATTCTTTTCAAAAGGAAGGGTGCGGTCTAAAATAGAAAAAGACCTTTTTCAGGGAACAGAAAAAAAACTGCAAGGCTGGAGAGGTGACCCCTGCATGTGACCAGGGCGTGCTTGAGTGTGTGTGTGTGTGTGTAGGTGACCCCTGCATGGGATGTGTGGATGTGTGTATGTGTGTGTGAGTGCAACCAGGCCGGGCTGCTGGTGGCAGTGACCATCCCCGTGGTCATCGCAGGCATCTCCAAGCTCCGGACAGCGAAAGCCTCGCGGAGCGAATCGCGCGAGTTGGTGTAACGGTGAGGAGTGAGGATGGGAAGCGACGGGTTTTTCTAGGGGACACTTCCAATTCCATTCTTTCCAGGGATCCTTCTTTCCAGAAAACCATCAGAAATTTAGGGGAAACCGCTGGTTTTTGAAAAGAACGATGGTTGAAAACAATGGGGAATCAACCCCTAGAGTCTTGGGAGAAAGATGAGAGCTGCCCTTGAGAGGTGTGCTGCTTCTGCTTCGCTGCTGCTGCCGCCAGCGAGCGCCAGCTTTCGGCACTGACGTGCGCAGTCTGGAGGCGGGTGAAGTTCGAGCCACTTCGTTTGGGTGTGTCTTTTTGTAGGGCATTCCCCCAAAATGGTGCTTTCCCTTTTGTTTTCCTTAACCACAGAAAAGGGGTACCCTCAAATGAAGCGACACCCATTTGTGCCCTGGCTGGATGCCCAGCTTTCAGATGCACTGAGCCGAAGGGTTCGCTTTCTGGCAAGAGATGTGATCCTGAGGCAGGCACGGAGATGAGCGTGGCAGATCGGGTGGAGGCAGGGAGGGAGTCGGCCGCTGACGCGCTCAAGTCGTTGAGTATGAGGCCTGGAACAAGCGGAGCAGCGATCAGGCGCTAGGCCTGGAAGAAGCGGAGTTGGCTTTCCAGCCACGAAAAACGGGAGAAGTGAATTACCCATGGTCACTTTGGGGGGCTTGTCGGGCGGGAAGATGTTTCTCAGCCCCGACAAGCGTGGCCAGTGGAGCTGCCTGCCAGGTGCTCCCCCTGCGCACTGGGGTGGAGCGGCGGCCTCGGACTCGACGTCTTTTAGGGGTACCTTCCAATTCCATTCTTTCCAGGGATCCTTCTTTTCAGGAAACCATCCAAAAACCCAGGGGAAACAGATCCGGTTTTTGAAAAGAAGGATAGTTGAAAAGAATGGAAACGGTTGATACATCCCAATCCCTACTAAAATAAAGCCCGAAATGGGTGGTGCACCTACCAACCAAAATGGGATCCCATTGGATTTACGCGGACTCCAGCCCTACAAGACCTCCGCCACACCTCCGCCACACCTCCGCCACACGTCCGACCTCCGCCGCTTCTCAGGGCGCCGCGCCCCTGCTGCGGCCAAAGCCCAAGCCGCAAGAGCCGCCGGAGGCCGGGGCTAAGAAGTCTCCGCGAGCTTCTTGCAGCAGCGAGAACGAACTTAGAAGACGCGCAAAAAAAAAAACGTTCTCGGTTTTCGGCCGCGGCAGCGATCTGTTTTTTGTTGGGTGAGGGAGGGAGAACTTGAAGACGCGGAAACAGCTTTGTTTTGGCCACAGCACTTTCGTTTTGGTTGACCTGACTGAGCGTCGATGGTGCCTCAAGGACACCTTGGCGCCGCTGCCCTCCAAGGCGCGGAAATCCTCCTCCAGGCGGGTGAAGGATGGAATCGTGGACTCCCCCTTTTGGGCCGAGAGAGAGGGACGCCGCCGTTGTCCTTTTGGAGTCCCTGAAAAACAAGAAGAAGCAGAACACACCCACCCATCTCGGCGATTCTTTGCCAGGGTGACGTTCCGTACACAGGAGCCGCATGCACTTTGCAGACTTTGCGCACGTTGGGTACACCACTTTAGCCACACTCAAAACCCGGGTAGATGAAGGCTAGTAAGGGACAATCCCAACCATAAATAGCAGCGGCTCTCCGCCTTCTTAATTCTTGAAGCATGTTTCTGGGCTTGGACCATGTTGATACCGGGGTTTGAGCAAGTGACTCACTTGGCTCGCTTTGCATTTTCCGCCTGTCCGGGTCCGCGAGGACTCGGTGATGGAGTTCTCCGAATCCCAGGCCGCGAGCTCGCAGGCGCCGAGCGACTCGGACTCCGGCGGATTCGCGGCGGTCGCTCGGAGATGCGGATGGGGCTGGCAAGCTGGGGGCAGGTCGCGTCGTCTGAGGCGCCCGGGACCCCCCCCTTTTGCTGTGCTTTTGAAAGGTTGAAACGGTGGAAACCGCAAGGCAGACCGTTGAAATCGCCAGGTCCCACCTCCAGAAAAGAAAGAGACGAGCCACGCAAATGGCAGGTAGCTTGCGAGTGAACGCCAGGGCGTGCCAAAGCCGGGGCCAAAGCCGGGGCCAAAGCCGGTCTCGGTCCCGGTCCAGGCACGGCATCCGGGTCGGTGCCACAAGCCGAAGCGCCACAGCTTTCTGTTTTGGGGGTGCCTCGGCCTTTTTGGGGGAAACCAAAAGGAGAACCGAAAAAGTTGAGAGTCCAACCTAAAATAAAAAGACAAACAAAAACACACAAAACACAAAAGCACAAACCTGATTTGGCGGTGGCTTGGCAGGCGCAGCACCGGCCCTTGCCGGAGCCGAAGCCGAAGCCAGAAACGAAGGCCGCGCCGCCAAAGGCTCCGGTTCCGGCGCCTTCGCCTCCCCCGGTGAAGGTGCCCGAGCCGGTGAAGGCGCGGCGAGCGAGTGCTAAGCCCTCCCCATTCACAGGGAAGAGGTTGGATAAAATCCTCAGACCATTTTTCTCAAGGGAGCTTCAGGTTCCAGGGTGGGAAAAATGGTGTATTTGCGTTTGGATGATGTGCGTTTGATCCGACTTTTCCACAGCTCCCAGATTTGTCGTTGTGGTTGGCACTTTCTCAGGAGCCAGCGCAGGCACAGGCGGGCTGGACAGGGAACGAAAAGGAGGTTTCAGCCTCCAGGAGACTCGAGAGAGGGAGAGAACGAGAGAGCAGAACTGGCCTCGTTATTTTACCGTCATTAAAGTCGCCCAAGTGATACTGTGGCTGGATGATGATTCTCCTGTAGATACCAACCGAAAATGGTTTCAACCATGGTTTTACAGTGGTGCGGAATGGATTTCGTCTATCCACAACTGGGTGTGGGTCAAACATATGGAAATAAGGACTAAACCAGCGGTCCCCTAGTGGTTTAATTTTGGCCCATGCCCAACTCCATTTACTTGGATTGCTCCCAGAAACCAAAAGAACCGGGCTCAGAATCGGCTTCCTGCTCGTGAGGCTTCTGTTCCAGCACCGGCACCGGAGGTCCGCAGATCCGGAGTGCCTGGAAGTAAGAGAAGCCTGCATAGGTGTCCTTTTGGGTTGATTCGGTTGAAAAATAGGTTTGGCGATTCCTGGTTTACCTGGTTCAATCAACTACCAGGGAGATCCATCTATTTTCAACCAAAAAGGACACCTGGCTGCGGCTCGACAAACCTGTACCAAAATGGCTTGCTAAGTGGAAACATGGACCAAAGCCTGCGGTTTGCCCCTCCTGTTCAATTTGAGAGACACCCACCTATGGATCCCTGGCCTTTTGCTCGGCCAAGCGGACTGGTTCCGTTTCGAGATCGAAAGTGGCCAGTTCGGATCCGGAGCCGCTGGCTCTCGCGACGCTTGGGCCAAGGCCCCCAGATGTTCAGACAAGGCCCCACTGAGCAAAAGGAACCCCATGATCCAAGCTGGCACTTCACTGATGCGTTTCTTGGCTTTCAACTTGGCACCATGCCATGTACCAAAGATCCGGCCAAATCCCTTCGAACTTCGGGTGAGAAGTCCATGTAGCTTCCAGCCATGGGCAATGAGCTCGCGGGCGACGGACCCAGACAACAGGCCTGGCGGCCTGCCACGCACGACTGCGTTTTGTGTGTTGGTCGGACGCCACGCCGCGTTTTTTTACTCCCCCCTTTTGCGGATTTGCCGTGCCGAAAGCCGACGGGCTGCAGACCCCGCAGCATTTCGACTTTCTTCCTTTGGCTTGAGGAAGAAGCCTGTGGCTCAAGACGAAAAAAGCGAGTGCGGCCAGGTACACGGTGAATACCTTCGGGGCGATATGGTTCTCCGTGGGCATGAACACCTTGATGCCTGGCGAGGGCTTGAGTTTGGGCCGTTGGGATAAGTGATGTCCACCAAAGAGTCCGGGACCCATACCAAAATCGCACCCCTGGTTGGGTGTGTTTTACAGTAGGGGTCCAGGCGGGGTTTCCCTTTTTTTTGTCCAATTGGTCATTTGCTGAGGGACCACCCCCAAAATAGACACACAAACAAATACAAAAAGGAATCACAGCAACAAGATAAACACACTTCTTTTTTTTTTACATAGACACACCCACAACAACACATATATATATATATATGTATTTATATATATATATACATAACAAAAAACAACATTTAAAACAACATGGTGGTTTCCACTTGATTTCCCCAAAGAGGTCTGGCAGAGCAAGCTTAGGACCCTCCTGGTGGCCATCTGCCTGTTGAGCCTGGCCTTGCGCAGCGTCCGTTTCCGGCGGCAGCTGGCGCCCAGGTTGCCCCAGGCCGGGTGGTTGATGGCTCCGCCCCCCCCACCCCCCAGGGTTGGCGCAAGGGTTTTTGCAAAAAGCCCGTGGGGTGAACTCCAAAAATCGGCTTGGAGCCTCTCGGTCGAAACCGTCTTGGTATCCCATTTTGGTTGGTAGGTGAATTCACCACCCATCTTGGGTCTATTTTAGTGGCTGATTGGGATGTTCGCTGGCATTACGGGCTTTTGACCCATGGCAAGAGGGCGGAAGGGTGTTGGTTCTCCTTGGGTATTTTTGCGATGGCCGAGCTGGTGTCCTTTTTGGTTGGTTTGCTTACAAAATAGAGGGCGATTCCGGCTTTAGATGGGGCTTATTCCATTTACCAGGGCCATCTATTTTTCCAAAGGGCCACCTATGGCGATTGCCGAGCTGGATGTGCACTGTCTATGTACCGGCTCCAGCTGGTTAGAGCATCTTTCCTCTGGGTTTTGCCCTTCAACAGGGCACACACCACCGCTTTCGCGGCGCTTGCTGGTGCAGTCAACATGCAGCAGGAAGTATCAAAACAATAATTTTACACTTTGCAGGTTGCCTGGCACACGACCCAGGTCACCAACCAAACATTCAAGCGTAAAGCTGCCAGGAACAAGCAGACGCTTTGCCCTTTCCCTTCGGCTGGATGCAGCCCCTTGGAGCTTTGTTTGATGAAAAGCTTTGCTGGGTCGCAGTGTTGTGGTGGTGCCGATGCTTGGAAGAGCGCCACGGTTTTCTCGTGAGCCCGGGGCGAGTCTCCGAACATGGGTATGGGTCAAAATTAAACCAACAGGATATGGACCGCAGGTTGTTGTCCATGTTTCCATTTGCCTGGGCAAGCCATTCGGGGGAACTTATTCTTGGCCCGCGGCCATATGGCCATGGGTCAAAAGCCTGTACCCGCAGTGAACATCCCAATCCCCACTAAAATCGACTAAAATGGGTGGTGAATTCACCTGCCACCCAAAATGGGATCTCATCGGTTTTTACGCGTTCCACGAGTGTCCCGCCTCCAAAACCGCGGCGGTTTTTGGTTGAGCCTGGCTCCGAGCCCGGCGGGTAACCACGCCGGCAGGTATCGCGCGTGTGGTCAGTGGGCAGAATGTGGCCGTGGGTCAACACCGTTTTGGTACCAATTTGGTTGGTAGGTGAATTCACCACCCATTTTAGGCTTACACCAATGGGATCCCATTGTGGGGGTAGGTGAATTCAACACCCATTCTTTCGGCTTTATTTTAGTGTTTGCATTGGGATGTTCACTGCGGTACCCGGGGTGACCCATATCCATGTAGCTGGAGCAGACTTGTGCACCTTGCTGAGGCTAGCTGCGTCCCATCGGAGCCTGCGAGATGAGATAGGCGCCGGATTCTTTTCGTGCGATTTCGGTGCCACTTGGGGGCACGGAGGAGACGGATAGGTCTCAAATGAGGGTGTGGTCTTTCTTGGGAAGTTCAGCCCCTTTGTGGTTTTCAAGACAGAAAAACCAAAAGGAAAATCGGCCACTTTTGGGGGGTCCCCCCCAAAAATAGCACCCCCAAAATGGGAGGACTTTTTTGGGGACCTTGAATTTGTGGTGGTCTTTAAAGGGACACCACAAGCACCGTGCGGTTTGAGTCAAGGCGACCCCTCAACGGCAGGCTTGGACGCGCTGGTGGTGGTCCGATTTCTGGACCTCGGCTTCAAGTTCAGCCTCTTCGGAAGCCTCCTGTGCATCGCTTCCCGGCGAGCGGAACGGCGAAAAATCTAAGGGTGCCTTCCCCATTCTGAACCCGCAGGGATTCTTCTTTCCGATGGCAAACCTCCGGAAATCCGAATGGGGAGAACGGATCTGCTGATTGAAAGGAACGATGGTTGCAACGAATGGAAAAGGAATCAGCCCCTGCAGTCCTTCGGGTCTGCCTTTTTGGAGGGTACCCCCCCCGCGCCCTTTTTTGTGTGGTGTTTTTAAGGGAAGCCGAAAGGAGGGTCCCCTAAAAATCAGAGTTCCAGCTTGGAACCCCCTTTTTTGAGGTTTAAAGGGCCCTCCCTCCAACAATCCTGGAAGACCATTTTCCTTTAAAATGGACCTTCTGGTGGGTTGCATGTTCGTGGACGGGAGGGTACCCCCTTTGTTGAGGTGTAAAGGGAAGCCAAAAGGAGGGTCCACTAAACATCATTCAGAAATTGCCATTCCCCAGATGCTTCTGGGTCAAGAGTCAACCACCAGGGAACCGCAGGCTTAGTCCATGCTTTATATTTAGCAGAGCTCCATTTTGGATACCTAGTTTTTACCCACAGCCAGATCTAGCAAAAAAACACATCTGGAAATTGTCAACTTTCAACACAAGTATCGACACACATCAGCACTCGCTGGTTTTGCCAACTCAAAATTGGCACTGAGAACGCGTTTCGGCGTCAGCTGTCAGTGGCGGGATCCCGTCACAGCCCAGGTGCTGTTGCCGATGTACTCTTGGACGCAAAGAGAGGAGACCTTGAACAAGTTCACCCGCTTCAGCCTCTCCAACATCGATGGCCACCATCCAGGGAGCCTCGGCATGGTGTTGGTTGGAACTTTGTTGCCGTGGTCCTCAAGGGACCGGTTCCTTTACTTTGGGTTGACGTTGAGATGGGGATCCCACCTGGTGGTACTGGTAGGGATCCTTCACATCATGCTATGGGTTTTCTCCGTGTCCGACCGGTGAGGGATCACATCAAGTTCCAGATCGTGGTGGTTTGCGCCTATTTCCTCAACGCCTGGGCCTCAAACCTTCCGAGAGTACCACATGTAAATAAAAAGGTGGCCGGGTTGGGTCCAGGCCGCCTTCGTGCATCTGATGATCTCGGAGTGGCAGAGCTTCATGAACCTCCGGCGCAAGCAGTTCAGGCAAACAGTACTCGGCTGCCCGGACCGATTGGGCGTTTGGGAAGGTATACAGATCTTTGGCGTTTTTATTGGGCACGCATCTTGACCAGACAGTGTGTCTCTTGACACGTCCATCATGAGTTTCAGCTTGAAACACAGCAACATGAGCAAGATACTCCCAAGCGTTGCTTTTGGGTTCCCCGTAGTTAGTGGGGGATTGGGGTCTGGGGATTTGACCCCTAGGCTTTGTAGAGGGAAAATGGGACACCGCCCCTTCAGCAAACCACTAATCCAACCCACCAATTAGAGAGAGAAGTTGACATATGGCTGAAACAAGGATTCTACGCTCGGCACACGACCCAGGTCACCAATTCTTGGCTGCTATTGGGTTGGATCTTTAGACTTTAACTTGTGGGGAAATCAAGAGGTTTTCAAAACTAAATTCACAAAAAGTGATTCACTTTTTATTGAGGGCTCAACAGCAACCAAGACTTGGGAATCACAGAAATCACCATTTGGGAATCAAACAAAAACCGGTCGGGGAGTTTTGATGTGAAAAACAAAAACAAAAAACGGCGGCCTGAGGCTCCCATGGGCCTGGCGCCGCCCAAGCCATTCGCTCCATCCTGGTAGAGAATGTGCCGCGGGACCGACTCGTCGCCCGAACCCGCAGGGATTTTCCCGTTGGGTGTTTCCGTTTTGGTGGTGCTCCGTTTAGGTTTTCCTTTGAAACCACCAAAAAGGGGGTAGCCTCGAAAAAAGACGAACCACCCATGTACCAAAGTGCCGATGTTTTTTGTATTTTTCGAGCCGCAGCCCGGTTGAGCTGAACGCCCGCGTTTTTTTAGTAAAAGGGGACCCAACGGGATACTACCTGTGTCACCTATTTTAAGAAACATCCAGTTTGTCGCGACGAGGTTTTTTGAACATCTTCGTTGACCTCACACGGGGTCCTGAGCTGTTGGTTTGGGGGGATAGATGCCGAGGGACCAAAAAACATCCCCCGGCACCGAGAATGGGAGGTGAGCTTTAAATTTCGAGCTTTTCGCGGGACTCCGGCACACCCAGGTCAACGAGGCAAAAGGGAAAGCGGTTTTGGGACCTCGAAGCCAAAGAACATTTGCGACAGCCAAACCGTTGATCATAGGTGTCCTTTTTGGTTGATTTTTCTGAAAAAGTGGAGGGCGATTCCTGGTTTTTACCTGGTGGTTCAATCAACTAGTGCCATCGATTTTCCCCAAAAAGGGACAGCCAAACGCCAGCGACTGGTCTCGGGTGTGTTTCGTAGGAGCTGCGTTCTGCCGAGATACTGCACCGCTACTTCGCTCGTTTGTTCGGAGAAGGCGCAGCGGCTCGGGCATTAGTCTGGGGGGGGTTTCGGAAGAACTGGGTCACATCTGGCTGCGGGTCAAAACCAATGGTACCATTTAAAGGTAGGTGCACCACATTTTAGAACCTATTTTAGTGGGGATTGGGATGTTCACTGGGGGTACGGGGTTTTGACCCATAGCCATTTGTTGGATCTCACCATTTTGTTTGGGGGAGCAAGTGCCAGGTGCCTTGCACTCCACGGTGGTCCAAAGTGACGCATGGCAGCACTGTGACTGTACCCACCTGGTGCAGGGCATGCTCCCGTAGATGTACTTAAGCCATTTGCCGTCTTTGCCTTTTCCTTTGCCTTTTCCCCTCCTTTTTTCCCCTTTTTTGCTTAGGACACCCGAGCGCTGCACCGCATCGAGGGCTGTTGCCGCTGCTGTTGCTGGAAAGCATCTGAAAGGCGGGTGGCCGAATCTGGGAGTCTCCAAGGCTGATTGCGAGGTGAGCCACGTGCTCAACACCCGGGTAGATGAATCGATGAAGCTTAGGGACTGTCCCAACCATAGGGTGCCTTTGCTTTTTAATAAAAAAATACATGCTTCAGGGTACACCAGCTTCATTCCAGGTTTCCGTTATGAGCCCCTTAGCCTTTCCTTGCTGACAGCTCAGCTCGACTCACAGTATGCAAGGAAGGCAGCTGTCGGAGTTTTTGGAAGCAGTTGGGCAGCACGTGGTAGACTGTTGGCTTCTTTCGAAGAATGCCAGCTTGATGTGGATGGACGAGCTCCTGCACCGCAGAGAGCCTGGAACCATGATTCCCCCGCAAATATCCAGGATCCTTCTGGTTTCAAGTATGATTTCTACTTGCGGTGGCAAGTTTTCGTCCATCCGTAGAGATCTCTCGCATCCGCCTTAGTGCCATATGGGCCATACCCTGGGATGGCTTCTTGGGAGGGCTGATTCTGAGACTTGGGACACGCCTGGAGGACTGGCCTCGGAAAGGGACAAAGTCTGCCCGTTTGTTGGAGGCACCCACGCTTTGGTGGTGAAAGAACATCCAAAAGGAACCCCAGCATTTTCAAAGCCAGGTGCGTGTCTATCATTTTTTCGGAGGCAGCATTCTTTCTGCAAAAAGGAACACCGCAATGTTCGCCTTCGATCCGATCCGCGCCGGCCAGGCTTTCGGAGATGCGCGAAAGGATCCGGCCGGACGTCGCCCGAGGCGGGTCTCGGCCGACGGAAGATGGAGCCAGGGACCGCTCCAAGAAAGAGGGGTACGCCGTGCTTGAGAACGGCACCTGAGATGTTGGTATGAGGTCTTCAGATCTTGAGATGTATCCCGTTTTGAACAACACTCCCCAAAGAGTCGGCTGGGTACGCCAGACAGTAGCATGAGATATTGAGAACAGCACCTGTGATGGTGGTATGAGGTCTTGAGATCTTGAGATGCGTCATATCCTGTTTTCAACAGCATGTCAAACAATGTTCCATGTCGTTGTCTGTCGAACATGGGAGCGTTGTTTGTTAGTTGGATCCCCCAAAATGGGTGTTTTCCTTTTGGTGTCCCTTTAAAACCAACCAACAGGGGGCACCAATCCGAAAAAGACAGTCGCACATCTCACAAAAGGCACTGCCTGCGAAACGTGCGAGGCATTCAGCTTCAGGAGATGTCGCAGAGTGGGTGCCATGGGCGCATTCAGTCTCCGCATTTTTTTTCGGGCCCCAAGAGCGCAAGTCACGGAGGCCTACTAAAACTCTTTTAGCCCTTGACACCACATAGTTCTCATTTTGAAGATGTTCGGTGTGGATGGATGAAATCCGTTCGCACCACGAAATGAAACCATGGTTGAAAACACAACGTTTGTTGGTATTTACGTTGGGGAATCGACTCCTTCCGTTGGGTTTCTGAATGGCGCCTAAGAGGATTTCGTCGATCCACGGTACATCGGCAAAATGATAATTCAGTGGTGCTCAAAATTTCAAGGTCTAAAGACCTGGGTTTAGGTCGCTTCCTTTTACCATCTACCCATGGGTTCCCTTTTTTTGGAGCCATAGGACGCACCACGCTTTTCTTGCAGGTGCGATAGGTGGGGAATGACAGTTCCGGGTGTTGAATGAACCGGTTTTGGGGATTCCCTTATAAAGGAAACCATCTCGGATGGATGGATGGTTTCAAGCCCCATGCCTCATTCCCTGCCTCGCATACCAGCAACTTGGTTCTCAGATGCTTTTCTAGGTTTCAGGTTTTATTGTAATGCCACGCAAACCAAGTAGAACCACCTACCAACATGGGCAACAAGGGCTTGTTGGGCTCCGAAGACAAAAAGCAACACCTACCAAAATGGGCAACAACGCCTTTGGGCTACGGAACAAACAAAAAAACAACAACAAGAAAAACAGGGGGAAAAAAGCAGAGAAGAACAAGAGAGGACCACGCGCGCGCGCGCTCCGAGCGAGCCGAGTTCCGCTTCGCTCGGGGTTCGAAGTTCGGAAGTTCCGAGGCGCAACCGGCGCACCACGGTGGTGGAGGAGTCCTCGCTGCTGGCGGGCCTGGACCTGCCGGTGGTGGCCAGGGAGTTCTCCAGGAGCCTCGAAAGTTGGGTCAACAAGCAATGGTCAGATGGTGAACACGTTTTTTTTTAGATCAATCTCTCTCTCTCTCTATCTGTATATTATATGTATTATATATATACGCATGCTTTGCAGGCTGGTAAGAAACCTTCCCCTTCAATCAGCACAAAGTCAAGACTCGGAGCTCTACTGGCTGGTGCGATGGGTAGGGAATGTGGGAATGAACTTGGGGATTAATTAGCGAACAAAGGAAACCAGAGGGGATGGTTTATAGGGGTCCCTTGACGTCCGCGCCCCAAAAACCCGAGGACAGCAAATGGGCGACCATTGGCCCTTTTTTTTGGGGTGGAGTTCTAGTGGGTTTATTTCGCATTTGAGCCATTGTGGCCTGGGGTAGGGGGTAGGAAGATTTGTTATTTCTATCACGTAATTCTCTTTCTGTACACCTCTCCTTGTCTTTCATATACCTAATTTTTGTTGTCCATCTATGGCGACCATTGGCAATTTTAGTAGAGTTCTACCTGGTTTATATCGCATTTGAGCCAGTTTCGCCTGGGTTAGTAAGGGTTAGGGCACCTTCGCCGCGTTTGAACAAGTTTTGAAGCGTGGTTGTTGTGTAGACCACTTGGTCTTAACGGAAAACGAAACGGAAAAGCAAAGCCATTTTGCTTTCAACAATGGGCACACCCAGTTGCGATTGAATTCGGACTACCAGCTGGAGGTTGGAAGGGGGCCAAGCTGAGGGTATCCAGTTTTGCTTTCAAAGAAGGAGCTAAGGAGCTACCAGGAGTTCTGTGAGGATATGGTAGAGAAAGAAAAGACACCACATGGGGTACTGTGAGGGTACCCCCTTTTGGTCAGCTTTTGGTGGTGTTGTAAAGGGATTCCAAGAGCAAAACCGGAGCCATTTGGGTTGGGGTCCCCTAAGAAAGACGCACGCACATGTGTAGCCGTTATTTGTTTTGTTTTTTTTTCGTTCTTATCGCTCCGTGGCCTGTGTATCTCCCTCAGTCGCAGGAAGTTCCAAACCTACACCATCACGTTGGCCAGCACGGTGTCGAAGGCCCTACCTGCCACAGAGCTTGCGGCAAGCTCAGCATGTTGAGTTCAAGAAAACCGGGTTTTCGGCTGCCATGTGCCTTGAAGGGAACCTCCAAAAGTGGCGATTTCAAGGGACGCCAGTAAATTGATCAACTTTCGATTTTGACAGAAGTGCAGGCTGAAAAATGGCCGAGATACCTAATCGGAAGAAAAAGCTCCAGGAGCGCTCGCGCTGAACCTCTTGTTCAGGTCCGCAGCTCCAGAAGTTGCTCCTCCACGGCCTTTGTGACTTTCAACACCGTCCAGATGCGCCGCTCGCACCGCAGTCCGTCGCGTCGGGGCTCGCACGCCATTCTTTTTTGGCTTCAGTTCGCGAGAAAGAAAGAAATAACGGGGAAGCGTTGAAAGAAACCAGGTCGCTCGCGAGAAACAGCAACACTTCGGCGGAAACAAGCATCGGCTCGCAACACCTTTCCAACTTCGCTTCACGAGAGAGACAGCTCGCTCGCGAGAAAAACCCCGGGCGGAGAGATATAGGTGTCCTTTTTGGTTGGTTTGCTTGAAAAATAGAGGGCCCTGGTGTAGATGGGGGTTATGCCCCATGTACCAGGGGAATCCATCTGTTTTTTCCAAAAGGCCACCTATGGGCGGAGAAACGGATCAAAAGACAGGGATTTGGACACCAATGGTCGGGTTTCGGCAGGCGTCATGGCGGAGCAGGTGCTGCTCTCACACCGCTCAGACTGGAGACTTCGCTCGGCTCCTGAGAGTCGGGACATTGCAGCTCGGCCGACTTTTTTCGGGCCACAAACGGAAAACCAAACCGCCTGCCAAGTGGTGCGGACGCTTTTTTTGTCCACAGGAGAGGTAAAGTTTAAAGAACCCTGGTTACTATAGTGGCTTGCTCGGAAGGGGGATTTATTTCAGATCGCGGGGGTCCGAAGCCTGTAGTGGCTTGCCAACAACAGGGGATTTATGTCTAGATCCTTTGTGAGTTCGAAGGCGACAGAGCCAAGAGCCCTCAGACTAACAGCCGGAAGCTCCCCCAATTGACCGAGGTTTGGTCCAACGCCTCCACTCCCTGGAAGCTCACGTATCCCAGATCCATCGTCTCACAGGCGTGGTCCTGGACAATCCTGGCTCAGTTGTCCTTTCTTTCCTTTTTTTCTTGGGTGGGGGGGGGGTTGAGGTACCCGTCTTTTCAAAGGGAAGCCAAAAGGACAACTTTCTTTGTTTCTTTTTCTTTATTTCTTTCTTTCTCTTTCTTTCTTTAATTCTTTTTCTTTCTTGCTTTCTTTCTTTCTTTTTCTTTCTTCCTTTCTTTCCCTTTCTTTGAGTCTTTGTTTTTTTTTGGGGGTCCCTATTTGTGTGTGTCTTTGTTTCAGGTTGGACCCACCGAAATGGCGCAACGGTTTTCTTTTGGTTTCCCCTTCATACCAACTCAAAGGACTCAAAGGCGTACACACACAGACACACCCAACTGGACATCTTTTTCCGATTGCCGTGAGTCGGTGACTCCGGCTTTGTGTTCCCGAAAATGAAGGCGTTTTCATCCGTTTTTTTTCTTCGCGCAGTCAAGTGCAATCAAATTTCCAACAGAGCATGTGGATTTGTGAGCTTTTCCATTGCTTCTTGACTCGACTGCCAGTGCCTTTGCTTTGTGGGCGTGCTCTTCTGGTCGGTCCCGGCTGGGGCCCAAGTTGGGGGTCTTGCTGTTTTGGGACGCCCGCGCGTCCGTGCGATGGGTTTGGATCAGATTGGATCCCAGGTGAGCACCATCCAGCTGTGGTCGAACGTGGAGTCTTTGGAGAAACTGTTTCCCCGGCTCTTCCACATCAGCCCGGATCGCAAAAACTCAAACGGAGTGCGCGTTGCCGACAAGGTGGTTTTCTTCGATGCCCCCCCAGTTGGGTGTGGTTGCATTGCTTTTTTTTTGGGGGGGGAATACCCCGCCTTTTTGTGGTTTTGGAAGGGGGAAACCGAGAGGAAAGCTGAACGCCGATTCAAAAGGGGGGGCCGATTCCTGAGAAAGACGAGCCACCCATTCGGCCATCGCTGAGGCCTGAGCCCTTGCAAGCTTTGCAGCACCTTCGTGGCGCCTTGCCAAAACAAAGCGGCACCAGCTAGGACAGCACGGGATCAACCTCCTGACATGGCCATGGGGCATAACCTATGGCTCCATTTTTGGGGTGGATGAACATCCATTTAACACCGATTTTGATGTTCACCAGGGGTACAGGGTTTTGACCCGCAGCCACCTCTCTGATCCTTTTTTACCTTGGCCCAGAAAGGCAGGTTGAGCTTAAGCCAACATGGATGGCTCGTGTTTTTTAGGGGACCCCTGCTGGTTGGTTTCCTTTCTCTCTTGAAATCCATTCCAAACAAAGGGCACCCAAGACAAAGCCTAGGTGAAGTACTTGCCAGTGGTGACCCTGATCCTTCTCCTCAGCCTCTTGCCTTACGTCTTCGAAGCCATGACGAAGAAGCGGCTTGGATGCGACATTTCTGACGTTTTTTATGGAATCCCTACGGAAGGTGGGTACGAGGGGGGTGGGTAGTTGAGAGCCCTAGGGTTTTTTAGGGTTCCTTAGAGAGCCTTCAGGGTTTCCTTGGGCGAGCCTTAGCCCCCCTGGGACCGGGACTGAAAGGACCGACCGGCATGTAGGTACGAGCGCTACAAGGTCAAGTCCGACATCCACAGGATTGTGTTGACCCGCTTCTCTGGCAGCAAGAGTGTTGTATATCTAGTGTACCTCAGGTGGCTGTGGGTCGAAACCAATAAGATCCCATTTTGGGGTAGGTGCACCACCCATTTCAGTCTAATTTAGTGGGGATTGGGATGTTCACTGGGGGTACGGGAATTTGATCCATGGCCAGGTGGGCCTCGAAAGAAGAAGAGCCACCCATTTGTTTCTGTTGGCCCTTGAGGCTACTTTGGATACCTCCTATGCACCCTCTATGCCTCTTGGCAGCATGTAGTTTGTGCGCTTTCATCCCATGCTTTGGGCCCGCACAAACCGCCCACCGCTTAGGTGGCCGTCGTTGCCGGCTCGGTGTGGGATACTTTGGCGCCTTGGCGTCGTTTCTATGGAGGATCCGCATTTTCTGGGGCGTCCCCCCCCTTCCCCCAAGCCCCCAAGAATCTCGCGGCCATTTTCCCCTTTTTTAGGCACCACCACCCATGGCTTGAAGGGTGGCAGCCAGTGGCACCTCGCCATTTGTGGGGTGGACCCAGGAGACCATCCTGCGGGAGCCCCCCCGGGCGCTGCAAGAGGTCCGCGAGGCGGTGCCCAGCGTCGCGGCGGCTCGACGCAGGGATGGCGCGGACGGCGCGCCATTTGGGGGTTGATGAAAAGGTTCGTGATACCTGGGATGCCCATTAATGTTGGCCCAGGGTTAATAAACTTGTCTCACTATTAGGGGGGTGTTCCCTCCAAAAGTGGTCTGAATCCCCACTAAAAGGGGACACCCCCCTATCAATCACCAGAGGTTTATTAATCCGGGGTTAACATGAGTAAACAACCGAGAAAGGATTTGATATTTCCACCGCTTGGGAAAAGTCGCCCATGGTGAAAACTGGGGGCCTTGAGGCCTCGAAAAGTCGGGGATCCTTTGAAGGGCAACGCCACCAACTTTGATTTGGGGAATTTCCAGTGACCTGTCTTTTTGGAGTTGGTACCCTTTGCACGCTCGGTTTAAAGGGAATCCAAAAGGGCAGCTACTATGGGTCCCTATAGGGGGTGCCTTTGTTCAAGGTTGGATGGGTTCGTTTTTTTTTTGGTTGAAATCCAACCACGCCAACTCCAAAGAAAGACAGACCCATACGACCGATATGAGGCTTGGTCAAGCTAGTATTTATTTGTGGAGAAGGGGGTCACCAAAAGTGGCTGGTCTTTGCAGCGGGCGTCTTATGCCTGTGGGGGCCTGTGGTTGTCAAAACCGTTTTGGTATTCCATTTTGGTTGGTAGGTGAATTCACCACCCATTTTTTGTTTTGGAGGGATTGGGATGTTCACTGGGGTGTGTGATTTGGGTTTTGACCCATGGCCTTATCATGCTTCCTTGCTTTTTTTTCGTGGCAGTTCAGGTGTACTTCATTACCTTCGTTCTCGCGCGCGTGGGGATCACGATTCCCATCCTCCTGTTCTATCCGTGTCTGTGACCTGGCTGCCGTATCAGAGCCTCGTGGTTGCGAAGAATCTTGTGGTTGGGGCCATCCGAGCTTCATGGTTGTGGAAAAAACTTGGTTTTGGGGCCACTGATGCTAAGGAACTCCTCCAGGGGCGGGGAGGACCCACTTTGCTATCACGGAAAGGGCTACTTTCCAGTTTGGGCTTCCCCAAATTTCGAAGGCATTCGAATCATTCGCTGAATCCAGTCGAATCCAGTCGACTGGGGTGTCAAAATAGGCATCGGAACCCCGCTAGAATGGTAAGGGTTTCGTGTTGGACCCTTGAACCCCCCCCCAAAGAACAAAAAGGAAAGCAACAACAACAGAGTAACCCCGACACAAACACAAAACAGCCAACCCCTTCCCCCTCCCCCTCTCTCTCCCCCCAAAAAAGCACCTCAAAAAAAACTGCCCCCCGAAAAACCAAAAAAACATCACAAAAAAAGACACACACCACATTTTTGTTTTTCTTCTTTTGTCTTTCGCTTTTCCTCCGTGCCAAACGGCCAAAAAAACGCTCCAACACGTCATCTTCGGCGCAGGTTCCAGGAGACCAGCTGCTACTTCGCCACCGAGGCCTCCGATGCGGCGCTCATCCTGGTGCTGGGCCTCACGTGACCCCGACGAGAGCGAGTCGCTCGCTCGCTCGCGAGCGAAACGATGGAGCGACCGACAGAGACGAGGAAAGAAGCGCCAGAAGCCGACGTTTCTTCTTCTTCCTCTTTTTTTTGCACGTCTCAGAGGGGGGGGTCCAACTTTGGAAGGATGTGGAGAAAGTATCCTTTTCGGTGAAGGATTGTCAGGAAAAGCGCGGGACTTTCTGGGTTTTTGTCGGATAGGGGACACCTGTTTTTTCTGATCCCCACGAGGGTTAGAACCCTCAAATTTGCTTCCACATGTTCCTTTCGGATTTCCAAGCTCAAAACAGACGCCAGTATTAGGTCATGAATCCTGTGTTTAGATATGCCGCTTTTAAAGCTTGACCCGCCAAAATGGCTTGGCTTGTCCTTTTGACATGCCTTAACCATCAAGAAAGCACGTATTAGCCATTTGTATCATTAGTCTATCTTTTTTGGAGTTGGCACCCCTTTGCTGTTGAATGTTAAGGGAAACAACCAGGAACAGCCGACTATAGACTCTACTTTGTTTTGGGCGGTCATCTAAAAAGCACCACATCCATTTTAAATCACTTTGTGCATTAATATCGTGTTTGCACGTTCCATGCAGACTTTGCCTGGCAGGTACTCGGCCATCGCTCCCCTGATTCTTCCTGCATGCGCCGTCTACTTCTGCCTGGCGTCGGTGGTTTATCGCTCCTTGGCGACGTGACTCGTTCGCTTTCAGCACTAGTCAACTGGAAATATCGCGCAGAAGCCGAAGCTCGGCTTTTGGCTACGAAACCCACTGGCCATGGGTCAAAATCCAAATCGTAATTTCAGTGAACATCCCCATCCCCACTATAGACAAAAATGGGTGGTGCACCTACCCCAAAATGGGATCATTGGTTCTGACCCACAGCCAATGGTTTCGTCTAAGGCTGGCTCTTCCTTTACGTGCCTTGGCCAAAGGCTGAGCTGTGATTTGTCCAGGGCTCGAGCGGCGCATGCGGCGCATGCGCAGCTGAGACCTATGAGCCGGAGTTTGACTGTGCTGGCAGCTTCTGGCTGCTTGGATTCATCCGCGCACCTGCGCCCGGAGTTCGCAGTTTTCCGGGCCCATCCAAGAAAAGGACATTGAAGTCGAGGAAGCTGCGAGTCGGCGCATGCAAATCATTGCTTAAAGTATTCCGAGCTTCAATTCATGGAAGGCCACTGCCCGGCTTGACGCGATTGCTTTCTTTCATTCAGCTGGAGAAGTCCAGGTATGACCTCTTCGACTGCTCGATCTGCGGCTTGTTCTTCAGCAACATCATGCTTCTGGCTTTAGCGGGAGGCGCCGATTCCTTCTTTTTTGGATCGAGGGCCGAGCTCCAAACGGACGCCAGACAAGCAAGCACCTACTGCAGTTGACATGAGCCACAATCCAAACCCGAGTAAGGGACAATCCCAACCATAAAAATAGCTGCGGATATCCGCCTTCTTAGTGCTTGAAGCATGGTTCTGGGCTTGCGACCATTTCAATACCGGGTTTTTGATTGTGACTCAAATGGCTGTGGGTCAAAACCCCGTACCCCTGGTGAACATGCAAATAGGTGCATGGGTGTTCATCCCCATTTTGGGCTCGGCATATGGCCCATGGCCAAGTGATGCTCGTCCAGCAGTCCATATGTGACAGGCCATACCCAGCTGAACTCCTACAGATGCTTGGCTCGAGCAGCCGAAATTCGACCAGGAGTTGGGCCGCAGCTTCGATTCTCCGTGTTTCTTCTTCCCAGGGCCTGCGCCATGTTGGGGTTACCCGATTTTTGACCGGCCGAAGAGTGCGCGAAGAGTGCGCGGCTCGGAGTCTCGGGGCTGAGGCTTTTACGCCACGGCGATTCTGCCCATCACCACGGTGGTCTTCAAGGCGCCAAAGCAAGCGGAAGAGTTGGGCCGTGGGGCGAGATTTGGCCGTGGTTGTCAAAACCAATGGGATCCCATTTTGGGGTAGGTGACCACCCATTTTAGTTTATTTTAGTGGGGAGTATGGGATTTTGACCCATGGCCATTTAGGCCACGTGTCATGCGCTCTTATTTTAGAGCAGGGCACGCCTCTCAAGAGTTGGACGGGCGTGATTTAGGCCTCAAAGGCGTGTAATTCATTTATTTCGGATCCGGCGGCAGTACATCCACCTCTCCCGCCATACAAAATCCTCTCTCCGGGCTTCACGCCTTCCTTTCCAGGCGCCTCCATTTTTCCATTTTTCCTGGAACACACGCGCAAAAAAAGACGCGGACCTGCCGCGGATCGCGCGGACAACGCGCGCGAGAGCGCGACGTGCGAGGCCTTCTGCGAGCGCCGCTTCGGGCGGCCCTCGCGCTTCGTGGCGCTGGAGGACGCCGTGGAGGCGGACCTCGCGGCCCAGGACTCGGGGCTCGGGACTCGTCCGGCACCCCGGGGCCCCTGGGAGTGGAGTCTCGGTTTGTTTTTCGGTTTTTTGGTGCTGGTCACCCCTTGGGAACCAAAAAACAAGGTGGGTCTCCAACAACATGTGGTGGCTCTTTTTGTTTGTGCTGCCTTTGGGGGATTGCTTGGTTTGCCCTTGTTGTTAGATCCCCATCCTTGGGAGCTCCTCCCTGGGATTCAGTTACCACCCATTAAAACAAGGGGGGCTCAGGTAACCACCATTGTATACCTAAGGATTGTCATCATCCAATTTGGGTCAACCTTGTGTTTTTTTCAACACATCTACTGGTGGATGTGATTGGTTGGTGTGTCCTTTTAGTTGAACCCTTCACTTGTGGAGGGACCGAATCCAATAAATGTCAACATTAGGGGGACCCCAATGGGCATGTTTTGGCTTCTCTTTACCCCAAAATGCAGTTCTGTGCTCTATGCAGGAGGCCGCGCAAAGTCACCTTGCTTCTTGCTCGCAACCTATGCGCCAGTGTTTTCATGCAGATCCAGCATGACCTTCGCAGGCACACAGCGAGAAAAAACAACGAGGCTCTCTTTTTGTCCTCTTGAAAAGGCCATAGTTTCACGATCCACTTCGATGATCGGAAGGATAGATGGCACAGATCTCACTATGTGGTTAAGTACAGGGATGACTAAAACCCAAATGGGGGAAGTGTGTCATCTACTTTTGGGACCATAATACTCTGCGGTGCAAGCCCTCAGACTGAGGACTTGCACTACTACGTAGATCCTGTGCTCAGCAGCAGGAGCAACAGTAGCAGTAGCTCGCTTGGGCGCAGGACAGGACCGGGGAGTGCAGCATGGATTGTCAGTCAATGACATGCGCGTGTTGGCCACGCGGTGGGGCGAAACTCAATTCGTATTTTTTTGTGGGCGAAACACGCGGAACAACTGCTGGTCTGAAAGATGCACAGGAGAAAGCGACTCTGTTGGGCACATTTGTTGCCATCCGACTTTTGGGTTGCATTGTCAATAAAACAAGGCGTTGTGGAGGTATCAGGAGAAGAGGGGAATAGGATGTTTTGGGTTGAAGGGACTGACGCTATTTCAGGTCGAATCGGATGTCCACGCGGAATGAAGTGTGGATTTGGCAACACGCAGCATGCTTTGCCCTTTGCCACTTCTGCGCATCGCTGTGTCCGCATTGTCCATCTTCAGGAATGCTCGGTGAAGACTAGGGCGAGGTGCAAAGAACATCTGCCAGTGTGGCTGTGGCCTCTTGCCGAGCTTTTGCAAGAGGTTGCCGCGCTTGTTCTCAGTTGTTCAAAACGGATCCACCTTGTAACCTTCTGGTTTTCCCAGTTTGATCCAATTTGAGTACTGGTCCCAAAATGTGACCTTTTATTTCTGGGTCCAAACTGGGCAACTGAGGGTTAGGAATGGATTTGAAGCAGAGCTGCGTCCAGGATGTTGAAGCGAGATGTCGCTTCAAAACCCACGCGGGTATTGATTAACGCAAGGCCGAACAGCGGCTTGATCGTACTCTCGAGGAAAGAAAAGCTCAGGTTGGAACATGAATCTGACAAGCATCTCAGCGGAAGATTGCATTGGCAACATCTACAGGGTTTTTTTTCAGAGCGCATTTAAGAGCGCTATTGGCTTCCCTGCGGGGTTTGTGATTTGGCTGTCACTTGGTTCCACTTATTAGGGAGGCTTCCAATGCGCTTCGGATCCGGAGTCGTGAGGCCACGAAAGGCAAAGGACCGGGCGGGGGTGGGCCGGAGGGACGGAACCGGATCGCCATTGAGTGCCGACACCATGTTCTGCCTTACCAGATGGGTTTATTTGCAACTTTTTTCAGGTTGGGGACCCCCAAACAAAACCTAAAACCTTTTGGGTCTCCTTGAAAACCACCAAAAAAGGGGATACCAACTCAAAACCCGCCACACCATGGTGGAATCTGGCTGCTCAGACCAGTCACAGTCGTGGGATTTGGTCCCAGGCCCAGGCAAAGGGCCGCCGAAAGGTGCGGGCAAAGGCCGGGACAAGGGGGGCGTGGATGCGGATATGGGCGGCTCGTCCTCGGTTTGGGAGTTGGTACCCCTTGTTTTGGTGGGTTTTTGAAGGGACACCAACAGGAACCTCGTCTTCTTTCGGAGTTGGTACCTCCTTTTTGTGCGGTTTTCATGGGTTTAGCCAAGAGGAAAACCGAAGTCCGCCTAAAAAGAGGACACCCTAGGATGCCTCGGGCTGATATGATTGTGGCGTTTCGACGATTGCTTAGAGGCTATGACATGGGTATGGGTCAAAATTAACCCACCAGACCGCAGGTTTGAGTGAGTCCTTGTGTCCACTTACCTGTTCAACAGTTTCGTTTTGGGGACGGTTACCTTTTGACTTTTTGTCATGGCCCCAAAAGGTTAACCTTTTTTTGCAGATCCTTTGGGCAAGTGAGAAGTGGCCATGGGTCAAAATCCCGTACCCCCAGTGAGCATCCCAATCCCCACTAAAATAGGTTCTAAAATGGGTCGTGAATTCACCTACCCCAAAATGGGATCCCAACACGGTTTTGGACCACCACAGCCAAGTGAGGTTTTTTTCCGGGGCAAACCGATTTTTTTCGACCACCACGCCCAACATCTCACTTGGGTCTTGGCCAGGAGCCGGAGCCAAAGCAGCGCCGGATCCCAGCGCGGGGCCCAGTCGATTTTTTTTCTCGGATCGAATCTATGGGTTGGTCTCAAAATAGGGGCTTGCCACAGGAGTTGGGCTTCGCTGTTTCCAAATGAAACAGATAGTTATTTATGTGTATATATATATATACACACATATGTATAGGTATATACATGTGTGTGTACGTTTGTCTGCAAAGGCCAATAACTAAATAAGTGAAGAAATAACAGCCCATAATAATAGTTTAACCCAGTGGTGTTTTCATACCAGGTTTTCATGACACGGGTATGGGTCAACATGTCCAACCACCAGGACATGGACCGCAGGTTAAATCCATGTTTCCGTGCGGCAACCCATATTTTGGATACCTATTTTGGACCCACAGCCAAATAATTAAATTGGGGACCCCACAATTGGTCACTAGGTCCCCCAGTAATGCCCTTTTACCCTTTTTGGGGGGAGGGTTCCCCATACTAAAATAGACTACAGAAAAAAATGGGGTTGTCGGCTTCTCCTTGGTTTTCGATTGACACCTACCCCGAACGAAGACGAGCTACCCATAGCGAGTCGTAGGCCGCGGCGAGACGATCACTGGCAGTGACTTGGAGGCGGGTGTGGTTCAACGCGCGTCCGTAGGCAACGGAAAAATGCACAAAGAAACCGATAACTGGGAAAATAAAAGAACCCAAAATACATCCGCCGCGAAACACAAAGCAACCTTTGGCTCTCTTGGCGAAAAAGAGAGAGAGAGAGAGAGAGAGAGAGAGAGAAAGACAGCACGTTATTGGTGGATCCAAGCCGTTGGCTTAATCGATGTTCTGATGGCCAAGGAGGAGGTCACGAAATGGATCGAAGCCGTTTCCGGGGAGATGAAGGGCCCAGGGCCCAGCGAGCGCGAGGAAGGGTTTCATCGGTTTGTGGATTTGATTTTCGATTTTCGGCTCGGGATGTGAGGCGAGAAGAGCTTTGGCCAATGGCTGAAGGATGGGCAAGTGGTGTGCAAGGTGGCAAACAGCATCCAGCCAGGCGGGCGAGCTCTGAAAGCGAGTTATTTGGGGGCCCAGTGTTTGCTGCCGGAGTCAGGCATCATCCCCGCTGTCAACGCATCCAAGATGCCCTTCAAGCAGATGGCGGGGGCTGCGGGTCCTGCAGACATCCAGTGGCAAATGCTCACATGCTGATGGTTACGAAATCCATGTCGCCCTGGTTTCGGATGATTCCCTTGTAAATGCCAACAAGTTTCCATGGTTTCAGAATAGTGCAGGATTTCGTCCATCCACAGTATGTCGGCGCCAGCAGGGAGCTTCTGTGAATGAGGAAGTGGCGTTGGGCCGTTGCCAGGAGAATGTTACTGCCTTCATCAAGGCTTGGGCGATATCGGAGCTTCGCTGTTCGCGTATGATCCTTTGCAAGCTAACCGGCCGACCCCGTTGGCCATCAATTTGGCTGTGTCTGCAGTTGGTACCCCTCTAAATTGCCGGTTTTTGCATGAAATTTTAACCACCGGAAGACCCTGGCGCGCCGCCCCGCCTGACCGGAGAAGAAACAACAACAACAAGACAACAAGACACGAGCCAGCCAGCTCTTTGACCCCGCTGGCTCACCAGCGCAGCAGCGGCCAAGCGGCGGCCATCCATCCGGAGGCGTGTCGGAGCCTGGGCGTGCTGGAGAAGGACGTCTTCTCCACCGTGGACCTCTTCGAGGAGAGGGATCCGGGGAACTCGGGAAACGCAAATTCTCGGGGCTTGTTTGCGGGGAGTCCCTAAAAAAACCATTGAAGGCGCCAAGATCCGTTTTGTTTTCCTCCTTGTTTGTTGCGTTTTTTGTTTAATCGTTTTTTTTGTTCTCCCTCTTTTCTTTTTTTTTGTGTTTTCTCGTTTTGCGTGTTTTGCTTTCTAACGTGGGTGTAAAGAGAAGCCAAAAAAGGATTACCCTCCCAAGTAACACAGAAGCCAACATGAATACCCTCCCACAAGTAACATGGAACCTGAGGTTCGCGGGGGTCCCTGGTTTGGACCATTTTCTTTTTAAACGGACCCCTGTCAGGTTTCATGTTAATTGGTGGGAGGGTTCCACCATGTTTTTGGGTGTTCTCTATAATAAGACACCCAGGTTGGAATCACGTCAAACCAGATAGTCCCATACAATGTGGCGGTGGTTCAGCCTGCCTCGCTTGCGAATTGCCAGGCCAAGAACCTGGTGTCCGTGCAAAGGCCAGCTTTTCGGAGCCGGTTTGTGGGAAATTCTAGATGGGTCTCAAGAATGTTGAGCATTGCCCTGTGGAAGGAACGTTCAGCGCCTTTTCGTCACCTAAAGTTCTAGAGTCGTGCGGGGATCCAGGAAAAAACACATTGACATGGGTTACAACATGGGCAGAGAAGAAGTGGTGCGCCTGCAGTCTTTTGCTGTACCTGTCTGGGCGTCCCCTGCTTTCTGCGGGGGCCATCCTTCGATCTTGGCGTGCCGTGAGCAACTTGTACACAGTGCTTTGCAGAGCACGTAGGTATACTGCTGAAGAGCAGCCATCGCGCACATAAGGTAAGTAGGTAGCAGCACTTGAGTTGTTTGCCCAACCGCGGAGTATTTTTCTCCTGTCAGAGGATTCCTCCTTTGAATACATGACCTTGATTCCAGATTCAGATGAGCCACAATCAAAACCCGGGTAGATGAAGGCTGGAAACAATCCCAACCATAAATAGCTGCGGATATCCGCCTTCTTAATTCTTAACGCATGGTTCTGGGACGACCAATTCAATACCGGGTGTTGATTGTGACTCAAACGGCTGTGGGTCAACACCCCGTACCCCTGGTGAACATCAAAATAGGTGCCATATGGGTGTTGATTATGACTCAGAGGATGTGCCACTTAAACAGCATTGAGCTCTGAGGTGCATCTTCAACTTGGGCTCCGTGGCGAGGCGCATCCCCGACTTTCCAGGCGGCTCCTCGTTCGTTGGGCGTCTGGCAGGTTTGGTGACCCGGAGCCCGCGGGTCACGTTGCAAAGCTTGGGATCGGAAGGGAGATTTGGCTGTGGGTCAAAACTTTGTACTGGTGAACATCAAAATAGGTGGCAAATGGATGTTGAAAGTGGAGAACCCGGACATCTAAATAAATGGCCATGGGGCAGAACCTATGGCTCCATTTTGGGGTGGATCAAACCTTCCACGAATTGAGTCAGGCAAGGAAATTCTCGAATGGACCAGTGTGGGTGTGCTCCTCCCTTTTTTTTCTTGGGGGGGGCCACCCAAAACTGGCGGTTTTCCTTTTGGTTTTCCTTCTAGAGTCGCAAAAGAAGAAGGGCACCCTCAAAAAAGAGGAGCGCACATGATACACCCTGATTGAAAACGCAGCCAGATCTGGTAACTCCCTGCTGCCAGGCCCCTTCCTGGGAGTGGCGCAGAATGCCAAGGTTGAGGATGCCAAGCGCAAGAGCCAGGTGCAGCTCCGACCTTCAAAGCTCCTGCGCTGTTCGCTTGGCGCGCGCACGCACGCGTGGGGGAAAAACCACGAAGCGACAGAACTGGCAGTGGGTCAAAACCAATGGTACCATTTTGGTTGGTAGGTGCACCACTCAGTTTATTTTAGTGGGGAGTGCCAGCTGGTTGGAAGTTGGCAGGTCACCACGACGCAGTACACCGGCCTGCGCCAGGCGCGGGCTTGGAGGTCTGGTTGCCAGGCTTTCAACTTCGGAGGTGTTCCAAAAATTCTTAAGCAATGGGACCCGACATGGGCGGCGGCGGGGTTTCCCACGGCTTTTGTTGTTATGCTTTTTATACCTCGGCAAAAGAAGGGGTACCCTTCCTTCCACTAACATGGCACCTGAGGCACCTGGAAGATCATTTTCCTCGAGGGACCCCCTGTGAGGTGCCATGTTAGGAGAGAGGGTCCCCACTCCAGAAAAAAGTCGGCCTTGCCGCGCCGCCCTGGTCGCAGAGGACATCGCCGACGAGCTGCGGACAGGGCACAACGTGCGTGTGGCGGGGCAGCCGCCTTGAGGCCGAGGGCCGTAGTCGGCCGTCGTCGTGGTTTTTGGGGGAATCCGACCGCCCCCAAAATGGCGATGTCTGGTTCCCTTTCTTGGTTTTCCTTTGGAACACCAACAAAGGGAAGCAACTCCAAAAGAAGGAGTAAAAAGGGATTATGGGGGTTGCGGGGGTTTGACCATCCACCTCTAGAACCTTGACTACCCCAAGATAGACTCAAACCCAGGGGTTCCCCCAAAGTGGAATCTTACTTCTAGAACCTTGTGGGTGGCTCGTGTTATCTTTTTTTTTGTGAGTTGGTACCCCTTTCCTTTTTTTCAAGGGGAGTCAAAGGGAAAGCCAGCATGGTGGGACCGCATCTGGCCAATTCGGGTTGCCAGGGTCATCACGAGTTCCCTGGTCCAAAGAGTTTCTTCTTGTTTGCCAGAAGCACACGGAAACCATTTGAAAGCCTTCCTTGCCCCACTTCAGGCAAGCGCGGATCGAGTCAAGCTGCCTGACCCGCGCGGTCGGCATCTAGTGACCAGTGACTCATGTGACTCACCTTGAGATTTCGTGGCGAGCACCTCGGGCTCTTTTGTTTGCCTGCACGTGGCCGCGATCGTTTGAAAAGGCGCGCAGAGCTGTCCGCCGACTTGGGAAAGCAGGGGACTTGCTCTCTTGCCCCATTCTGGTGCACTGTCGCGGCGCGTGTCACGGCCATTTTTTGGCTTTGAGGTGGACGAGTGTTGCCGCCTTTGGCTCTGAAGTAGTTACATTGGGGATCCATTTTGGAGGCTCGGCAAGAAGCTTAGCTTCTGGCTGGTGCTCAGTAATTAGGGAACGACCGTTCCGGGTGTTCGGAATGAACTGGTTTTGGGGCAGATGCTGTTCAATGAAGCAATAGTATTGATGATTTAGTTCAGGGTCATTCCACGCCACTCATTCCCTGCGTATCGAACCATCAAGGTTTTGTTGTGCCAATCAAACCACGTGGACCCACTAAAATGGTCAAGAAGAGTTTTGGGATCTCCTTCCCTGAGAACCAGCCAGAAAGCTGGATCCGCGGATCGGAGTTCTCACGTGCGGATTCGCCGGGCCCAGGCGAAGGGCCATGGCGACTCCGGTGCCGGGGCAGTCTGTGGACTTGGGGGTCTATGACCGCTTCCACGTGCCGCACTTGGCGCTTGGGTCCTCGAGAAAATGGATGGATGGCCCGTGTTTCGATTTGGTTTTTGGAGTTGGTATGCTTTTTTGTCCTTTTTTCTTCGTGGGCTTCAAAGGGACACCAACAAGAACATCATCTTTTTTTGAAGTGGCTGTGGCTCAAATAAATGTACCAAAATGGGCCCCCTTGGTAAATGGAACCCAAAAACCTGCGTAACCCCAGCTCCTTCATTTTGAGCCACAGCCTTACAGGGGTTCACCGAAAAAAACCGAGAAAGGAAGCTCCCGAAAGCGGCAACCAAGAGGCCCTTTCCGCACATGCACAGGATATGGCCGTGGCTCAAAAAACAAAAAAACGGAAGTCCAAAATGGCGCAAGCCCTGGTAAGTGGAAACATGGACCAACACTACGGAAACCGCCCCTCCGATCGTTTAATTTTGAGCCACACCCATATTGCGCTGAGTTCGGAATCCATATGAGTAGTGGCCTTATCAACTTATCGCTGCAGGTGCACGCACAAATGGAGCACCTGCAGACAAAGCCGGGACGCCTACTTGTGAGAAAGGCATGTGCGAGAGACAGGATTACGGTCATCTTAGCTTCTTTCATTCTGAGAAGTGTGCAGGTACCATGGAACAGGTGGAGCAGACACGTCCAAGTGGGAGTGGGTTGCAAGCTCAGAGCAAGTGCCAGCCGTCCCATTCATTGCCTCAACTGTGCGTAGGGGCAAGTCATATTCTCGGACAATTTGGCCTCAACATCAAAGATTGGAAGTTTTGAACAGTTCAGCCAGTGTCGCAAACCTGTTCCTTTGACAGTCAACGCATGTTCAAGGACGCCTTAAAGATGGGACCGCTTGGCATGTCTGGTTTCAGGGAACCCCCGCTTTTGCTTGGGATCAGAAAAGGAGAACCATTGACAAACCCACTGCTTGTTCTCCGACGCTTTACACCGCAGCCAGGCCACAAACATCCATAGAGACACGATGGCGTCTCATGTGGGCCACTACACACGCCTGGCGCGGGGGGGCCCAGTGCAAGTCGCATATGGCTCGAAAACGGCGAGAGTCTTTTCCGGTGGTCCATGGTAACATGGTATGTAGCCGGATCAATTTATGTGGGCTGCTGATAAAAAGTTTGGCGGACTGCAAGCGCTGATGCAACATTTCAAAAGCCTTGGTATTGCTGAAGAATTGAAAGCACATCCTGAAAGTACGTCCCGAGGTACTTTGCGCTCTGCGAGAATGAGCCTGTGGCCCGCGTGCGCTTCAACTGCCTGCAGGCCATGATCCAGCCTTGTGGCAAGCCGCCCCTCAAGGACGACATGGAGGACAGCCGGTCGCCGAAGGCCCTAAGACTTGAGCCCCGTTTGGGTGTCCTTAAGGTTAAGGTTTGGTTAATGAGATGGAAAATCCATCTATGTTTCCAGAAGGCCACCCATGCTTGAGCCTGTTCTGGAGCGTAGCACAGGGACCGCGTCGCAGTTTGCTGGGCCTTGCTTGGCTCGTGCTCAGGACTAAGCTCCGATCCCCAAGCGCTGGCCAAGAGACGCGCGGAAACAGCGATAGGAGGATCAGATAATGAAGTGATAGGACGGAGTCCGCCGAAAGATGCGAGAAGGTGGAGCAAAGAGGAAAAGGCTGCACTGTAAAGGCTGCAAACGAGTCAAAGTTGGCTTGCCTTGGTGTTTTTTGTGACTTCTCAAGACTGGGAGCGCCAGTCTGCTCGACAGACTGTTCAATCGATGCAGCCATTTGCCGCCTCCCGGCAAGTTGCGCGATAGTCCAGCAGCGTTTGCCTGCAGTTTGACCCGAAGTCGTTGTATCTAGCCAGTGCTGCCTTGCTAATTTCTTCGCTCATACCACCGCTTTTTCGACTGGAGGTTGCCGTCATGAGAGGTGACGCAAAATGCAAGTCGCACGATGCCGTGGAGAGATTCCGGACTGAGAGTCTCAGCATAGATTCCGCCATGGCGGAATCTATGGACCTGGGAAGGCCCGAACTTGAGATGACTTGTTGCTAGCCTCACTCTGCAGACAAAATGTGGAGCCTGGTGGCAGGATGGATGGCTCGGTGCTTCTTTTCGGCGCCTCAGATGCAGCCGGCCTCGCAACCAAAACATAGATGGCTCAGCTGGTCTCGTGTGAGGCGGTGCCTACTCGAACCTCCAGGCATGGTTGGATGATTTTTGAGATGTAGACATACACAACTATTTGCAGATGCATATGGGCCACAATCAAAACCCGGGTAGATGAAGGTTAGTAAGGGACATCCCAGCCATAAATAGTTGCGGCCGCCTTTGTATTTCCTCACATGGTTCTGGGTCAACCATTTTTATACCGATCGGTTTTGATTGTGACTCATATGAAGGTTTGGCAACAGGGGCCCTTGTTGGTATCTCCTTCAAAAGGCGGCGTGGGGCGGCACCAGGTCCACAACACCCCATATACCTGGGGCCTCAAAAGACTGCCGTTTTTTTGGTCGCGGTTCGAAAGAACATTTAAGTATTAGCCGCGCGACAAAGAAACGGTCGCGGTATGAAAAAAATGAATTTCCCGCATTGGACCAAAAATCATCTTCATGGCAACTGCAGCCCCCAACACCGTTGTGATATAGTGTGTCAGAGCTTAAATACGGCTCTGTGCGCTTTTGTACAGCTTAGTGCGGTTTTGTACGGTTTTGTACGGATTTTGTACGGGTTTTGTACGGAAAATACGGCCGCAACTTGTCACACAAATGGTTGCAGCATGAGAAAAAAGCGGTCGTTGTAAGGAACAAATTGTGGTCCGAGAAAAAAACCTGGAGTTTAACAGAACAAACGGTCGTTGATTGCAAACAAAGCAGCCGTATGAAAAATCACCGTTGCAACATGAGAAACTACGGTCGTTTCAGTAGCCACAGCATGCTGCACACCCAATTCTTGTCAAACATGCGTTGGTTCAAACAAACCAATGTTCACAGCCTGTCACTTCGTTAGGCCTTGGCAGGTAAGTTGCGTAGTGTCCACTTGCCTGAGCAGCATGCATGGCAGCCATTCAGCACGTTTGAAAAGAAAATGGTCGTTCCAAAAAATGGTAGTACGATCAAAAAAATGGTCGCGTCGTTTGAGGCCCCAGGCATATATATATATATAGAACATTTATAGGCACACGCCCAAGTGGTACAATTTGCCTTAGGTCTAAACATGTTTCCTCAAAGTCCATGTATCCCATGGCTGTCAGGGGGCCCCCCCAAAGAGGGGACCCCCAAAAAAGGGAACCCTATTAACCATCAGGGCTTGGTAGTCGCTACTCGTCCCTTTTTTGGATTGGGGAATCGGCCCCAATTGGGGAATCCTTGACCACCAGCCCTTCCTCCCGCTAACAAGAAGCATGTGTGGGAGGGTACCTGGAAGATCAGTTTTGAAGGGACCCCCGCTGCGAGGCGCGCCACGTCGGGGATAGATTTTCCGGTTCAAGTGCCGGAGGCCCTTCAGGCGATGCTTCGCATCCGCGAAGAGCTGCAGATCCCGCCGGAGAGGCGCGAGCGAGCTGGACGCATCCGGTTTTGGGTCGTCGAAGGATCCCGAGCGCGAGGTTTTGGGCCACTCCACACCAGAAACGGGGGTGGCGTCTCGTCTTTCTTGAGGTTGGAGCCCCGTTGAAAGCGGCGCTTTCAGCGTGTTTTCAGGGTGGTTGTGTTCTTTGAACCAACAAGAGGGGTACCAACTCCCAAAAACGACTCGCGTATCTCGGAAAAGAAAAGTGGAGCCTTCAGAGCGCCAGTGCACTTCACCAATCTAAGAGGGTGTTGTATTACCTTGGGGGTAGCTTTGGTTTGGGGCAGTCTATGGGGTGCAATAGAATAATCGATAGACACTTTTTGAGGTGCCATCCGAATGGAACCCGTCTTAGAACCAACGAAACAAAACTCGGTTTGGAGAAACCTAAGAATCGGAATCACAATTCCCCTGCAAATACCAACAAACAACGGTTTCTCCTGGTTTCAACGTGGTGCGAAATGGATTGGTCCATCCACAGTATATCTAGGAGTTGATTCCCTTTCCATTCTTTTCAACCATCATTTTAATCAACCAGCTGTTTTTTCTGGGGTTCTGATGGTTTTCTGAAAAGATTTAGATCCCTGGAAAGATTGCCTGGAGCCTCCATCATAGCAACAATTTAAGTCTTCCCTCTGGTTCGATACACAAATTGACACGTTGTAGCGTTTTTTTCCTCCACAAATGCTTTCTAGCATATATTGTTTTCGCATTCGAGCAGAAATCAAAACCGATAGCTTCATATTCTTTCACAGTTGCGAGCTTGGGAAGAGTCATCAACGAAACGAGCGCACAAAAGTGCAAAACGAGCGCACATCGGCGCACAAAATACAAAAAAGTGCAAACAAGTGCAAACGAGCGAAGATCCAAAACATGATACAGGGAATGGGTTCCGACGGGCGCACGATTGCTGACAACTCGAGCGATTTTTGTAGTATCGTACACGAGCAGAAATATTTCGAGCAACAACAAAAAATGTATCAATTGAGTCTGCAGGTGGAATTGGAAGTGTCTCCTGTAAGAATCCATCCCATGGATTTCGTCCATCCTGGTTGCCTACCTGACTCAGAAACAAAGCCCGATGGGTATGAAAAAAGTGTTTGGAGGTGGAACCCAAAAGGAAAGGGCATTTTAAAAAATCTGCAAGGCGGAATTCCAAGGGTACGAATGGTAAGGGGAGTATCCCTTCAAGGTTTATTTATTCGGGTTTTGATTGAGGCTCATGTGGGTATGGGTCATGCCCAGTCTTTTATGCGGTTTCCCCATGGTTTCGAAGGGGTGCGCTCTGGATGTCGCAACCATCACAGGTGCATTCACACGGGGGATGTGGTGGCGTACTGCGGTCAACCCCTCGAGAGCACCGAGTTGCTGCGGAGCTCGGGGGTTTGGTGCCTCATGGGCAACTGCGAGGACGCCAAGCGATGGGCAATCGGTACCCCCCGTGTGGGTTGGCGTTGTTGTTGTTTTTTTGGTTCACCCAGTGGAAAAAGGGGGTTGTTTTTTTTGCGGTTTTGGGGGTCCAACCTTAAAACCATTCGAACAAGGAGTTTTTTTTTGGGGGATTTGGTGGGTCCAACCTTAAAACCATGATCTTCAAACGACCAACTTGAAAAAAGACGGGGGGAGTTGCAACCCGATAAATCTGGGGTGATTTCTCATTGCGGTAGGTTGAGGGGCCAGAGGTGCACGCGATTTTCAAGCCGATTTTTCGGCTTCACGGTTTGACTCGGAGGAGAGCGTGGGATTGGCCAAGGCGGACTGTGGCTGCGGATTTCCGGAGGACAGCGCCTGTTCCTTGGGCCGCAGATGCGTGCAATGGAACCGACAGAAACCGCCAATTTAGGGGGCAGGCTCAACAACAATATGAGCCGCAATCAAAATTGGGTGCGGCTTGTCCCCTTTTTCGAGGAATCGAACGCCCCTAAATGGTGGGTGTCCTTTTGGATTGCAACTCCAAAAGCCAGAAAAAGGGGGCAGTTCCGAAAAAAAGAAGTAAGGGAGAAACGATTCCGGCCAGTCCCAGCATTTTTTGCCGTTGCCCTTGATCACTTGCTCAAACACCGATCAGTTCCTTACGCAGAGCTCGGCGCTCAGGCAATACCTTCAGTCTCAACTGGTACTCTCACGTCACGGAGCAGCTAAAGGACCACCAGGTGGGCGCAGTTGCATGGCTTTAGCTCGCAGAAACTTCGCAGACTTCGCGACTCACGACTGCCTCTTTGGGGCAGAAGGATTTTTTCAGCTTGCCATGGGAGTTTTTCTCACTTTCAGCCGGTGTGTTTTTTCTGTTCACTTTCAGCTATGGACCTTTGCCGTGATAGACACGCTTTCACCTTGCAAGCGCCATGGGCGACTCTTGACGCGACCCGCCGCGACTCGGGTCGCTTTTTGGGTCGCGAGGAGCTGCGCGCCTGGATGGCGGGCCTGCCCCGGCGGATGTTCTTCCAGCTCGCAGGCGTGCAGCGCAACGCCACGCCACGGTGCGTGGGGGGAGTCACGGGAAACCCATGTCCCTCTGGCGCAAAACCGAGTCGTTGGTCGACTTCTTTTTTTTTTGGGGGGGGGCCGAGTCATTGGTCGACATGTTCCTTTGTTTTTTTTTGGACCGAGTCATTGGTCGACTTTTGTTTCGGGTTTCTGGGGATGGTTTTAAGGGGAAACCAACAGAAAACCAACCATTTGGGGGGAGTTTGGGATTGTTTTTTTTGGAAACCGACAGAAAACCAAACCCATGGGGGGGGAGGGGGGGAGCTCAACAGAAACATGGGTATGAGTCAAATTAAGCCACCAGCGGACCGCAGGTTTTAGTCTATGTCTCCGTTTGCCAGGGTTCTAATTTGGGTACCTATTTTTGACCCATACCCACACGAGCCTCAATCAAAACCCGAATAAATAAACCTTGAAGGGATACTCCTGTACCATTCGTACCCTTCGAATTCCGCCTTGCTCATTCTTGCCGCATGGAAGACTGGCATTTTGTTTTTTTGTTTAATGCCCTTTCCTTTTGGTTTCCACCTCCAAACACTTTTTATAATACCCATCGGGCTCTGTTTCTGAGTCAGATAGGAAGCCAGTATGGACGAAATCCATGGGATGGATTCTTCTAGGGGACAGGGATTTCCAGAAAAGCATCAGAACCCCAGAAAAAAAAAAAGAAGAAAAAAAAACAATAACAGATCCGGTTTTTGAAAAGACCGCTGTTTGAAAAGAATGGAAAAGGAATCAACCCCTAGAATTCTGACCGTGCCTCGGATTTCAGATGCACGGTCGCGAAGCGCGGACTGCGAAAAGTCCTCCTGCCGCCAGGCCGGCGCATGGCGGTGGTCCACGGCAGTCCGCTGGACATCAGCGACTTCGTGTGGCCCTCGAGCAGCGACCAGGCGCGGGCGCTGGATAGAAGCGCCTGGAGGGCTCATGGCTGTGTCTCTTTGTAAGTCTAGTTTTAAAGGGAAATCCCACGGAAACAATTCTTTTTTTGGGGGGTCCAACCTTGCAAAAAGAGGACACGGTCCATGTTGAGTTTTTGCTTCTTCTTGCATTTCGGGCCGGTGGATCAGTGCCGGACCTCGAACCTCGGGCCTGGGAACTCACCGGATGTTTTTTTTAGTCCAGGATTTGGAGAAGCGCATGGACGCGATCGACTGCGACGGCGTGGTGTGCGGCCACAGCGGCATCCCCTTCTGCCGGCTGCTGGAAGGCGACAAACGCGGACGCGGCGCCCGGCTGTGGCTCAACGCTGGGGTCATCGGCATGCCGGCCAACGATGGCACAGCCCGGTCGTGGCAGCTTGGAAGTCAGTCAAGGGCTGCGACTTTCGACTGTTGAAAAATGGGAGTGGCATCTTTTTTTTTTTTGAGTTGGTAGCCCTTGTTTGGTGGTTTTAAAAAGGACACCAAAAGGAAGACCGAAGCCGTTTTGGGGCCCCAACCTTGAAAAAGACAGACCTACATGTCTCCCGAGCTTCAAAGCTTGGAGTCTTTTGGGTTGCACCCGGGCCTGGCCGTGAGCTGGTTCGCGAGAGAGCGTTGAGGTATGCCTTGCTGACTCCCCGGGGCAGGGACGTTGAGATCAGCATCCGGCCGTTTGACTACGACACTGAGAGCCGCATGGCTGACAGCCACCTTTTTGGCATGTTGAGATCTGGCCGTGGGTCAACACCAATGGTACCATTTTTGGGTAGGCGCACCACCCATTTTAGTCGATTTTACTGGGGGATGCTCACTGGGGGATAACCGGCGTTTTGACCCACAGCCATCTGGCCATAGCTTGAGCGGACCAGTGCGAGTCGCCAAGGTGCCGTGGAGTCCATCGCGGCTCACAGCAAGCTGCTGCGAGTCTACGGCAATGCCCTGCAGACAGGCATATGGCCCTCGCATGTGACTCAGCTCAGTTGGCCGATTGAGCTTCTTCTTCAACTTGGCTAACTTAACCTCACCCCGGCCCCCTGTGAAGTGACCTCCCAATGGCTGTTTTGAGGCCAGATGGGCCAGGATGCTGGGTACGGCTTTTTCTTCTTTTTTCTAACTCCCCGGCCCTCCCGACCCCCAAACTTTGTTGCGCCGGCCAGCGAAGCGGCCAGCCGGCCCGAGCCCCGAGCCCAGGACATTCTGCCCATCGAGGAGCAGATGCATTCGGGCGTGGCCTTGGAACCGCAGCAGCTGCTCTGGGCGAGTCAGAGGCCCTGAAACCATCGCCGTGGAGCCTTTGCCCATGACACCCTGGTTTTTGGTTGTTGAACTCTTGGAGTTGCTATACCCCTCTGGTTTTCTTCGGGTTTAAAAATCAGAAGCCAAAAGGAAGACACCCCCCCTCCTCCCTCCCCCCCCCCTCCCCCTCCCCCCGCCGCTTTTTGTTGGATGGGGGTGGAGTGGGTGCCCCTGGATTCTTTTCCGAAGGCAGAGATCTGCTGGGTGGCTCTTAGTGGCAGCTGCCGCCACGGCGGCTGTGGCAGCCGCAGCCCTTGCGTACCGGCGCAGATAAAACGGGGCTGTGGGGGTCGACCAATATGGCTGTGGGTCAAAGATAGGTGCCCAAAATGGAGCCCTGGTAAGTGGAAACCTGCGGTCCCGTGGTGGATTGATTTTGACCCATACCCATATTTCTGGCGCTCAAATGGCCATTGGTAATTAGCTTTTCCCAATGTGGTTGGAATCTCGAATCTGTTTCGTGGTCTTCCAGCCAATGGTCATCCCGTGTCTCATTTTGTAGGTAGCCTTTGTGGGGGTTGGGTGTGAAGGGAAACCAACCATTTTTGAGGGGTCGGGACCCTATTTTACGACACACCCAAATCTCAAACGGCGCTCATGCACAGCATGTTGAGCCACAAGCTGCTTGCTTCTGCCATTGTCGCCGTGATACGCACTCCGCTACTTTGTTTGTTGCTGTGAAGTGGGCCGAAGAATGCATCTGGCTTGGTGCATTTTTGGTCATTGAAATTGGGTGTCATGTTTGATGTTTGTGATGTGAATCGCCCGACGCGATGTGGCTTCCAGCCCAAAGCAACTCACGCCATGACGCTTCATGAAGATTTCACGTGCACAGAGAGGAACTTTCAGATGGTATTGGCCAAAGTCAACCCCATGGCCATTTTCACCCCGAACTCACCCCATCCACTCTTCCTACAACAGCACAGCCCGAAGCCCGCACCCACGCCGCGGCTGTCAGCCAAAGAGCTCAGTGCCGATGGGATGCGGGTGCTCTTCTTGCTTTTGCTCCTGCAGGCATTTGGTTTTCGCCGATCACTTGAAACAGGTGCCCCTGGAGCCCACCGAATCGTCCGATCGACCGAAACGGAGCCGACGTGCAGGGCTGCGTGGCAACCAGCAATGACACTTCAGAGGAGAGGGCTGACATGTCGTGACGGGAAGGCCTCCGATTTGCCGCACTCCGGGCCGACATGTTTGCATTGCCATGTAATAGTAATGCTGCATTAGGGTTAATGTTGTCCATTCCTCTTTTGGTGATGAGTCAAATTTGGCAACCCTAAAGAAGGTTGAATGCATAGCGGCAACAAGACACAGCCTAGTTGGGCCCATTTCCGCCCAGGCGCAAGCCGGAACATGGCAGAAAATGGCCGAAGTTTGGATCATGTAGGACGTGAACTTCACAGACGTGAACTTCACAGGCAACGAGACTGAGGACACCGACTGCTCGCATTGCTCGCGTTTCGCGTTCGTTCGGAGTCTTCGGACATGGGACTGATTGGCCTCGCTCAAGTTGCTAGGATGACACCAGCTTGGGCCTTAGCCTGCGTCAGCCGCAGCTTTCTCCGTTCTCCGAAGTTGCTCGGGGTTTTGAGGCTACCCCTTTGTTGGGGGTTTCAAAGGGAAACAAAATCCCATTGTACCATTTTGGGGGGTCCAACCTAAAAATGCCGCACCCAAGGGAGTTGCTCAAGGGCTTGCGGCTGTCGGGCTTCAGTCAATGCACTTAGGCTCAACCACGCCAGATGCTCAGAGCGAAGAGACGCACCAAGGTTTTGCTATACTTCAATGGGAGAAGCGCAGGGTTCGCTGAACCATTATTGAATGCCATTCCTCTAGGATACAGGCGTGGTTCATTCCCCCAGAATGAGAACCCCTAGGATTAAGTCTTTCTTTGGGGTAGTCAATAAGTGGAACCCTGCTGGCGTCTCTTCTGTGAAATCGTTGTTTGCGTTGTAACTCCTTGAAATTTTAACGATTCCAAAATGTGATAGAAGAAAATAGCAAGACAGAAGATGATAATCATATTTCAACACTCTATTGTTGTCACGTTGATGATTTAGTTTGTGTTGCTAATGAAATATCGTTTGACATCATATCCTTGTCTTCTGAACATGTGCTTTTCTTGGAATCTATTGTTATTGTTGTTATCTTAGTATTGACGAAAATGGCTGTGTTGCTACAACTGATCATCTATGCCCGCACGGAACTTCAAGTCGTTGAACCTGTCACGATCGAAGGCAGAGCTGTGCAACTGCTTCCCTTTGCTCTTGTGTTTTTTGAGCTACTCGGGGTTTATCCAACCAGTCCCTGTGATACAAAGGAATCTCCCATAAGTTATGGGGGTTAGTCTCTGGGATGCCCTTTTTGTCGTACAGAAGTGAGTTCCATTTCCCACAGCCCTGGTTGAAAGGCAATCCCAAAGGGAAAGCCTTTTTTTTCTTCCTTTTTTGGGGTCCAACCTTACAAGAACACAGCGTGTTTCGATGGATGTGAATCGCAATTCTATTCACACCAGGGCTGTGGGAAATGGAATCCACTTCTGTGATACAAGACAAAGGTCTCTCAAAGACTACCCCGCCATTTTCACCGGGGATTCCCTTGTATCACAGAAGTGGGGATAAACCCCTTGATCCCACAACCCTGATTCATACCCCTGTAGAATATTGAAAGAGTACTGAACGCCTACGAAACACGGACCAACGGGTGAGTTACAACCAAAACCGATTCCGGTCGATGAAGGTTAGGGACAATCCCAGCCATAAGTAGCTGCGGATATCCGCCTTCTTGGTTCTTTACATGGCTCTGGGTAGACCATGTTATTGCCAGATCTTGATTATGACTCAGGTGAAATCCACAAAAACACGCATCCAAGCCGTTTTTTGGAAAGACATGAAACGTCTCCTGTTCCGGTTCAGAGGTCATCTACAGTGACCACCTCCTGGACTTCTAGCACCGGAACAACCACATCGGAAACATCTACGACGTCAACAGGCACATCACCGCTTTTTATCCCAGGGGGGCTGACCCCGGGAAATTCTGTGGCAATCCATTTTCCCTGCAAAAATAGATAAGTGGAATTGGGTATAAGGGTCATCCCCACGCCCTTCCCCCCAGGGGGGGGGGGTGAGAGGCACATCATCAACCGTCACGTCATCAACTGCTACTTCGTCAACTGCTACCTCGTCAACAGCTACTTCGTCAACTGCCACTTCTACTTCGGCCACCACTTCAATCACCTTTACAACCTCAAATACGACCACAACAGAAACCACAACTTCCTCTACGTACACTTTGACCCAGACCACACGTACCATCACCTTAAGTAGTACCACCACAACGCTGACAAACACTACCACGACGACTACCGCTCCTGCCTCAGTGCTTGAACATTCGGCATGTTAATATTTCTGATTGTGCCGGTGCTTGCACGTGTGATGTGGTGATGTTGCGGATGCTAAGGAAACACTGCAGCTCATCTGAATGCTTCGTCTCAGCTTGAATGCAAGGGAGCCAAACGCTCGGGGCCAATGCAGACGGAACCGGGTGCGTCCCTTTCTTGGGGAACCCCCTTTTGGCTCTTTTTCTGAAAGGGAACGCTTAAAGGGCCGCCGCGCACTTGTGCCTTCCCCGATGAGAGCAAGCCTACGAGAAAAACCTTCCATTCAGATCTAAGGACCAGCACCTTCACTGGCTCGTGGTACCGAGTGCGGTTGACCATCCTCTTGGACCTCATCGTTGGGAACGCGCCGCCCGGCTCCGGAGAGAGACGCCCTTGTCGCGCCGTGTCTTGCGGTGGCACCGGAAAAGATCCAGGGCCGCAGCGAAGAGACGAAAGACAACTGTCCGGCGGATCCTGATCCAAGCAAAGCTTAGAGCAGTGAAAACTCACAGAGGCAACACACGCTATAATGTGTATACACAATATATATATATATATATAATGTATAGCAATACACGAAATAACGCAGCATCGCACAAAAGAAAAAAAAGAAAAGAAAAGAAAACAACACGCACACTACAAAGGAAACATCGCAAAGGCAAAACAACTACAATGCAAACCTCTAGATTTGTTTGCCATGAAAGAGACGTGTGCTGCTTGTGGACAGTTTTCGCTTACCTCAGGTATGCTTTGGCATCCGCCTCAGAGTCAACCCTGAGCCGCGTGGAATTCGGGACGGTGTCTTGTGCGTGGCTTTGGCTTTGAGTGACCAGCATGTTGGAAGCTTCTGGGTGAAGTATAACAACCTCACACGACCTCACCCCAAATGGTGGTTTCTGTGGGGAATGGCGCCCCAACCACCTTATTTCAGGCTGGTGCAATATTATAGTTCACCCAGAAGTTTTGTCAATGAAATGCCATGGGCCCGAAGGCTTTTTTCCCGATTCTGGCTGCATTCTCGCTGAGGCCGAGGACGCAAACGCGCGGCTGGCAGCGCGGGCGCCCACAAAGAAGCTGTGGGGTGTTAAATGATCTCTCTTTTTCTTCCTCTCCCTGACGCTCTTTCTCTCTCTCTCTCTCTCTCTCTCTTTCTCTCTCCCTCTCTCTCTCTCTCTCTCTCTCTCTTTTTCTTCTTTTTTTCTTTCTTTCTTTCTTCTTTCTTTCTTTCTTTCTTGCTCAGAGAAGTGAAGGGCGTGTCGTTTGAGAGCCAAGGCTGAGCAAATCTTGGCGGACATGGTGAGTCTAACCGACACTGGCCAAGCTACAGTGGTTCCAGCGCAGGCGGCACGGCATGACAAGTTTTGTTCGACCCTCCATGGCTTTTCGATCCAACCACCAGGACCGCAGGGTTTAGTCCATTTTTCCATTTGCCGGGCTTTCATTTTGGGTGCCCATTTTTGACCCACACCCTTGTCTTGTTCGAAGGTGGGGTCTACCTTCGTCGATGGCTCAGACACCGCAAAGCTTCTGGGGGTTGATCAAAAGGTCCGTGATACATGGGATGACCATCAGGGAAACCACCCAAAAAAGATGACTCGCCCCACGAAACGGGACAAGTTACCCACATTGTCATGTAGGGGCCTTGTCGGGGGAATATTGATCAAAGCCCCATGTGACACTGTTACCATCAAAAGGTGTCACGTGCCAAGGCTCAGATCTCGTGCACTTTTCAGCCATGGCGCAGCTTGGCGGCAAACACTTGCCATGTTTCTAGGTTTGTTTTTGCTTGGATTCTTGACGTTTTGTGATGTTTGGGATTCCACTTTATTCCACAAGTTGCGGCTTTTCGACTTCTCATTCTCCTGCTTTTCTCGGTTTAGTTTCCTGGATGTCGTGCTGGCGTACTTCAGGGAATGAGACATGGAATGATTCGAGACAAACCATCCAACTGCTGATTTCCCCCCCCCCCCCCTTTTTTTTTCCTTCGGGAAGTCCCCTTGCTGTTCATTCCATTCCTCATTCCCCGATTTCGCGGCAAGTTTTGACAGTTGTTGTGTTTTTTTACAGGGTTGAACCCACCGGGTTGAACCCCAGGACACTTGGAAGCTCGGCCTCGGTCGCCGCTCGCCTCGCCTCGGTCACTCGGTCGCGTCGTCGGACCGAGGCCGGGAGCTGGAGGCCGCGCGGGAGGAGGCGAGGCGGCTGGCGCAGCTGCTGGCCGCCGCCTTGGTTCCTGAGGTTCGAAGGGTAAGTGGCGTCTCTTTTTGCTTCTCCTTTCTTTTTCCTTTTTTTTGCTTTTTGCTGTTTTTTGCTTCTCCTTTTTTTTGGCCGAGACTTTTGCTTCCCCCTTCTTTCGTTTTTTTTTTTTGGGGGGGGGTGGTTGGGGAAACGCCAAAATGAATGTGGCGAGGTCTTTCTTTCTTCGGTTTACGCTTTTTGGCCTCCCAAAAAGTCAAAAACCACCGTGCAGCACGGGGGGTTACGCTGGAATGTGCGGCTCTTTGGCAAGAAGAAGCGTTCGTCTTGAGACCTTCGGCTTGACTGGGCCAAGGGCTCCCTTGCCTTGTCTTCCGTAACGGAGCGGATGCGGGCCGATGTTGGCGCGGGACCCCAGTATACGGCCAGAGCGAGCGGCCGAAAACCGGATGCGTTACGTCGAAAAGACGTGGGGGCATGGCGAGTCTTTTTGTAAAGTACCCTTTTTGGTTGGTTTGGATACGGGAAACTGGGACACCGGAAGGAAAGCCACGAGAATTACTTGGGTCCAACCTTTAGAAAGACGCGCCCAGAGGGAAAGAATTCGGAAACCAGTGATGAGAATTCGGAATGCGGCCGCTCCGAGGCTTCATTAGTTATGCCTTCGACGTCACCGCGCCTGGGCTGCATAGCCTTTCGAGGGCCCCCCAGCAGCGCTCCAAAAATGGGCTTCCCCAAATGGCTGTGGTGGTCAAAACCAATGGGATCCCATTTTGGGTGGCAGGTGAATTCACCACCCATTTTTTAGTCTTCATTTTAGTGGGGATTGGGATGTTCATTGGGGGATAACCAGGCTTTTGACCCACGGCCAAATGGCACCCTGGCACATGGAAACAACGTCTAAACCTGCGTAAGAGTGGCTCTTGAAAATTTTGAGCCACGCCCAAATTTGACCTCGGCGGGCTTCTTAGCTTTTCCCTTTGAGTGGTTGACGTTTCCTTTATAGTCATGCCGTGTATCGCGGACCTTTGGATCAACCCCCACATGCTTCCGTTGCCTTCATTGCTTGCTGGTCCCTTCAGTCCAGTGCCAATTGCCTTGCACAGGGCTTGGCCTTCTCCCTGGACGTGCTCTATCCGAATGGACAGACTGAGGAGGGACTTTTCGATCGGCGCACTTCGATTCATTGCATGCCTGACTGCAGAGGCTTAAAGAATCTTGGGCAGGAATGAGTGTGCGACCTTTGGCTTGGCATTTTCGCAACACGCGTGGGTGTACGTGTGTGTCCACCAAGGACCTTGGATTCATGTGGTGTGTGTGTGTGTGTGCGCATGTGTGTGTGTGTGACCTTGGATCCGTGTCAGGTTTTTGCCTCGCTGCACTCGACCTCCAGCACCAGCTCCCCCAACCAGGACTCCTCACCGCCTGGGATCCTTATGACTTTTTTCTGGATCTTCTCAAAGTCGGAAAATGGAAGGGACATAAATCCGCACCCAAATGGAAATGGTTGGTTCCCTTTGACCTACTTGGGGAGTGGCTTTGATTCTGGTGAAACAATGGGGCGACGGATTCTCTCATGCGTGACCCGGGATCAGGAGGGTGCAGCTGGTGCCGCCACAGGCATCACCATGCCATGCGCGCTTGCTGCAGACTTAGTCTAGCGGTTCAGGCAAGGCCTCAAAATCAATCCCTCTCATTTCCAGGCTTAGAGACCAGGGTTGCAACAAAATCTGGATTTCGTGTTGAAAGGGTGGGCTTCTGCCGACTCTTGGCGACCAACTAAGGCCGTGGTTTTCTACGCCTTCGGGCTGTAGCGACATGTAGCGATGCGACGCTTGGGACATTGGGACATCGCCAGCTTTGCCGAGCCGGGCGTCCCACTCACCGGGCGAAGTTCCGGTAATGAGCCGCGCTCCTCCAGATCCGTGCCAGTGAATTCGGCTAGTCCCTCGAATATGGCATACTTTGACAGGGCTCCTGAAAAGATGCATTTTGCCCATTTGAAACATGGCTTTTTCCACCAAAATAAGGGGAAACCACCATTGACAAGGCAATGTTCAGGTGTATGCAAGGATCCCTGTTTGACTTGCAAAGATCACATTGCCGAGATGATGGATCTGGGTCTGGCGGATCTGCCGCACTGGACACGCGCACGGCAATTCGTGCGATTCTTCGAAGTCATCCTGCTCCTACAAGAGCACGTGATCTCAATTTGCAACTGGTCTTTTTTAGGGCCCCCCTCGCAAATATGGTGGTTGTCCTTTTGGTTTCCCTTTAAGACCTACCAAAAAGGGCCCTTAACTAAGAAAGACTTACATCTAGTTTTGCTTCACCTTTGCCTGACTCCGCCTAGCGGAACCGCATTTTTCTCTTATGCGCGTGGTCGAAGTCTCACAGTTACGCCAGATCTGCGAAACACTTTAGATCTGGGATTGATGTTTGCCGAACCGAGAAAAATGCTGCTTCGCATGTTCCATGTACAGCAATGTCGCCCTTCCTGGAAGAATGAATGCAACCAGCCGCAACAGCGATGCGGTTGCGCCCAAAACATAGCGAGGACCATGGTTGGATGAGTTTTCAATGCTACTGATCTCTCCCCCCAAGAATAACATTAAATAGAATGGTTCCAAAGTACAAGGCGCATCTTAAGGTTGAATGTACCATTGAGTGGCCATTTGGCTCCACAGGCCACAAGGCCACATATGGCAAGCTCCCATCAGATTGGCAGGAACCAACGGAGGCCTAGAGAGAGTTTTCATCCGCTGCTATGGGAATGTCTTTTCAGGGGACCCTTGACCTCAAAATGGTGGTCGTCGTTGTCATTTTTCCTTTAAAGCCACCAAGTATGGGATACTCCCCCCCACCCCCCCAAAGAAAGAAGAGACAAAGCCATCGCCCTTCTTCCACGCCTTCTGCCCAGCAGTCTCAATCGATTCCTTTGGGAAGGGTTTCCCATGCGCACTCCTTCGCAATGCCATGGCAGGCCTGTCAGCACTCAATGCGGACGTCAGCTTCGCTTTTTCAGGGTGTCAAAATCTGTTATCCTTCCTTTCCTTTCCGTTCCCTTCCCTTCCTGCCTTCCCTCCTCTCCCCTCCCCTCCCCTCCCCTCCCCTCCCCTTCCCTTGACTTCCCTTCCCTTGCCTTGCCTTGCCTTGCCTTGCCTTGCCTTGCCTTGCCTTGCCTTGCCTTGCCTTGCCTTCCTTCCTTCCTTCCTTCCTTCCTTCCTTCCTTCCTTCCTTCCTTCGAGCTTTGGATTTCGGAGCAATACACCCGACTTTCCCGGCCGAGCGTTTTGCAAAGCTTCCAGGGGCCTTGCCAAGCTTCGCCAACTACACCGAGGAGGACGCGCTGCCTAGAGAAGTTTCACCGAAGATACCGGCCGTCTCTGCAGGAGCTGGGCTGCTATCGCCGCCTGCGGCGTCCTCAAAAAATGAAGCACCTCTATGGCCGCACAAATGTGCTGTGGCTCAACATGAAACAGCTGGGGCAAACCGCAGGTCGTCTTTCTTTCCACATCCCATGCCAAAAAGGAGAAGGTGTGGCTCAAAATTAAACGATCGGAGGGGGCAAACCGCAGGTTTTGGTCCAGGTTTCCACTTACCAGGGCGTGAATTCCATTTTGGACTTCCTTTTGTTTTTTGGTTGCCACCGCCATTTGGAGAATCTTCATACAGGTATGGGTCATTACTGAGTCCATTTCCGCCGGACGCGGTTTGCGCCGCCCCCCTCGCCGGAGCCGAGGTTTGCGTCCGGCGAACACGGGGCGCTGGACTCGGAGGCGGTGCGGCTGCTGCAACGCAGCGGCCTGCCGGGGGCTCCACGCGGGAAGTAGCCACCGTGGTTTCCGCTTTGTGGAGGTGGTTCCCGTTTTTCCTCTTCTTCTTTTTTGTTTGCCATTTGTTTATTTTGATATATATATATATATATTTTTTTGGGGGGGGTCTAAAAAGACAGGCCCATAATTCATGTGGGTGTGGGTCAAAAGTCAATCACCAGGGGACGGCAGGCAGGGTTCCTTTTGGGGTACCTATTTTTGACCCCCAGCCATGTGAATATGAGTCTCCGAGGTCCCATGAGACGCTGCGAGACCTTTGGGCCACAGCAGACCCAGAGAAGTCGGGGCAACTGGACTGGCGGCGGTTCTGCGCAGCCATGCGCTTGGTGGCCTCAGCCTCGGTTTGTGGGCTGACATGGTATGGCCATGGGTCAGAGATGGGTGTAGAGAGAAGTCTGGCCACAGGTCACAACCTATGCCGCCATGTTTGGGCGGATGAACACCCATGTACCACTGTACCACCTATTTTGATGTTCACAAGGGGTGCAGGGTGTTGACCCACAGCCAGAAGTCAAGATCAAGCCTGCAACCAGCCGGAGAGCAGCTTTTTTTTAAGCTGGCATCAGGTCTTCCTTGCAAGTGGCTTTCCTTGAGTTTCTTTGCGTATGGGTCAAAATTAAACCAAAAAGCCGCCGGTTTGTGCCCTTGCGGCCATTTGCCTGGACGAGCGGGCCCGAGGCTCATGCGCAGCAGGGGCACTTGGAGCCGGGCTTGCTTTGGCGTCCTCCAGCGAGGCGAGGGACGGCGCCAGTCGCTGGCTGGTGCAAAGAGCCGCCACTTTTTTCTTCACGACCCAGCCGAATCATTAGAAGGACTTGCTGCAAGCAAAAGCGTTCTCCCTTGGAATCGCGTGAGAAGTCGTGTCGCTAGAAGGAGCGCAGCTGGCAAGGGGTGGAATGCATGAATTCATTTGCGGGGTCGGCGCGTGCCAGTTTGCCGCGCTTCCAGTCAGAGGGCCAGGCGGTCAGGACCAGGGAAAACCGATCGATCGATCGCAGGCGGGAAGGCGAAAGCTGGCTGTGGGTCAAAAGCGTTTTGGTACCTTTTTGGGGTCGGTGAAGTCACCACCCATTTTAGGCTTTATTTTGGTGGGGATTGGGATGTTCACGGGATAACCGGGCTTTTGACCCATGGCCATCTGATCTCCCGTGCAGGAGCCTTGATCTCAGCCAGGAGGACAAGGCCAGGGCAAGTCAACGCAAGTCATGGCGTGAACATGCACCAGGACGTGCTCGGTGTTCACGGAGTCACCATCGAATTCGCCAATTCACACGTCATAGTCTTCAGTGTTTTTGGGTCTGCTTTTTTGTTTGAAGGGTTTCTTGGCCCGTCTAAAAAAATGGGGTTACCCTCCAAAAAGGACACCCAGTTGAAGACACCCATATGGATGTTCACTGGGGGATAACCGATTTGGGTTTTGACCCATGGCCCTCTGCCCGGCTTTCTTTTTTTCCTCAGGCCTCCCCTAGCTCCCCCGGGTCTCCGCGCTTCGGCCCGGGACTAAGGCGCAAGTGGTTTGTGGCGCCCTGCTGAAAAACAAGCAAAACTCTTAACAAATGTTAACACAAACACATCCAAGTGAGTAATTCTTGTCTTACCATACTGGTGCCCTTCAACCCTTTGTCCCTTGCCCCTTACGCGTCCGTTTGTTTGTTGGCTAAATGGGTGCTGATACCTTTTCGGCCTGAGGCTTGAATTCCCGCGTTCCTCAGCGTGTTCCTTCGTTGTCCGTGTTAATCCATGTGGGTCCTATCCTTTGTTGGGGTCCTTTCTTTTAAGGGGACACCCGCAATTTTTTTGGGGGGCTCCCCTTTTGATTGAAAGGGAAGCCCAGAATGTTGGGGTGCCCCTTTTTGGTTGGCTTTAAAGGGAACCCCAGAATTTTGGGGGCCTCCCTAAAAGAGACGCACGAGGCAGTGCCAAAAGGTCAAAACGGGAGCCAACGGAGCTTCAGGTTTGGAGAGGGCGCCGGCGCAGCGAGCTCGCGCTTCGCCCGAGAGGCCGCCGCCCCCGGCGGTTGCCAGGCCAGGGTGAAGTGAGCGGCTGCCTGTGTCTTTAAAAGCAGGAAATGGGCTCCCGAGTGATTCGGAGCATGTTCAAATGCCTGTGGGTCAAAAATATGTACCCAAAATGGCTTGCCCTGGCAGGTGGAAATCATGGACCAAAACCTGCGGTTTGCCCCTCCTGTTCAATTTTGAGCCACACCCAAATCGCGCATGCCAACAGAATGAGTGCATTGATTTTGCTTTTTGGTGTTTTCCGTCAAAAAAAGCAACGCACCCCAAAAGACGGTGGGGCACCCATTGTGTGCTGTTTTGTGGCGGGCGTTAAGGTCAGAGCCCACTTGGCACGCAGGCAGCTTTCCGCCATGAGCGTCTCCGACCGAGCGCTGATGCAACGGCTGCTGCAGGAGGCATTCGGATCAGGTACTTTGTAGATGGGGAACCACCCCATGTCACCACTACTCCAAAGCACCAACCAGGAAAACAGCTGAACTCCTGAACAAATAGCGCTCGCCTTTTCTTAAGTTGGTACCGGTTCTTTGGGGTGGTTGATTCAGCGAAGCCAAAAGCAAAACCGGAAGTTGCCTTTTTGGGGAGTCGGATTCTTCAAAAAGACAAGAGAGCCACCCAAATGCCTGAGTTGAACCGTTTGATCACGCGCCTTTGTTTCTTCATGTGAGTGAAAGGAAGCGTCAGATGGCTTAGAATGCCTGTGCTGGCCTGGTGATGTACCCCCAAGAGCAATAAATCAACAGGTCGACAGCACCTTAAAGGCACTATGTGTCTACGTGAAGCGCCGGGCTGGGGGCATTGGCCTAAACACAGGGCTGGGGGGCAGCCTCTGTAAATCGAATGCTGGTCCCATCGGATTCATCAGGCCGGCGGCCTGGAGGCGAAGGTGCAGCAAGCGCGGCAGGACTCCGGGCCGAGGGAATGTTTCGCCTCGCTGCGAAGCTCGGCTTCGGCTTGCGGCGAAGCTCGGCTCGCCTTTTTTTGTTTTGGGGGTGGGGGAGGCGAAATTATTTGTTCTTCATATTTTTTTTCCGGGGGGGATTGGGGCCCCCTCAAAAGGCAAGGGCTTAATTAGTTGCTTTTGGCTTCCCTCGCCCGCGAAAGAAACGGAGCAGCACCTCAAACAATTAGACGCCTGGTCCGCTTCAGGAGCAGAAGTTGGTGCGGGCGCAGGCGGGGGCGGGCAGACGTCTGCGGTTTCGAAACCCTGCGACTCTCGCAGGCGGACGAGGCGCGGAAGGTGGAGGCCTGGAGGGTGAGTGAAGCGGGGAGTGAGTTGCGACGTGAAATGACGTGAAATGACGTGTTTTTTGTGTCTTTTTGTTTGAGGGGTTTCTTGGGGTGCGGGATTTTGACCCATGTGCCAAATGACGTGAGATGTCGTGTGTTCGTGTCTTGTTTTTCAGGTGAGCCCAGGGGTGGGTGAGTGTCCTTTCAATTTTTCTCTTTGGAACACCCACTTGAATGGCGACCCTCAAAAGGACACCCTCCCCCCCCTCCCTCTCCCCCCACACCCCAAGCTACCTTTAGGGATCATGAAATTTCAATTGGAGCCGATTCATGCCGCGTGGGTGGTTGTTCACTCATTGACAGTTGCCTGCGGTTTTGGGCGGGACCGAAGCTGCTGCCAGCTGCACATGTCGGAGCTTCAGAGTCAGCTGGAGAGGCGGGGCGCAGGGCGCGGGAGCTTTTGCGTCCAGAGGGCATCTCCTCGCTCCTCTTGGGAGGTGTCTTGTTGGGCCCCGCTTTTCGGAAAAATCCGGGCTCCTATTGTTCCTAAGTCAGGAGTCTGTGGAAAATACCGTGAGCTGCAAGCAACACGAGTAGAATTGGCCATGACCCCCGCAACCCAGACCCCAACCTAACCCGGTGATATACAAACACGGGTCCAAGCTGAATTCGAGGTGGTAGATGAAGGGTAGCAAGGGATAGCCCCAACCACAAATGGGTGCGGATATCCGCCTTCTTAATTCTGGGCATGGTTCTGAATCTATGGGTGTGGCTCAAAAGTAAACGATCGGAGGGGCGGTTTCCGCAGGTTTTGGCTCCATGTTTCCGCTTTCGCCGGGGCTTGCGCCGTTTTGGTTTTCCTTTTGTTTTTTGAGCCGCCGCCATTTGGAGAATCTTCATACAGGTATGGGTCAAAATGAAATCACCAGGGCTCCATTTTGGGTACCTAATGTTGACCCACGGCCAGATGGGTTGTTTGATGATGACTCACTTGGGCGACCGCTAGTCAGCTAGTCGCCTGAGGCATCTCCGTGAGAACCGGGCGCATTTGGCGGTGCTCGCGGAGGACCGTGGAAGCGGCGCCAAATGGAAAGATGGGCTTCTCGTCTTCTTCTTTTTTTGAGGTCATAGGTGTCCTTTTTTGTTGTTTTGCTTTAAAAACAGAAGGCCCTGGTTTACCTGGTTCAATCATCTACCAGGGCCATCTACTTTCCAAAAAGGACACCTATGTTTGAGGCTCGGCACCCCTTTGTTCCTATAAGTGGTTTGAAAGGGAAGCCCAAGAGGAAAACCAAAGCCGTTTTGGGGGTCCACTAACTCATAGAACACCCAGATGCCCAAAAAAGTAGGAAATGAGCGGTTCGAGTTGGTTCTCGGACAGGAGCGGCGGAGGCTTACCGAGATCATTTGTGGCTCAGTGAACCAGGCGGGCGCAAGATGGCGCAAGCCGATTGCAATGCCAGTTGCCTCCCGCGAGAGGGGTCTGTTGTTTTTTGATGGTACCTCCTTTCGTTGGTCTTAAAGGGAAGCCAAACCGAAGCCTTCTTCCTTCTTCCTCTCTTTTTTTTTTTTTTTTGGGGGGGGGGGGGGGGCGAGGGTCCCATTTTATTTATTTATTTTTTAAAGGGGGGGAGTTCCCGTTTGACAAACCCTCTCCAGATAGCCTTGAGAGCTTTGATCTAACTAAAGGCAAATCTTGGACTTCAAAGCCGTTTGCACTTGGCAGCGTTTCTACTCCAGCGAAATTAAGGGCCTGGCATACGAGAGCAGAAGAGGCCCAACCTCTCGAGGAGCAGGCTGCTGCTAAGCGCCGCTTCCTGGAGCAGGCAGGCACTCATTTGCGGCCTTGAGATGGGACGGGAAGACCATGTGAGCCACAATCAAAACCCGGGTTAGTGAAGGTTAGTAAGGGAGGATCCCAGCCATAAATAGCTGCAGCCGCCTTCTTAGTTCATTAAATGGTTCCGGGTCGACCATTCTTGTACCGGGGTTTGATTGCGACTTACGTTCATTTTCGCAGGCTTTGGAAGATGAGATGAGATGCTTGGAGGACCTTTTTTTTGCGGTCGGCCTTGGATTATCAGCCGTTTGCGCGGTCAGGAGACTCGAGACTCCAACGCTGTCTTGGAGGAGTCGTGCCGAGGAGCGAGCCTCGAGTTGCGGTGCATGCGGCATGCGCCGGACGGGGCACGGCCAGGTCTGCAGGAGGAGCTGCGAAGCATCCAGCAGGAGCGGCTGACCACCCGACAAGAGGCGCGTGGCGCGACAAGAGCGTGGTCTGGTCATTTCCGGACATGCAGGCAGATTTCGCAGATTTGCCGCCGATTTGCCCAGGCAGAGCATGAGTTGCGACTTGAGGGTCAGGCAGGGCTGGGACAGTCTCAGAAGCTTGCCAGACCCCCTTCAAATCGGTTTACAACGGATGTTTGCGGTTAAAGCAAGAGGAGAATCACCGCTTTCTGGGTCCAACCTTAAAACACGACACCCTCAAACAGGTCTGAAACACACCTCGACTGAGTCGTTCTTTCTTTTGCAGGTGCCCACATGGGATGGATCCAACCGTCTCACACGAGTGGGCGTGTGAGGAAAAAAGAAATCGACCTGAGACCCGAGGTGCAAGGGTTGCTGCGTTGTCGTTTCCGCGTTTTTTGGTTTGTTCAAACTGTATGCTGTCTGCACATAAAGTTGATCCAAAGATTTGTCAGGAGCAGATTCAGGCATATGCGTTCTGCGCAGACATGCAAATCGGACTGCTGTCTTGGTACTGATTTGCGTGGCCTTGTGCTTGTGCTGCTTGCCAACCATGGTCTTTCTGGTTTTGGCGAGCACCCAATCAATGTTGGGTAGGACGTGTGACGCTCGGGATTAGCGCATTGTCAGCGAACTGCTTGAGGATGTGCGTCCGCGAATGCCAGCGTTGCAGCATTTGGCCAGTCGTGGAGTCATGCGGCCTTCGCTCCAGTCACAGAACTCTTTGTGGACATCTTGCAATCATTTGCCGGCGTAATTCAGGAGCAAGGCAAGATGGTGCCTGCGCGCCAGAGGGGGTCATTAATTCGATTGCGAAGATATGCATAATGTTATGTGTTGGTTCAATTCGATGGTCTGCGGGCCACTGGCCTGCTGTGAAGGGCTTCCATGCTGGGTGACACTCGTAAGTGGCATTGCCGCGTTGCAACATCAAGTCAGAGATAGCTACTCTACACGTTCATTTGGGTTGGAGTTTGTGTATGGCAAGTGTATGGCAGGCGCCAAAGAAACATTTGGGTCTCCGCAAGCCGAAATGACGACAGCGTGAGAAGCTACGCAATCATAATGGTAGCAGTGCCTCACCAAACTGGAAAAGACTTGCTCCTGGTGCTGCCAGCCTGTGTCACTGGCACTAAGTGCATCGGCACCCTGCCCAAGCGCTGGCGCGCGAAGCGAAGTTTGTCAAACAAATGCTGGTGCCAGCTGCGCGGAATGTGTCGCGAACTCAAGACGCCTTAGAACCTCTTCCGCGCGGCTCGATTTGTGTGCGTGTGTTGCGATTTTTGCTTTCATCCCACAGACGCAACTTGAGTCAACGTGCCTAAGATGGCCGGCCATGACATTGAAGAAAATTGTTGAAAGAGTGTGTGTATGCTACGTCGCAGATCTACGAGGTGATCAGTGGCAGTTCAGGTGTGTTTTGTCTCCTTGGCAGCAAAGAGCTCTGAAGGGGTCAGCATCTGGCAGTGGAGTACTTTGTCTGTACGAACTCGATGATCTGAAACTGTGCGAGTTGTCCGTCGTTGCTGGCTGCCAGCCGGCTCCATGTTCGGCAGGCATTGTTGCCTTGGCCAGCCAACGTGTCCCTGTCACACCTCCGACCGCATGTGGCTCCGAGGCTGCGGGGCACTTGCCGGACAAAGAACGCTGCAGATGCCCACCAGCACCGCTGACTTGGTGGTGCTTTGGACTTGTCCTGTCCGCTGAACACTTTGAGCTCTTCACTCATCCGAAAACGAACGCCGTGTGCGTCGCCCAAATGCGGCAACGCGTGAATAGTGTTTCTTGTGCCCCCGCGTTGGAAACCACACGCCAGCCGCGCTCGCCTGCTGACCACGCAGCGGCTACGGCGAAATCGTCCAGCCCAGCCGGTCCCTGCAACTCTCGCTGGCCAGTTCTTCTCCAGCCGCGTTCCAGATCCGCGCGCCACCGCGTACGCTCCGTTTGGCACACAGCGTAAACGTTGTCAAGGAGTGTCTCTGAAGAGCAAGGTGGCGGAGGCCGCCTGTAGCGCCGGGTCCTGTCCGAGCGCCTGCCGCCTGGACAACGTCGTCGCCCGCATCGTCGTACCACGGGTGCGTGCTGCTCTGCGCGTAGAAGAGGCGAGCAACGGTTGCAAGCGCGTTGTCGCCCACGAGGCTTCCCAGGCATGCTTGCCTGGTGGACATGGCCTGACGCCACGAAGGTTTGCGCCTTCTCCAAGCTCGTAGGCGCTTGAGTTTTCGGGCGCCAGGGCTTCTTTCCCACCCGGGCCGCCTTGTGCGCACGAGCGAGTTTTCTTCTGCTCGTCAAGCTTTGACGAGCTCCGCCCTGCCCTCAGGGGTTCTGTCCTTTCGCCTTTTACTGAGACATCCTGCCCGGCGACCTTCCTCCCACATCCGCGGCACGTACCCCTCAGCGTCGCTGCTGAGAAAACAAAAACGTGCCGCCTCGGCTGGAGCAAGTGCAGGCTCAGTGACATCCCCCGCCGCGACCTCGGCTTCAGCTTCCTGGCGCACCATTCTCGCCAACAACCGCGGGTCCACTGGAGGCCTTTGACGCAAGGTTGCAATGTTGCGTCGGCCCTCGCGCTCAAATTTACCGCCGCCGCGCGAAACACCACGACGGGCATCCGCTTGCATTTTCGCTACGCCTGCCCTTTGGTGGAGTGGCGCATTGCCATTATTGTTGGGCTCACGCGCCGGAGTCGCAAGGATATTGAAAGATCGCTTGCTCCGTCCGAGCTCGTGGGGCAGCCAATGTAAAACAGTGCGCGCAACTGCAAGGGCTTTGGGGCGTGTTTCTGGGAGCACGCAGGCGTTGTCAAGCGATGCCATGGGCTGTTTTCCACGTTGGGGAGGCTGCGCGCCCAGGCCCAGCCAAGATCTCCGACGACAACGCGCCCAGCGCGCTTTGGCGCAAATGAGGCTAGCATCAGAGACGTCCTTCGTCCGCGGCAGCCACGCTGTCCGACGCTCTCAGTGCCACAGTGCCTTTTGCGTCGCCGTCCCCCCGTGCCACGTGCAAGCGTGTGCTGTGGAGGGTGCTGCCAACAAGAAAGCAAGAGTGCCCGCAACGCCAAGCCCTGCGCCCAGCACAAGCCAGCCCCAACAAAGGCTACACGGCCCCAACTAATGGGGAAAGCAAGACGGCGTGCTGCCAGCGGAGGCGGCGACGATGCCTGGCCCGTTCCGTGCTGCGCGGCGCACGACGACGCGCAGCGGCGGAGAAAGCGGCGGCGCTCGCCCACTTGGGGGAGCTCAGCGCCGCCTTGACAGCGATGCCCATGGCACCCGCGTCGCTGGAGACTTTTGCGCCGGCCGCCAGCTCGCCATAACTGACCCCGCAGAGGTTTTGGCGCAACGTTTAGAGTTTTTATTTTCCCTTATGTTTTAATCTTGATTGAATCTTCGGACGCGTGACCGTTTTTCCTGCTTCAAGCCACCTAAGGGTCATGCTTTAGGTGTTACCTTTTTTTTGCGCCATGGAACCCCGCACGGCTTCATTTGCTTATTGCATACACTTCGTGCATGGCCCGCTTTGCGCATGCCTGGACGAGCTTAGCTTGCACTCCTTATTTGCCATCTCCTGGTGCATGCATAGCAGCGTGCCTGATGACGTGCCGCCATCGCCACTTCAGCCCCTATGGGGCAGCACCTACTTTCTGACGCCTGCAGTGGCCGAGGCGTTGTGGCTTTTCTTGACCACCACCGAGCGTGCATCCTTGAGATTGTATATTCACGGCATGGCTGCAATTCCAGACTTGCTTCATGACTCCTCCAGCAGTGCGTTGGGGCATGAAGCCATCCGCGCCAGCCGTCCACGGCGCGCTGGCTGATGCCTGCTCGGAGCCTCCTGGTGTGCAGGAGGACTCACGCACCCGCATTCACTTGTGATGCGAGCTTCCGCCCTGCAGCACAGCCTCCGCACTGTGCAGGCCACTAGCCTTCCCGGGGGCCGATAATCAAAATGGTCGATGCTCCTTTCGACTCGACATGTTTCCCGTGAGCCCTGCTTCGCACGCTAGTCTCACACCGTGACATTCCCTATCTGCTGAAGGTGAGGCCAGCAACGCCAATGCTTCAACAGCCTTATGCAAGTGTTAGTCCTTCTTTGCCCGCTTGGCACTCGCCACGTTGCAGCCGCAATGCGCCCAGACTGCCTCCCTGTGATTCTCCGCAGCTGCAACCTCATCACGCCAGTCCGCGCCGCCGCCATTTTTCGACGGCATTTTTGATTGAAACCTTGTTTCAGCCCGCGAGTTGTGCATTCCCCGACTGCCGCGTGCGGGCCTTACTCGCAGGAGGCATTTTCAATGCTGTCGTTTTTTGAAGGGGTACACCGCTAATGTTCCCCCAATAGACTTCAAGACATCCCCCACACTGCGCCGCAGATGCTTTGAGAAGATGTTTCAAGCGCAGTGCTTTACCAGCGCGCGGGGCTTATGCAGCGCAGGCTTTTGAAATGTCAGCATGCACTGCTTTGATGGCATGCCTGGCGCTCAGTGCCTCTTGCACACAAGCCCTACCTTTTGGGCCCGCCGCTTGCGGGACCCACGCACAGCCACGGTTTGCTGTTTCAGGTGACGCACCGCTGTTGCGTCACCCAGAGGCCTATACATCCCATCCATTGCACCGCAGTGCCTTGATGGCAGGCACCTGGCCCAGCGCTTCATGCATTCGGGCCTCACTCATAGCTGCGCAGAACATCAACTATCCTGCCGCTCGCGCCCCCTCAGCCCCAGTTTGCTGCTTCAGGTCATGCACCGCAGATGCATTATTCCGCCACTCGTGGCAACGCAGACCAAGGCATTCCGCCTGCTGCACCGCAGATGCGTCAGTCAGCCCAAACAGACTCCAAGCCGTGCACCGCAGAAGCTCTAGTGCTAGGCCATTCTGTTTCGGTCAATGACCCACAGAACCATCCAATGCACCGCTGTGCTTGGACAGCAGGCTCGGATCCCAGCGCTTCCTGCACCAGGCACCCTGTGCCTTACGTTGAGCCCGGTTCTCAACTGACCGCATGCTTGCCCTGGTCTTACAGCCGGCGCAGGTTCCCCCGGGCATCGCCGCCGCCATTGGCCTTGGCCGCATCGTGGCGCTGCAGAAGCCAAATGGCCGTGTCAGGGGCATAGTGGTCGGTGACTTCCTTCGTCGGCTTGTGGCCCGTTCCCTTGCCCAAACTTTTTCGTCCAACCTGCAGGAGGCCTGCCAGCCGTTTCAGTTCGCCCCCCACACGTGCCGGCACCGAAGCTCTTGCACACGCCCTCCAGGCCGCCACGGAGGCAGATCCTGATGCCACAATCCTGTCCGTGGATGGGGTTGGGGCTTTTGACATGCTCCGCGGTTTTTCCCGCGTG